CACGTGGTGTTGTCGTTCAGGAATAAGCCCACCAGCGGCACCATCGTTGCCTGGAACAAGAGCCACACGGCGTTCCATCCCGACATCTGGTGGGATTGGGCAGTGGACGCGATGTCGTGGATCGTGGCCTCGGCAATCGCGCGGCACCTCTCAATCGCTGTCCGCTCCTCGGAGCGGAGCGCGATGTACGGGACGCGACGCATGGCGTAGCTCAAGAGTGTCGGGCGGTAGAGGAGCATTCGCTGGTTCAGATAGCGCCATTTCATCACCGTCCGAGTGGTTGACATGGATTCGGAGCACGGCTCGTGGTCTTTGAGGATGCTCGGAAGATTTTCGTACCACTCGAGCAGTTGACCGTCAAAGTGGGAGATCTCGTTGTGTTTGGTCAAAGGCGCTACCGCCAAAATCTCTTGGATCTGAGTAGCGATCTGGCAGAAGCGGACGTTTTCCAGGAGCGGGAGAATATCAAGCACATTGCCCTAGCGCGTGTCAGTAACGTACTACTCTCTGCCAGGTTGGCAACATACCATCTCTCGGTTGCTGGGTAGCTTCACGGTGATAGTTGGGCCTAATCGGCCCATACTGGGCCTCCCCAATGTCATCGCCCCCCACGTGTCCAAGCAAAAGAGCGACCACCATATCCGACGCTTGAGGTCTACCGAAGAAAGTCTGTTCTTATTGCTATCATTCTGACCTTCTGTAAATTCCTTGTGCAGTCCAAGAGCGGCAGCCATCCGTAGTGCAGCTCCCATGAGGGAGTATGCCAGATTCGGTTGGCTGGTGTAATGCAGGTAGTAGCCTCCCAGAAGCCCTAGCGTCTGTATGGTCTCCAAGTGGGAGGAGCCGAGGGAATCTAAGCTAAGGTGGCCCTTGCAGCGGAGATAGTAGGTCTCGTGGGAAGCATCGTCGGCCGGACATGCCGCAATACTGCCGAGGGCAAAGACGATGTTCAGAAGAGCCAGCCAGCGGTCATCTTTTCTGCCCCCAGAAAGGTAGGTCTCCCGGAAGGCATGTTCATCGATCATCGGTACGAAGGGTTGGAAGTAAGTAAAATATGCATCGAGTAATTGCATGTCGGTGGCTGGCATGTGATTGTGGGTCGGACTAGGGGCTTGCGTAATCCCTTGAACCTGCCAGGGTTGGGTGTCTCTTGTTGAATAATCCACAGCCGAGTCTCGGGACGGCCCAGAAGCAGATTGGCGGGATAGATATGAAATCGAGCCAGGGTCGAGCCAGACTATCACTTTGAGCACTGCGTGTATGGAGGAAATCCCTAGATAGGACGAGGGTTGTTTGGCCGAGAGGGACAGAGCGTTAACATCGTCAGAAATCCCATTCGCCGTTTCGCTGCTGTTTGAACTCCGATTATCGCCCGACTCATCTGGCACGGTCTGTAGAGATTCCAGGTTCCCATTCTCGTTGGATATTGGTGACACATGGGATTCGATAGACCCCGAGTTAGCCGGCGAGGCCGGATGATGAGCCTGGCCTTGGGGCAGCGAGAAGCCCTTGGCTGTTAGCTCTAGCAACTTCTCGCGAGGCAAGGCGAGCAAGGCATCGGGGGTAGTGCTCGGGAACAGCCTCTCGAACACGTTTCGATATTCATCTAGAGTCGTAGAGAGCTTCTCCACATGCCTGCGATTTCCAATCGTCAGCTTCGGCCAGAGGTCTAGACCCTGGACGTGGAAGTAAAGACTTACCTACGGGAAGGACGAGGGTCTGAATAGTGGCAGTGGTCAGCCTTCTTGTACCATCTGCAGGCCTCGCAAGGCCTTTCTCCATCGCATTTGATCTTGCGATGTCTGCAGGACGTGCAAGCACGGAGAGTCGTCACCCGGCGACCGACCGACGGCTGCCGCTCAGTACGTCCCCGGGATTGTGACGCTGGCTCCGGGTTATCAAACCCTTCGAATGTGTGGAACATTGCAAGTAGCAGCTTGTTGTTTGCTGGACAACGACCGTGAGGGATTCCAAGGAGAAAGAAAAAAAAAGTCTACCACAGACGGCTTAAGGCATGCTAGGGCCCCGGCACACAGACAAGGCCGATGGTATAAAAGACTCAATTAATAAACAAGCAAGGACAGCCGAAGTCAGGGGCCCCCCCAAACGACAGAGAGAATCCGGCTAATGAGGACCGGGAGCGCAGAACCACACGGTACGTTAATGACTGCAGGGAACAGTCCACCGGTCCCGATGCGGCGCGATGTGGTCTGCTAGGATTTTGTAGCACTAGATAATTGCACGGCGCGATGGTCGGAAAGAGCACACAGGAGGAGCAGAGATCAGGACGATAATAAGGTGAACGTCAATCACGAACACTGATGGACTCCGCGACACGGGGCAGGCATGTGTCAAGCTTAAAACGGGGAGGAGGTGACAAGAGTGTTTTAGAGTCGAACCGAAGGTCAGAGCGATGTCCAACCAGATATAATCTGAACGGCCGTCAGGCCAGAGGATTACCGCCCTCCGTGGCCCAACCCTGCAGCGACGGTAGTCCCTGCGAGATCGTCACCAGACAACACGGTCGTGAGTTTCGCTTTGCTTCCCCCGCATTCTTGAGTATGGATGGTCATGCACGAGTGGACTATTTGGACGGATTTCTGCAGGTGCATACGCGAGGCACTGCGACAGTACCTGGGAGCCCTGGAACCTAGTCTCCACGAGCCACCAACGAAGGAAGACGGTCGAACGGCTAGCGTAGCCTCGATGTCGGCACTCTCGACCTCGCTAGCGGAGCACGCCGCCACTCCGGCCACTCCGGCCCATCAGCCCGCATCAGCAACCGGCGTTGGCTCAAACCCTAACCCGCTAGAGTAAAGGCCTAATTTCACTAAAGGGGTATCGCCAAGATTATTACACCAGCGCTATTAGGCATCATCATGAGCTTACCGGGGTGGTCATCTGCCATTGGCCGGTGGCGAATTTCCACTCTGTCTACCCATTGCCGGGGTTTGCTGCTGTTGTTCCCACCGCTAGCGAACCGATCGTGCGCTGGAGGGATCGACTGCTTACTGTTATATAGCGGTATCGTATTTCCCCACACGTTGCGCTTGATGGCTAGTACAGATGATTACTGTACGGAGTAGGTTTCCTATGTGCGTTGCTATGGACGCCCCGCCTGAGCGATCACAGGGACCCGGTGGGTGTACTCCGGAGTAGGTGCCGGTCTGGGGAATTGTGGGTTGCAACCTGATGCGTCCCTACAGGCTCCTCCACACCCCGCAAATCATAGGGTCACAGCGCTGCAGGGTTTCGTTGCGATCAACCCATGTGTCTAGGTACCGGTGGCGTGAAACGATGCCAAAGAACCTGTGGTGTTGATCCCCTCTCGCGCGGCAGGTTCTCCGAATCATCGACTAGCCAACGATGAATTTGACCCCACTATTCTATTATCAGACCCAACGCGTACACCGTGAGGATAATGATTTCTCAACAGACGTTGCTAGGTGGTCAAACCCCCTCCCCCAAAGCCTGAATTTCCCTACTGGTATAGTTCTGGCCTGGCTCGCATTGGTGGTTCAACAACCCAGGCAATCAGGCTTACCCGCGCCCTTTCATCCGAATAGACGTCCAAGAGCCGAACTATCCGTAGTCTGTGCTTCCTCGAATCATCAGACGCCCGTGCGTTGATAGCCAAAGAACACCCGGCTCTTCTATCAAGGATAAGGCGAATCATAAACGTCTCAAGTACGAGGGAAAGCCAGGGTCCGTGGTCGATTAGCCAAGCCACTATATCATCCTGGCAGATTAAGATTGCAGTCTGCGGTGGCGGTCCTCAGCGCACCGAAGATGTTGCCAAAACCAGCCCGCAACGGCTGACTTGTTAATCAATGAGATGATTTTCGGAAGCCCCCCTCTAACGCCTAGATGAGCATCTCGGGATGCTCCATGGTTTCGTGGCGGCTATGATTGGATAGATGGAGGCGCGCGCCGAAGTACCGAGCGGATCATGGCATAGGATAAATTGATCTGCATTGCTCGAAGTGTATAACTTATTAACTGGGGACATAGGAGACGGCTAAGTTGGAGCATTGACGTCAAAAAAGTGAGTCATTTAATTCTACTGCCCCCCAGGATGGCAAAATGCCCGTCCCAATTTGGGACCCAGGGACCAAGGACTGTAGTGCACGCAGGCCTACGTCCGGAGAAACAAGATGATCGGTAGTATGATGAGGGGTAACTTATTAGACCGTCAGACCATCCTTAGCGCGCTGCAGCAAAAGCGTAATTAAGGACGAAGGCAGCTGCACGAGGGTCAGTTAGTGTAAATGAACACGGTGTACTCCAACGTCGAGGCGGCAATAGGATCTCGTCTAAGGGCCGGACGCGTCACAAGTAAATCCTTGAAACCGACAGAGCTGCAGAATAGATCTTTCCACAGCATCACCGAGTATTCCCTTGTCGTATTCAGCGCAAATCCAGAGGAATTGATCAACAGATTGAGAAGTAACACGGGACGCGAAGCCGTCCTGTCTCTCTCCCCATCTCATAAGGTGTGTGTGCCTCACCGTGTCGGGAGACACCACCTCAAGAAGAAAATCTAGTCCAAGCTTGTGAACGGTAATTGGATGGAGGAACAAGGACCGAGACCTTTGTATGGATGGAAATTAGTCTTGTGAGAGCCGAGTCTTTCCTCTCTCGTCCAAGAAACCTGTCCTAAAGAGAGCTAGGCGGGGCCCATCCCGTCTCTGAGGGGGCATTGTGCGGAGATTGTCCGTTTCACGGTTGGTCCCAAATCCCTTGGTACGAGCAATCCTTTCCCACGTCTGAAAGGGATTGCATCCGTTCAAGCACCTAAACTTTCTTGGATCAGCCTAAGACAGAGTCGAGAAGGAATGGAAAGAAGAGGGAAAAGATCAGCAGAGCAGAGGGACTCCAACCACGCTAACCGCATTAGGAACGGACCTCACCCCGTGACTTACCCTGCCTGAATAGGCAGGCATACCGCGTAAGGCACGGAGAGCAGCTCCGTGGAGCTCCCCGCGGCGGCCTTGATGGGAAGGGAATGTGTTGCAACCTTCATGGCTTCGTGGAGATGGATGTAACATATCTAAAGGGACCCGATTTCCCCCATCTGTCCGTGGGATGATTCTTTCAATCCATCTCTGTTTCTACGGCGGTGGTGATTCCAACTCTGGTTTTCCCACGTGATATCAAACTTGGCGTTCATAATGGCAGCATTCGCTCAGATCCCTCTCTCGACGGGATGGTCTTTCAAGGATAGCGACGATCACTCGGAGGGTGCGTGGCTATCGGTTCCGAAGGTTCCGTCGGTCGTGCAGCAGGACCTGATTGCAAACAACAAGTATGGCCCTATCTGGAGTCCGTGATGAGAGACCTCACTAACTGAATGGTGTCTTGGCGTTTACAGGCTGGAGGACCCGTACGTGGGATTCAAAGAACTCGATGCGCGATGGGTCAATGAAAAGTCGTGGACCTATCGAAAGGTCGTCCAAAAGCCGGCTGTTCCCGCGGGAGCGTCGATCGTGCTGGCGTTTGACGGTCTGGATACCTTTGCGACGGTGAGACTGGACGGCAAGGTGATCTTGGAGTCCACCAATATGTTCCTCGCCCATCGGGTAGACGTGACAAACGTCATCCAGGCTGAGGGAGATCACGTTCTGGAGATCGAATTTGACTGCGCGTTCTTGCGGGCCAAGGAGCTTCGGAAGAAGGACCCCAGCCATAACTGGGCCTCCTTCAATGGAGACCCGGCGAGAATGGCGGTCCGGAAGGCACAGTACCACTGGGGCTGGGACTGGGGCCCGGTCCTGATGACTGCGGGCATCTGGCGTGCGGTGCGGCTGGAGGTGTATTCTGCGCGGGTCGCGGATCTCTGGACAGACGTGCAGTTAGCATCCGATCATCAGACTGCGCAAGTGTCTGCTTTTGCTGAAGTAGAGGCCACTGGTGTAGACGAGTACAATGTCCGGTTTACATTGAGTCTTCATGGGCAAGAAATTGCTACCCAGACTGTCGCGCCGCAACAGGGCACCGCCACTGCGACGTTTGATGTTCAGAATCCCGCTCTGTGGTGGCCTAACGGCTACGGTGACCCGACCCGCTATGAAGTGTCTGCCTCCTTGGAAAAGGGACAGCAGGCCATCCATAATGTCTCGAAAAAGATTGGCATCCGCACTGCGGAGCTGATTCAACAGCCGGACAAGCACGGTAAATCGTTCTACTTCCGCATCAACGGAGTCGATGTCTTCTGCGGCGGGTCGTGCTGGATTCCTGCAGACAACCTTCTGCCTAGTATCAGCGCGGAACGGTATCGGAACTGGATTGCCCTCATGGTCCATGGTCGTCAGACAATGATCAGGTATGTAGACCAAGTCTACTCCTCGCGGTACTCAGCTGACAGCAAGTAGGGTCTGGGGCGGTGGCTGCTATGAAGACGACAGTTTCTACGACGCCTGCGACGAACTTGGAGTCCTGGTCTGGCAAGACTTCATGTTCGGCTGCGGCAATTACCCGACCTGGCCCGAATTGCTGGCGTCGGTCGAAGAGGAGGCCATTTACAATGTTCGCCGGCTGCGCCATCACCCGTCCATTGTCATTTACGTTGGAAACAACGAAGATTACCAGGTCCAGGAGCAGAACGGTCTGACCTATAACTACGAAGACCAAGACCCCGAGAGCTGGTTGAAGACGGATTTCCCCGCTCGCTACATCTACGAGAAGATCTTGCCGTCTGTGATCAGCAAAGTATCCCCCAAGACCGTCTACCACTTTGGTAGCCCTTGGGGAGATGGCAAGGTGACGTCGGATCCCACCGTGGGCGATATGCACCAGTGGAATGGTAGGCTTTATGGCCCGATGATTACAAGGAAATTGCTAACCAGGAACAGTCTGGCATGGTACGCAAGAAAAGTACCAGATCTTCGACACCCTCGGGGGCCGCTTTAACAGCGAGTTCGGAATGGAGGCCTTCCCGCACATGTCGACTGTCAAGCACTTTGTCGAGAATGAGAAGGATCTGTACCCTCAATCTCATGTGCTGGATTTCCACAACAAGGCCGATGGCCACGAGCGACGGATTGCCACTTATCTCGTTGAGAATCTGCGGACGGCTACGGATCTCGAGGTAGGGTTCTCGTCCTATTTAGGAGGACACGTCAAGCTAACGAGCACAGACCTACATCTACCTGACCCAGGTTGTCCAGGCCGAGACGATGATGTTCGGATACCGCGGCTGGCGGCGTCAGTGGGGTGACGACAGACACTGCGGTGGTGCGCTCCTCTGGCAGCTAAATGACTGCTGGCCGACTATTTCATGGGCGATTGTGGACTACTTCCTGCGTCCCAAGCCTGCGTTCTACGCGGTGTCCCGTGTCCTGAAGCCCATTGCGGTGGGTGTGCGACGAGAGCACCACGACTGGAGCGTGACGCATGCTCAGCCGCCCAAGACCAGCAAGTTCGACCTGTGGCTGGCCAGCAACCTCCAAAAGGAGGCTGTCGGCATGGTGGAACTTCGATTCCTCTCCATCGACACCGGACTCGAGGTCCGCGAGCGCTTCGTCCAAGACAACGTGACCATCGTGCCCAACGGCACCACGAACATCATCGTGGACGGGGTCATCGATTACTCCCAGTTCCCTGAGCCCCATGTGCTCTCCGCTCGCGTCTGGGTGGATGGCACCCTTGTGGCTCGCGACGTTGACTGGCCGCAGCCGTTCAAATACCTCGATCTGTCCAACCGAGGACTGAGTGTTGAGAAGGTGTCCGAGTCCGGAGAGGAGCAAGTCCTCCTCCTCAGCACCCAGAAGCCCGTCAAATGCCTCGTTTTTGAGGAGCGAGACGGAGTCAAATTGTCGGACAGCGCGATCGACGTGGTTCCTGGGGACGACCAGAAGGTGACGGTCACGGGCCTGAAGCCCGGCGACGCCCCGCTGAAGTACCAATTCCTCGGCCAATAAATCAACAGGGAGGACTCTAGGCGTCATCCATGGCACATGATGGTGTAGCTCGTCATGTATCGGAGCTTGACCAGAATGAATATGTTGATGCTTCAATGATTTCATCGTAGTGTTAATGACGGCAACCACTGGATCAGTCTTTCAATTTGACTTTCCCCGCTTTCCCAGAGCATATTAATTCCAATCCAGGAGCAACCCATGACCAGTATTGTCCACATTGTAGTATTAGATGTTCACACGTCTATGACGTTGACGCGGGGCGTTCCACAATTCATAGTCGGCGGGGACTACAACCGGGAGCTTAATCCCCATCCGAACCATACTCTCCACCCCCCATGTATATAAATACCAGGAATAGCTCTCCTGACCTTTGAATCAATTATCACTTCAACTCAAACCACAATCCACTCAAGTCAATACTTCCACACAATCAAAATGTCTCTCATCTCCTCTCTCCCCAGCGGCAACCCGGAGAACGTAACCTCCCTCTTCCGCCTCCTAGATGACTACCACGACCACCTCTCGACCAAGTCGCCCGCCCTACTCTCCGCCCGAAGCTTCACCCCTCGCTTCGACGTGCGCGAAGATAAAGAAGGCTACCACCTGGAAGGCGAGCTTCCCGGCGTAGCGCAAAAGGACGTCAACGTGGAGTTCACGGACGCGCACACGCTTGTCGTGAACGGGTCGACGCAGCGCGAACACAAGGAAGAAGAGGACAAGACGGCCGAGGGCGGGTCGCGGTTTGTGACGACTGAGAGGAGCTTTGGGTCGTTTCACCGCAGCTTTCACTTCCCTGCGCCTGTTAACCAGGAGAATGTGAAGGCGAAGCTGAAGGAGGGGGTGCTGAAGGTGGATGTGCCGAAGGCGACTAAGGGGGGGAATAAGAAGATTACTTTGGAGTAAGAGAGAGTGGTGGTAGGGTGTACTGCACTTGGTTGATCATGTCGTGTCTTGTATATTAATGAATCTTGATCAAGGGTATTGTGGTATCGGTGATAATGACGTGTGGGGTCAAAATGATATTGCGGATCTCCATGTTGAATCAATTCACTTTCTCTCCGATGACACACCTGAATAGTGGACCCGTATTAGACTCGGCCCCTAGTCTAATATCATAATTACTCCGTACAACTAGTTACGAGTTGGCATTGACTCATCGCAAGTCTATCAGCACTAACATTTAGTGTTCTATACGGCCACCGCAGCCTCACCTGAAAGCCACACGAAATGCAGACCAAGCATCCGACGTCGGACATCTGCCTGTGATTCTTGATACACCCTTCTTTTTTGCAATCATGTCGGGTGATGAAAGACTGGACGAACTTATCTGCGAAGGGGAGATGGAGAAGGACGCGATCATGGATCGAATGATAAAGCTGAACAGAGACAGATACAAGGATGTCCGCTTAAAGGAGCTCTTCTACAAACACGCGACAAGGACAAGATCTGGAGAGTGGTGCACCTCCGAGGAAGGGTTCCTGTCCTTTTTGCACAAACACGGCGCTCTCCCGCTGTCTTTGCAGGAACAGGGACGCATCCTCTACCAGGTCTTCCTCTACTTATCTGTGTTCCCCTTTGTCCGGAGCCCTCCCAAGGCCATGACGGTCGAAGAGTTCTTTCGGGCGTGCGAGTTTTCCGATTTGCTTGAATTGAGGCTGAGCGGTGGACATACTAGGGAATCCTGGCGGTACCGAACAAAGTCAGACCGCAGGCGACTAGTATTCCAGAGCCTGGCTACGGCGCGCGATGGGCGAAAGCTGCCCTTTGACGCCGAGGAGTGGAGCAGGCAGGCAGCGTGGAGATCGTCTGAGCTGGACGGTGTGTCGTCGCAAGACCCGGAGGCACAGTGCTCCAACTATGACGAGCACGGGGATGAGATGTATTACGACACCTTGTGCTTCATTTGGGCTTCCCAGTGGCGCCTAGCGGGGCCGGTGGTCCCCCTGGAGCATTTTCGCGGGTTGGCAAGAGAATTACATGGGGATGACTTGCATCTCCACCATCTTTCAATCCCCCGGGACAGGTTCCGCTGCTTGGTCAAGTTTCTGTTGCTTGGCCAGTTTGGGAACACCGGGGGTATGGAAATCAGCAAATTTTCCGACCTCGATCGAGTTGTCAACAGCATGGTTCGACCGTTCTTTCGCATTGCCGGTGTAGGGATCACCTGGCCAATGTTTGACGATGCCATGCGATTAATGGTGAGTTTGAAGGATTCCCGGATACCCACGAGAGACTATGCTCACATCCACGGAACCAGCCTTACTTGCTCCAACCGATCTCGGAAATAGCGACAAGGTTCTCCAGAACCAAACCAAGCCGACCCGCTGTGTCCGCTATGAAAGGGCTGCTGAGTGATTACGAGACCTCCTTGACACTTGCCCGTTTCGCTCAACTCCGACTCTGTTTTGGGTGCGACCTCATCTGGAATAAGTTGCGGGCACCTCAACGATACGAGGCCCCCTGCAATGTCACCTGCGTGCTCGATTCACTCAACGCAGCCGAGCCCCGGAACGCAGGGCGACTTACCATCCTTCTTATCTACGGCAAGACCTCACACACAGACGAAGATGTCATTTTCGGAGCAGTCATCCCCAATCCATCGGTGGATGTCTCGGCGATCCATGATGCGTCGAAGGAGTATTACTATGCACGCTCCTGTTGTTTGTTCGAACTAAGCCCGGGACATGACATATCACGAGGAAATATTGGACGGCCAGGCTGGACTGCTTCTCGAGACCGGCTCTGCTTTGGTGATACAGCGGACGGGGCTGCGATGATTCTGGAGGCGAGTATGACTCGGGCGACTCTCATCAAGAATGTGAACCAAACGAACCCGATTTACTCTGTCAGTCCATGGAGGGAGGATGGTTTGGTTGAGGTGTGCATAGAATCGATTGAGGTCTGGAAGGCGACGAGAAGGTCTTAGGGGCTACGCCAAAACGTTGACCAACGTTTGGTATGAGACTTAACCTGATTGACATCCCAATAGAAGATGATTATACATGGTCATGGAGTGTCACAGATCATGAGTTGACAGGATTTTCTTCATGATCATCTTCATTCGTTTGATGTCTTGTTTCTGTTTTTGTATGATACCCACGGTTGTTCCACCTTGGACATGTTGCATAGCAGATATTCTTTGTCAAAAGGCATAACCTTCTTCTTCGTCGAGTATTCATGTTTGTAGCATTCTCACCACAGAAATTATATACTCGTCGTCAAAGCGAGTCTGTGTCTCTGCCCCAGGCAACGATCTTATCAGATAACCATCACCCCGATCGGGTAAGGTTGCATCAGTCAAACCAACTTCCGCTGCTCCTCCACACTTCTTCTTCTCCAACATCTCACCATCTCACTCTCATGGCCGGAACCAAACGCTCCTGGGAAGGCACTCTTCTCCGCGATAAGGACACACAAGCGGATACGGCCGACGTCACGATGAGCGACCAATCGAGCCAGATCCTGTCCATCTTTGGGACGTTCCGCGACGAGCTGGATGAGCATCATGATCGGCGGGAGAGACTGACCAAGATCAGTCGGGATATTACGGCCTTGAGCAAGAAGATGTATTTATCTCTGTTATGTGTGTTGAATGCGGATATATATGCTAATAAATTGTAGTATCTTCTCTTTACAGCGGTACCTCCCCACCCAGCATCCAATACAAACAACCCAACCCAAACACTACCCAGATAGAACGGAGCCAAAAAGAGAACCATACTAAATAGATCCCCAGAGTCCGCACCCTCAACGCCCCCCTTCCCCCAAACATCACCAAAGAAACCACCTCCCGATTCGCCCAAATCACCGAACTCTTCAAGACCGCCCTCCCAGACATCACCGCCCCACTGCACAAACACCGCTACGCGCGCCAGATCAGCCCAGGCCTACAAGAGTTCATCGAAGCGCTCTCCTTCCACCACTACCTCGAGACCCAAACGCTCATCACAATCGACGAGGTGCGCGCGCGGCTCCTCGACGGCGCGGTGCCCGTCTCCGAGGAAGACTACCTAATGGGTGTGTTCGACCTTACAGGCGAGATGATGCGGTTTGCCATTACGTCCTTGTCAAGCGGGGTTATCGAGCGATCGGAGGCGGAGGCTGAGTCGAATATCATGTATCCGCGTCTGGCGGCACCGCAGGCAGGGATCGTGTTCGACCTGCGCGAGGTGCGATCGCTGGCGGAGGCACTGAGTGTCCCGCGGAAGCATGGGTGGATGTTTCGCGATCTACACAAGAAAGTCGAAGTCATGCAGGCGAGTGTGGAGAAGGTGGAGCGGGCGGCGTATGGGGTTCTGGTGCGTGGGAGTGAGAGGCCAGCGGGGTGGATGCCGGATTTGAGCGCGGAGCAGGTGGAGGTTGCTTGATTTACCTTATGAGTGTGTATAAAGTGGGAGGACAGGTGTAGGGATATGATATGTACGTGTGATGAGAAAGTACCCGAGTGACGAGTATGAACAATAGATGAACTGCAACTACACTCAAGCCAGTAAATGCAACCCTGCATCTTCAACAATCGCAAACCACACAAAACAAATCAAAACAAAACGATAATCACTGAACAGAGCAAACAACAAACACAAAACATGCATCTCACGCCATCCCAAGCCTAGCTAGCTAACTAGCCAGCCAGCCAGCTACCCAGCTACCCAATTACCCACCCACAACCAGACCCATCCCCAAATAGATAAGCAGCTAGTTAGGTATCCAAATCAAAAAAACCTAAACAGCCCCCCTCCTCGGATCCTCCTCCTGACTCAAAATCCCCTGCTCAATCAACTGCTCCGGCATCGGCCTCTCCTGAATCTTATGATCGAGGCGATCAGCGCGCATCTGTCGGTCGAGGTCACGGGCGTGGGCCTGGAGGGCTGGGGCGGCGGTTGTGTCCGGGAGGATGTTTCCTATAATCATTTATTCTTCTATCAGTATGTGTATTTCATGCGGTAGAAGGTGTATGCATGTATGATATAGAAGAGGAAAAGACCTACGCTCAACTAGTTCCTCCCGATCGGGACGATGCTCGAGCTGTTTCTTCAGGGCGTCGGTCGTGCGCTGGCGGGCGAGGTCTTGACGGGCGGCTTGGAGGGAGCTATCATTATAAGTATCTACCGTTAGTAAAGGACCGACAGTTTGATCTGATCGCGATATGACACGACGTGCACGATAGATTGTATGATTTATATAGTACACTCGGAGAACTAGGAGAGGAGAACATACGGAGCGACACTTGTATCCAACAGAATATGACGATCCTTCAGATCCTTCGCCTCCGGCCGCAGCTGTAGATGTCGCTCGAGAGAGTTGCGGCGTTCAGTAGGCGAGGCGCCCAGAGAGGTGTGGTCGACGACGGGGGTGTCCATCGTGCTGACGGTGACGGGCGAGATGGTTCAGGTGGGGAAGCGGGGCGATAAGATACGAGACCTCGACTACGATCGGTATCGATAGATGGAAGAAATGTCTCTTGCTGATGGTTCTGTAGTGGAAAGTATAGGGGAAAATAGTGTAGGAGAAAAGAAACAAAGAGAGAAATAAGAAAAGGAGTCATCCGATCCACGAGACGGCGGGGCTCACAGTCCCAACACGAACTACCTCGTCCTGGTAACGATGTGCCCTTAGTTCGCTACCTGTGACACCAGTGCGTCTCACCCTACGGACTCTATACTCGGATCTTCAACCAGTCACGCGTCATTGTATTATTTCTGCCTCGCATCTAAAATCTTAGCTAAAACACTGTCGGCGCATCTTTCACACCCGCGGACTTAAACATCAATAAGAAAAAAACACAGACAGATGGTGGTTGGTTTTTGTATGGGTGGGGAAATGGGCAGCAAGGAACACCATGCCAATTCCATAGAACACCGCATATTTCCGGCGCATAAGGAAGACAATTTCATCGGTCAAAACCGTGTCGCCCTCCACAGTCCACGCAAACAAGAAACGAAAAAAGGCACGAGGGGCAAACTGTAAGGACCAGCGTAGATCGCGCCCAACCGGGGGACCGAATTTCTGTGCAACCGAACTCGCCATGCGCATGGGGCGTCTCTGCATGGTAATCGTCCGTGCCATTCCGACTCTTGCGTCCGACCGTCTGATACCCACGTCATTCGTCCAGGGCCGTCGCCCCCTTTTAAGGATCCATGAAGTCTCGGTCTCCACCGACAATGGGATCCGGAGGTAGACCCGGTATCGGCAGGAGAATTTTCCTCTTGTGCTGCGTCGACTAATAACCACGGTGGTCTGATTCGAAATTTTGTAGAGGGACCTGTCGAATACAACTGAATCGACAGGGTGGAGCCGTATGGATCAAGGAACCCACAGCTTGCCCTGTCCACGGCCGCTGCCGCGAGAGCCGCCGCGAGCTCCCCCGCGACGACCCGTGTGCGGGGGGCGCGAGGCCCCGGCCATACCACGGGCCGCGCCGGTCTGCGTGCTGAGGTCGACCGTCGGCTGCGGCTTCGAGGGAACGCGGAGAGACCGACTGAATGAGTTCGGATCGATGGGCTGGGTCGGGACCTCCATCGTCTGCTCAACCGGGGGCGGGGCTGTTTTGGAGATCGCCGCCTTGCGGCCATTTCCTCCACGCGCATTGCCGCCTTTGGAAGCGCCCTTGCCTCGTCCACGCGGGACAAACACGAGCTCATCCTCCTCGCTCTCTTCGTCGTACGACAGCAGAGTTTTGGGATCGGCGGGCTGGGTCTTTTCGACGTATTTGCACCGGTTCTTGTACTCCCGCTCCTCGTATTGGATGGACGTCCGCAGCTGGTGGATATTCTTGACGGCGATGCCGTATTTCTGGGCCCAGACCTGCGTGGCCCGGTCGTTCGAGACGAGAATGCAGCTCTTGGCGGCGTTAGAAGCGTCCGGCCCCGTGTGCAGACGCCACAGCAGTGCGCTGAGCAAAGGGCGGAGCGCGGCGGGTACGACGGGAATGGCGGACGCCGATGCCGAGCGACGATGCCCATTGGACGGTTTCGCCTTGGGGTCCTTCGATCCATCGTTTTCAACCATGTGGGAGTTGGCACATTCGGGGCTGGTTTGGGAGCTCCTGGAGGACGGACGCGAGCCATGGCCACTGTGAGTGCCAGTTGAGGGGAGCGACACCGCGTCCGAGTCCTTTTTGAAGTTGAGTTTGCTGAGGAGCATCTGCGACAGATCGTCCTGGTTCGCTCCGTTCTTCTTCATCTCCTTCCTCTTGTCCTCGGGTTTGGCTGGGGCGGCTGGGGCGGTTGAGTCGGGGCCCTCGGGGCCGTCAACCTCTGGTTCCTCCTCGAACTCGGGCAGAAAAAAAGGGTCTGTCTCGGCCCAGTCGTCGTATTGCTCCATTGGACCCTGCAGAACCACGCGGTCCGAGGGAACACTATCCTTGCCGGAGGTTACACGATCGAGGAAGCGGACGGCCTCGCGGGCGTTGATGGCGACTTGCGATCCGGCCTTTTTCAGGGCGTGGAGGCGTTCGAGGGCTAGACATGGCGACCGGGTCAGCAAATCCGACCCAACCAGCTGGCAGCGCGGCCTACTTACTGTACAGGGGCACGACCAGCGTGATCGCTCCGTTGGCCGTCCATTTTTTGATTTCACTGACGTTGGTGGTCAGCGCCGTTTCGTCCACCGCGCAGTGGAAGACCTTGCGACCGGCAGACATTGCGGGCCGCTGGGTGCGCTGGGAATGGCTGAGTGTTAGCAGAAGACTGCACGCACGACGAACGTTCAGTGACAAATGGGTTTGGATCGATGAAGGCGGAGCGATCTGAGAAATTGTGGGGGCAATTGTGGTGCAAGGACGAATGAGTTGTCATCGGGGGCGCACACACCAGCAAGGGAGAACTCACCTCAAATAAACCGAAGGGGACCTACTCACAATGACTTTCTGTTTTGCAAAGTAAGGTCATCTGTATCATCTTGGGTTGCTTGGGATAACTGATGGTAAAGATGGGGGCGGACTGGGTTTGGTGATGGAGTGAAGACGTGAGAGGAAGCATCAACTTACTCTTACTCAACTTGACGGCGCCGGGACTCCGGCTCTGACTCAGCATCCCCTCCCCTCCAACCTAATTTGTCAGGCAGCCATATGAAAGGAAATAGTGACAGGAAACACACCAACAATCTACTACCCCCTCCCCCCTCCTCACCCCCGGCACAAAACTCTTGTGGATGCTTTTCGCTGATTTTATTGTTGTCACTGGTTAGAGGTTGATTACTACCGCAGTAATTCCACTACGGTAGAACCACCTCTGAGGCTTGACCCAGTGACTGGTGGTAGATGCTCGTGACGCCTTTCGTCTACCCTTGGCCCAGGTCAGCGAATCGGACTTTTAAATCCGACTCCTACCTGGAAGAGCCAAAGCGACGCCGGCGCTGGATGACACTGCTTGTAGGCCCCGCAGATGAGTATGTTCCGGGCTGGGTACCGGTATCGACATACTGTCTGGCTGGGCCTGGCCCGGCCTCTGAGGCTCTCGCCGGATGAAGCGGCCTATTATAGAGTTAACCCGGCTTGTTCAGGTCATCTTAGGGGTAACAGGCATACCAACGCCGTTCCAACGCGGCGTGGAACCGTGGCAACAGCTCATTGATATCAGGAGATGATCGAGCAAGTCTGTTGTCAGCCTCCACGTGATGTCGCCAACGAAAAGCATCACAAGACTTTGGTGTCCGACGTGACTATGAACCCGGACTTCTGCCATTTTGTTTTAATTAACTACGTTCAAAACGAGCAGAGAGAAGAGAGAAGAAAAGTAAATTCCCACCGAGAGAAGGACCTCGACTTGCAATATCCCGATTGGGAAGGAGTGACCAGGGCAATCGATAGACCGATAAGCGATAAGCGATAAGCGATAAGTCTCTCTCCTCTGGAGTAAAAGACAGTAGAGAGTCTTATATACAGTGTCATGGTTTCGCATATACACTGTGATTCGAATCTCTACTCTATTACTCATAGCTCTAACACGTTTTGTACTTTGGTGCTTGGGGGTGCTATCCTATACTTCATGGGTGTTACACATCCACAACCTGTTAGTCTTGACATCGGTGTGATCATCATCCGCCAGATCAACACCTAGACCATGTGCAGCGACTCGTCAAGTGCTATATACAAACTGCGTGCAGTATTTCCGCGGGGCCTGCACTGGAATTGCACTGAAAACAACTAAAATGCTGAGCCAGGGCAACGTGAAGGAATGGAGTTTCACTTGGTAGAGAGTTCATTGCTTTCCTGACATAACACTGTGCTGACCATATGTTGCCATACCCTACTGTATAGGCGGACGTCTGATTGATTTCCAAGAATAGTACTCGATCGAGTCCCGATCTCTCAGCAGCCACAGACGCCCCAATATCGAGGAAATGAAACCACTTCCTTGACTGTATCTGCACCCGTAAGATATTGAAGCAGTCTCTCGAAGCCGATGCCAAAGCCCCCATGCGGCGACGTCCCCCACCGGCGCAAGTCTGTGAACCACTTCAGGGAGCCGATCTCCTCCCCGGGATGCAAGTACGGATATGGCTCCGCGTCCGCGGGCCCATTCTGGTCCTCTACATGGCCCTTGCTTTGCCCCCTCAAAAAGTATTTCTTCCGCATGGTATCAATCAGCACGTCCAGACGGTGCTCTCGTAGGCCACCGCTACATATCTCTCCGATCCCTGGGAGCAGAAGATCGAATGCTTCGGTCGTTTGCTCGGGATCTATTTCCGTGCTGGGCGGGATGTCACCTATGTGTCCGACAGACTGCGCGGCCTGGAAAAGGCGAATCCGGGACGGGAAATGTGTCAAGAAAATGGGCGAGTCGAAATGGGCGCAGAGATATTTCTCTTCCTCTCCCGAGATGTCTCGCGGGGCAGTGGATTGCGGCGTCGAGGTAGTTCCATTCGCCGCGCGAATGGGCTCAAGTAGCTTCGTGGCCTCTGCAAAAGTAATCCGTGGCCACCTGGAGGTCAAGAGCTTGTTCCAGCGGTGTCGGAGCTCGTCCGAACCGGATTGAGACAGCATCTCCTGTCCGCTGGGGCTGTTTTCCAGTCGGGTCACAATGCCGTGGATGGTTTCTTCCATGAGCCCATACAAGGGCTCCAGTGTCGTAATATAATTCATCGCCACCTCGAGCATCCAAAACTCTGCCAGGTGTCGACTACCATCGGTCCTTTCCGCGCGCCAGCAGGGCGCTAGGGTCCAGACACGGTCGAGCCCTTGCACAAAGGCCTCGGCGTGGAAGACAGCAGAAACATTGAGGTATCTCCGCGATCCAAAGTAAGCATCCTCCATCTCCATTCCCTCGCGCTTCGAGCACTGAGTCGGGGCCGCAAACACCTCTGCTCCGCCCTCACAATCTGTCCAGGTGAGCATGGGCAATTGCACCTGGTAGAAGGGCCCGTCCGGATGAGAGTCGAAGAAGGTACTGAGCGCGGACAGAGCCGCGGATCGAAACCGCGCGAGAAGAGCATACCGAGGCGTGCGGATGCGAAGGTGAGGATTGCGATCGAGAAACTCCGTGGACGCGCCATGCTGAGCAAGAGGGAAGGTCGCAGAGTCGGCCGGACCGAGTATCGCGTAGTCGTTGACAACCAGGACGCGGGATTTGCCCTGGCACAGGGTGGATTGCTTGGGAGGTTGTAACGTTCCATGAAGCTGCACGGTGCATCCTCGTGAAAGGACTGACGCATCCTTCACTTGGGCCTCACGCAGCATGGCTCGAATGGGGGATATGGTGGAGCCATCATTGACAAGTAGGGTGATAGTGTCTTCATGAGTAGTCGAGACATCCTCGATGATGCCACAAACAGTGATCTTGTCCGCTGTACCTGCCAGCAAAGCATCACTTATAGAAACCCTGTTATCCATTTAGATTATAGGCAATCAGTGTATATGGTCCAAGGTGTTATCTTGTGCAACAATAGGGAGAATAATAGAACTGGGAGAGAGACTGTCTATATAACCATATATCTACAGTAGAAGAAGATCGGCTTCACGAACAAAAGGGCGATCCCTTACGTTGGCCAATGTACACTATCGGAAATCTAAGTGGGTACCTGCAATCATGATGCTTGTCATGACCGCTCCAAGCGGCTATGGTTCTTTTCGTAGTCCAGCGGTAACTCCGAAGTCCACACTGTTCGACGGGATTGCTTATCTGCTGCAGGGCCAATTACCAGGTATTGGAGCACAAGTTGCTGCCCTGACCTGCAGCAATCGTCATTCTATGCCCTAATGCAAGAGGTAATAGCGGTGTATCAGAAAGGCTTGCATGTATGATATATTGTCCTCTGTCGATGCTTTGAGTATCTCAATTTCTGTCCGAAATTCGCTATTCTACGTGCGTGAGTTCAACGTGCAAGGGAACGGCGGTGTGTTTTTAAGGATGTGGTTGTGATGTATATCATTCAGGGGCCGACGCAGGACATTGGCTCCTGCACGCGCAACACATCGGCCTCGATTAGGTTTCTACACCGACAAGTCAACGGATAGTTTCTCTCTATATACGTGTGTGTCTCGAGATATATGAGGATACCCCCCTCACAAGACAAACTAAACGAAGGGGGTCATTGCCGGTATCTAGACCACGATGTCAAGCTCTCATACAGTGACCGCACCGCGTATCGAGAAGAGCGGCTACTGCGAGGACCATGGGCCATACCGAATTGAGAAAATCCCCAATCTGGGGACCTTTCCGTTGGACTCGCCCGTGGTCGTAGGCGCGCATATCCTAACCTGGGTGTTCTACATCGCCTATCTTGCATGGCGAGTGCGGTCCACATGGAGCTTGTCCGTGCCGAACGATTCTGTCTGGCGCTTCCTGTGGCTCAACATCTTAGTTGAGATGATGACCCTCGTGCCGGAATTCGTGTCGCGCATGGAGATTTCCCTTCACATTGCATTCGGGCGAAAACCTGTGCATCGTGATTCGTATCATCTGCGAGGGGAGGTTGCGCCCTCAGTGGATGTATACATTACCTGCTGCGGAGAGGATCTGGACGTTATCATGGATACGGTTGCTGGGGCCGCGTCGCAAGACTACCCCCGGGATAGCTTCCGTGTGTTTCTTCTAGATGATGCGAAGTGCCCCGAGGTGCAGGACGCGGTTGAGCGATTCAATCGCAGACGATCCCGCAATTTCCAGCGGGTTATCTATCTGGGACGCACGAAAACGCCCGGCATCCCTCACAACTACAAGGCAGGGAACATTCGGTTTGGGTTAGCAGAAGGTGCTCGACGAAACGGCAGTGCCGAGTACATGGCAGCGTTGGACGCGGATATGATTCCCGCCAAAGACTGGTTGCGGCGCATCGTTCCCCATCTGTTGCTGGACAAGCAGGTAGCGATGGCAGTGCCTCCTCAGGTATGGATCCACTTCCTCGCCATATGTTCTTTTATCTGGTTGCACGGCTCATATTGTTGCAGCGATTCTATAATACCCCCGACGACGATATTCTTGCGCAGGACACCAAGGTGTTTTCGCGACTAACCGAGCCCATAAACGATAGTTTAGGGGGAACCTCATGCACCGGGTCTGGATATGTTCTCCGTCGCAGTGCACTAGACAGCATTGGCGGCTGGCCTCTGCAGAATGCCGCAGAGGACATCGTGTGTGCGTGGATGCTGACCGGTCAAGGATGGCATATCGTGTTTGTCAAGGATGAAGTGCAGTTTGGTTTGGCGCCTGGTTCATTGGCTGCGCTGTTCAAACAGCGCGCGCGATGGGTATGTGTATTCTTGTCCGTTTCTTGACCTGCGTCTATAGGACGACTGACTAACGTGTTCTTTTCTATTGCTGATAACAGACCGATGGCAATATCCTGGCGTATCAAAGGCTCGGTTGGTTCCTCTCCGGCACCGACCTTCGCAGTCAGAGGACCATGCTGCAGCGCATTATTTGCTTGTGTCACGTAGTCAAGACCTATATGGCCATCCCGAACAGCATTACGATCATGCTCGTCCCATGGGTTCTCTGCCCGGTTGAATGGCCCAAATACATGGCCCCCGATACATCGAGACGCGCGATGCACCAAATATACCTTGTGCTCTTGATGGCCACTCTCTTGCAAAAGTGGTGTTTCATTGGTATGCACGAGGAGGTCAGCATCAAAGCTGCCAAGCGCCTACAGGCGACCAAGTTCTGGAATATGCCTTGTAAGTTATCTCTCGATGAACCCCCAATAGCTAGTTACTAACAGTGAGGATGGCAGTGAACGTCACACGCATCGTGCGCTCGTGGATTCCCGGAAATGCCGTCGGTTTTGATATCACCGGAACCGTAGTCTCCTCTGTGAATGAACGCTCCGAGCGCCATCGAAAGCCGATCTGGGTCCGACTCCTGAACCCCACGGTGCTGATGTATGCGGGGTGGATTCTCTACGCGCTCGTTCCCCTTGCATTCCGGCTGCGCTTCTATGCGGCCGGAGAGTCACGTCAGCTCGTTTCACCTAGTCCAGCGGCTGTCGCGTTTTTCTTTTCAGCGATCATGAAGTTGTCCATTCCCGTGCAGTATATGGCAAGGCCCCCGACAGTGCCGGATCGCCGGCATCTACTGAAGAAGGGACTTGACGGGGTCTATCGTGTGTCCGAGTCCAGCAAAACGGACTCTCTTGTTCAAGCTAAAGTGAGTTGGAAAGATGTTGCAGAGATTTCCATCATCCTGTTTGTGGGCTGGAGGGGGTTTTGAGTCGTGACTGTAGGAAGACGGTCTGTATATAGAGCTATATAACAGTCGCGTAAAGAAATAACTAGAATATAGCTCGATACGAGACTTGCGAGGACTATGCAAGGTCTTCAATGCCCTACATCTTATCTCCACTGTTGAAAATAGCCCTCGTCAAGGCCTCTCTCCCCGCGTCCTTCTCGACCATCGCTCTAAACACACCATTGTCTCGGTGCATCAAATCCACCGGTCTGCCGAACTCCACCACCCTACCCTCCCCCAAAACCAGTATCCGATCAAAGTTGGCGACCGTGCTGAGGCGATGGGCAATCACGAGCAGTGTCATGGCGTTCCGGCTAGACTCCAATCCCAGTACGTGTTGGATGAGAGTGTCGGTGTCCTTATCGACGGCCGAGGTTGCTTCGTCCATGATCAGGACACGGGGCTTTCGCACAAACGTTCGCGCAAGGCACAGAAGTTGCCGTTGGCCGTGTGAGAGATTGGAACCACCATCGGCGACCGGGCTGTCGAGGACGGATGCACCCCCTTCCTGTCGATGCTGTGACAAAACGTCGTCGGCCGTTTGAAGGTTTTCTTCATCCTTTTTAAGCTGTTCTTCTCCACAGCCATGGGCCGATGTATCCCAGTGGACCAGCGCAAGGGCAGACAGGAGTTCGGCGTCCCTGTACTCGCAGAGAGGATCCAGGTTAAAACGCAAAGTGCCCCCGAATATGGTGGGATGCTGGGGAATGATAACCAGTCGACTCCTAAGATCAGCGAGGCGGATCGTGGAGATGTCGATCCCATCTATGAAAATACTACCCTCACTCGCCTCGAGCACGCGCAACAATGCAAGTGCTAGGGACGACTTCCCGGCGCCGGTACGCCCAATGATCCCTACCCGCTGGCCCCGGGCGACTTGGAAACTGACGCCATGTAGGACCGGGTTCATGTCAGCAGCATAGCGCACTGTTAAGTTCTTGACCTCGAGTGCCCCGTCCAGGGGCCAATGCGCGGGGGCGGCGTAACCGGCGTCATGCTCGGTGTCCAAATGCGAGTATTCCAAGATCCTTTCCACACTGTTCAGATCTAGCTCCAGGGATGCGTAGCGGCGGACCCCCATTGAGATCGTCTGGGTGAGTCTCATTGTGAAGCTGATGGCGAACCCGGCCAGCGCGGCGTTTACCCCCAGAGCAACGACACAAGTCGTGGAGGCCGCGGTGAATACGACACCGATAATGTCCATCCGGAAGGCAAGCCATTGATTTAACAGCCAACCGTGCCACTGCGCGCGGGCCTTGCGATCTAGCTTCTCTCGGAATTGTTCCCGATAGATGTCAGTCCTGCCAAACGCCCGGATGGTCCAAAGTCCTGCCATACAGGAGCCGACATGGTCGTAGATTGGGCTCCGGGCTACACTGTCCAGCCGTCTCACCTCTAGCGAAGCTATCAAGTACCGGCTTGCATACTTGACAGTAATTACACCGAGGATCAGCATGCCGAAGACCAAGAGAGGATTGACCAGTAAACTGGACGCTACAGCCATGAGGATATCCATGCCATGAGACAGCATGGCTCGCACATCATCTCCCAGCAGAGAGTCCACGAGATTGAAGTCGCTCGAAAAGCGATTGAGCACTCGACCTACAGGAACGGTGTCAATCCACTGCAATGGAGCCCGGAGCACTCGGTGCAGAAGGCGACGAAAGAGGCTGCGCGAAGCTTTGACAGATCCGGACAGAGCGAAGTAACTACGCCCAGAACCGACCATGCAGACTAGCACAGACAGCAAGATGTAGACGTTGATGTAATAGCCTAGGGCACTCTCCTGGGCTACTTGCCCTTGGTCGGATGCGCTCCACACACTGAGCCACCACGTCTGCCCAACGTCAGTGTTTAACATACTGACACTAGGAACTAGTAATCTTACCCTAGAAAGCATCAGAGCACTATAAGTCAGGAACGCAGCCACTAGCAGCAACCAGTAACCCCAAGTACCGCTCTGTTGGGCATAATCTCGAAAGACTCCCCACTTGACGGTCCCTTGTTCTCGACCCTCCTCTTCGATAAAAGTCCGTGTCAATCCGGACTTAGAACCGCCAATCAAAGTCCCTTTTGCATCGCTCGTGTCGGTCACTTCGGTATTACTCGAGAAAGGAACTCTTCTGGTTTTACAGAAGCTCGTTGAGGAGGGTATGCTGCCCGGCGTCGTCGAAAACACAGGCCCGTGGTAGTGGACAGTACATCCATCAACATGGACAATATAATCAGCGTCAGTGGTGCACAGGGAAATATGATGGGTGACGAGAATACGTGTTCTAGCGTGGGATAGGGGCCCGGTGAGAGCGTGCTGGTACAGATGACTTGCTGTATGCACATCGACAGCACTGAAGATGTCGTCTAGGAGGAGAACGGTGGCTCGCGAATATAGGGCACGAGCTAGAGACAGGCGCCATTTCTGTCCACCACTGAGGTTGACCCCGTTCGGACCCAAATGTGTGTCGTCCCCATCTGGGAAACCTTGCAGGTCCTGTTCTAGTGCACAGGCAGTCATCACTTGATTATACCTTTGCATATTGTACGGCAAACCAAACAGCACATTCTCTTTGACGGTTGTGGCTTCAACCCATAGTGATTGGGAGACGTATGCCACCGCAGAATCTACGAGCCACTGATTGTCCTCGCTGGACTCTGCATTCCAAGCTCGCCGGGTTGGGGCCTTGACGGTTCCCGAGAGGATGTCACACTCCCCAAGCATCGCCGCCAGAAGAAGAGACTTTCCCGCACCTGTCGGCCCTGTAATGAGAGTCAGGCCATGCATCGGAACCCTCATATTGACGTTTTTCAGAATACCCCCCTCGCCCCCGCCATGTCCGGACCATGCCACCGTTGCATCGTCAAATTCAACCCTTTCCGACGACACCACATGTGGTTGCCGTTCCGGCATGCTCAGATACTGTTGGACACGCTTGCCACTTACCACACCATCAACAGCCGAGGAGATTATCCCAGGCATGGCAGTTAGGGCTGTCTGCATAGTACCCAAGATTGAGATGGCCGTAAATGCAATGGCGGGGGACAGGCCTCCGTGCGTCAGCGAGTAGACTGTCAGCACCACCGTTGACAAGACTGTGGGGGTCAGGAGGTAGAGGGACATCAGGATGAGATCCCATCTGAACACAGCCCACTGTGCCTCGAGCTCCCCATCCCGCAGGTCGTTGATCTTCTCTTCCCATGGCACCTCCCAAGCGGAGAACTTGATCTGACGGATGCCATGCAGAGCCTCCGTCAATGCAGCCATCTTCTGGTCTCGGTATCCCATCATCTTTCTTTGAGCTCCAGAATATCCCTTGACTGTATATCGATTGAGAGGATAGAGTAGGAGCAGCACTGCCACGCTGGCGAGCAAACTCTGCCACCCCACGAGCTTGACGAGAATGGCAGCCGATATAAAGAGTCGCAGTGGGACTCCGTAGATAGAAGACGAATTCAAGAGAAAGTCCGCCAGTCGTTTCACATCGACTGCCATTAGGTTAACCAGGTTCTTCCCCACGCCCGGGTCTGTGGTGCAGGCGTCACTGATGCAAAGCGATTTGTCGAAGAGGGCGACCATCAGGTGCTGCTGCGTGCGGACCATTAATGACCGATACGCGATCCAGTATCTTACATGCTCCAGGGCAGCCGATGCCATCATTGGGAGACAAAGCATGAGTACGTATGCCCAGGGACGGGACTCCTGTTGTGACGTGCTCTGACGGAGATCCAACGAACGTAGAAGGCCAAACAGGGCCCCTTGGGGAGCATAGCTCAAACCAATGATTACAATTCCCATCAACGCCTGTCTGAGTAGTGTCTTGCGACTGAGCTGCCATAGAGCGGACACGAAGGATTCGTCGCGGGCTGCGGAATCCTCCCTCCGCGTCTTGGTGAAAACATCCTCCCGCAACCCCCGAGTACTGTACTCGCTGCGGAAAATGGGGAGATCTCTGAACTCCAGAAGTTTCGACCTATGGGTGATATTCAGCAAAGGCTCCGCCCACGTGAACGTGATCAGGCTGAGCAAACTGGTTGAAGCTTCTCGTTCAACCAGCTGTCCTTGTCGAAACACATCAGGTCTACGGGGAATGGCCCAATTGCAGCAAACCCCTGCGATGGCCGCTACAATCTGAAACTGAATCACTAGGAGAGGAGCTTTGGGGTAATGGTCGCTGACATCCCTCTGGTAGCAATCAGTGCTGAGGGCGAAGGCTGTCATCAATCGACTGGCTCCTCCCAGCACCCCAAACGTGAAACGAGCAGTGTAGAGCGTTTCCGCCTGAAGAACGCGACTTTGAAGTAGATGAAGTGCCTGGTATCGGTCAGTGGGCAATCTGATTAGGAGACTCCAGTCTCATCTCTTACCCACATCGCCAGTCGCAGCTGCCTGTCGCGATTGTTCCTCGTCTCGAGTTCTGCGGAAACAAAGGTAACGTGAACAATGGCGAGTCCAACCCCAATGATGGTCCAAATCATGTTTCCCATTACTTGTATGGTCCCCGAGGATTCATTGATGGAGCCTGTCGTGGCTTCGCCGTCTTCATCCTCGTACCATTTCACCTTCGGCCGACTCTTCCAGGAAACAGCTATGAGTCCTTGTTGAGCAACCTTCTTGCATATGGGGAAGTTCAGGAACAGAACACAAAGGAGAGCTAGTGGATCTGCCACCAGCGCGAGCCATGTAGGATCTAGCATGACTTTGCATGTAGTTTTGGTAGAGTCTGACTCGGAGGGACGAGTCGGTCTCAATGAAGAATTGAATTGGCGAGACTGTCTGTGCTTGCTTCCTGTGGCTTATTTTGGGGCTGGGGCTCTTGAGATCGATGCATTCTCCCACGTAAGGGGTGGACATGACCAGTCACCAGCTCCCTTTGTTACAGGTCTTACTCTTGCAGGACGGTCACAGTATCAATTATTACAATTATTATCTTGCAGCTGGCCTCGTTGGATCTAACAAAGACGTCCGTGTCCTATTCGGTCCAGGAACTACAAAGTCAAAGCCAAGTGCCCGTGCCTCTAGCTATGGTAACAACTCGACCATCATGTTTCTTGACCATTGAAAGTGTCAATCGATATGGAAATTGGCTTCCAGAGCTAAAGTTCTATGGAATGTCCTTCCCAGCTCCAAGTAATCCTTCAAGCTCCTTCGAAAGGGCGACACATCTCTTATCGACAAACCGGCGGTATAACATAGCAGTGTATACTGTCACGGGGAGCAAAACCATCCCACAGCCAAATATGGTAATAAGATAATCGGTAGGTCTTTCCCACGCTTCAACGGCAGGAGGGTAGGGCTCCCGATGCATTGTCCACCAGGTGATGTTCCTCAATTGTTGAGCTATAGTATTGAACACCATATAATTTACGAGGTATAATGGGAAGGAGATATCCCCGAGGAACTGCACGAGACGTGTCTTCATGAGACCCTGTAGAGCCGGTGAACGGTCAATGGAAAACACCACCAGGAGCGATCCGATAGTGCGCCAATTGTCTTTGAAGATCCAGGGGTCAGTTCAAGCTAGGACAGAAGGTTGGAAGATGACAAGCCATTGGTAGCCAGGAGGGAGGATTCCAGAATTATCCAAGCATAAAAGGTAAATGCCAGCCACTAAGGTTACTGCTGTTCCAAAGCCTTGTCAGAACAACCTACTCTGGATGCCTCCATTTGTTGTCTGTGGCAGACTTTCTGTCTTGACCCAAAAGATGCGCATGTAGGCAAGGAACAACCCGCCAGCAAACCAAGATATAGTGATCAGTGACGGCCACGAACGCTTCGATACCTCGAAGGCCATCAAGCCGTTCAGCGCGGTCCATCCTCAAGTTCCTTTTTTCCAAGCTGAAAGTGACAATAGTGGCCCAACGCTAGCTTGTTGATTGGAATTTAGACTCTAGGGATTGCCACCAACTCTAGAGAAAAGGGGGTTTGGAACAGTGTGAAAGTGATGAGATCCGATAGCCTTGAAGCGAAGCTGTGGTAAAGCTTCAGTGATTACTTTTGCAATGTGATATGTACATAAAGTGAGCAACGTAAGATGGTGCTACCCATGCAAGGGCTCCCAGGATCGACATTGCAGGCCGATCCCATCACAGCTTTCCGTAAGAGTAATATTGACTCGTAGATGATTGAAGACTTGAGCAAGCGACTTTCAATTCTCTCTATTTTTAGCTCCCTCTTGAACCACGATGCCTTGGCCGAAGATACGCACGGCATATCTGCGAAAAGCATTGGTCCCTTGGAACTGACGGGACCGATTGGTGAGAACATCTTGTTGGATATCAATAGTTTCAAGCCCTTACCACTCGCCAATTGGTGTTATTGGTCTAGGGGTGAAGAATGAGAATTCTACGCATCTGACAGACTGTCCACGCTGTTAGCCACGAGGGATTACGGTCCCAGCAGGCCAAAAGGAATGACGAAGACTACCATCTAGAATAATATTCACCCAGTGAGGGAGTTGAGTTTCTAGCAGCTCATTCAAATTAGCAGATATAGTCTGAATCAGGAGATTCCCGCTCTGTAAGATATATCACCAGAACTGCATACATCAGAGCAGTGCAGAGAACACAGGCAGAGTCTGGCAGTCCAAGGTGTCTTTGTGGGCAAGGATCTTGTAGGATCAGAAATAGTTCCGCTCAGATAATTCACATTGGATTGAAACCTTTCCAAGTCTCCGAACGACTCTCAATGTCTACCTCCTTTCGAATACCTGAGTAAGGAACCATCCTGGCTTGTATGGACAATGTACGCTGGTGCTCTGCGTTAATATACGATGGATCTGAAAGTCAAAGTATAGTAACATTATGTTCGTTTTCCTTGCTTCGAGAATTTTTCACCTGACCAGCGATTTCATGTAGGAGCTGCCGCCTCAATGGGGCTCTCTCATAATCTTCTCGGGATCTGCACTTGGCATCATGACGGAAGATGCAGTTCAGACGCTCTGGACAGAGGTTTCTGGAGTAGTTCAGTCATCGGAATCTCCAATGTGTGGGATTCCTTCAATCGACGTGCTGGTTTGATATGAGTCGTGGCAACTCATTTCACCCGGATATTTGACAACGATCCTAAGTGTCTTTCTACTATCTTGGTGAAATCGAGTTTCGGACATTTTCCTAGCCAATGTAACTAAGACAGGGAATCACTTAAAAAGACAGTAGCTGATAACAGTTCCACCCTTCCTATCACGAGGTCATGCACGAATCTCACCAGTGCTCTAAGAGCTTCTCGTGTTGACGGTTGTGATGTTGTACTCAGCTTCGTATCCATCGATTGGTCCGAGTACCTAAGTGAGGAAACCATGTAACGACCTTTCGATTCCACTGTCTATGACTGGCCTAGTGACTTCCCTGGGTCAAATTCCGACTGGGTCGTATAGGCCGACGAATCCCTGGAGGAGGCCTCTCTGCCCTCCAGGGCCCGTTCCGTTGTATTCGGCTTCCGGAGCGCATGCTTTTCCGCTGCCTTGTCCAATAAAGCTGGTCCGGCCTGGATACCGGACGTGACAGCCCCCGCGGGTGAGACTGGGCCGGGCTGGGTACCGGTCACGTCAGTCTGCGTGCCCTGATCAGTACATTGTCTCCCCCGTTTCATTGACCCATCTTGAGTTAGCTTGGCTTGTTCTCCCAATTCTGAAGGTTGGAAACAAACCACCAGTGGCCTAGTCCCTCGCTGATGCGAGAGGCGAGTTCATGCATCACCATGAACCCCCCTAGTTTGTACACTAGGGTCCCCGCCGCCAGAAAGACCAGGCTCCCCGCAAATATCTTCCAATGCTCTGCCGCGAGTGTAGTAAAGTCTACCGATGCGGACATTCTATACTTTCTGCTTTACAGCCTAATTACAAAAAAACAGGGGAAGGAGAAGCTTCCCAACTAGAGGTATACCAGCTCGGGTTGGCACCTGTCTACTGGAAGGAGCCACCCAGGGCGATCTATAACGCAATAGTCAATTTGCTATGATGCGATAATCGAGTATATCTTTCCAGTCAATGCATCTAAGAAGATAAGCTTATGTGTCGTCCTATCTTGAGTTAGCCTGGCTTTTCAGTTCACATGAAATCTTTGTTCAAGACATACCATCGGCCATCCATTGCCCGGACCGTGGCAATACTCCCTGGTCTGGAATCTTCTTGAGGAAATTAAGTATCCCTAATACCGTGACCCCGATCAGGATGATTTATAACCGATCCCCGCTGATTACTTGGCTCATGTCCACTGCAGTAGACATTTTGCTTTACTTGTTTGTAAAGTATTGATCAATTGTCTGCATAACGAAAGCAAAAGATATATTCTCTACACCTTCACTACCATCTGTCAGACGATTACACTTAGTTCAGGGTGTGGAGGTCCTTACCTGGATTTATATAGAGAAATGATTAAAGCATTTTGCATAGGCAAGAATGTGATAGTGATGGACTCTGGTGATGAGCTCATTTACCAGCTTCTCTCGCGACACAATGTAAGAGGGTATTTCTGTAAGAACAAACGATTAGATTTCTGTCATATATTCGAAGAGTGGATTGTTTACCAAATGGATGGACAATTCTGGATTGAGGGAAAGCTAGCACAGTAACATCACGTTGGCAGAGCGAGATGGCACATGACAGTGTTAAACCAGGTCAACACCTGTTGACATTTGACCTATCTTGACTCAGCTGCTTCTTCCAGGACTTGAGGAAAGGTTAAAGACATACCATATTTTATGAAGATTTACGGATTCGACTGTTGTTGCCATGTCTTTTATAGTTATACCATCGGCATCGCAATACTATCCCAATCGATTAGGTACAGTATACTTGGTTCTACTGGTTGTATCATCTGAATATATCGAGTTATCACATAGTTCCATGGTGTAGGAGGACCAATAAAGTAGTCAAAGTATTGATGATATTCAAGCTATAAAAGTTGGGAATAGTTGCAAGACAGGAAAAGTCAAGACTGCAAACTACGTGGGAAACCTCTGCAAGTCAGGTGATATTCCCTGATTGCATGTTTGACAATCAACCCATGTCATTGAAGTGATTAAAGAACCCAGTGATAAACATCCAGGTGCAGTTTGGTTAGTTGATGGAGAAGATGTTTCAAAAGATGTAGACAATAGACTGATTTGATTAGACATGAAACGCGTGATGACGTTCATTAACAAGCTAGTACTGCGATTAAAGATGAGCAAATAAAAAACAGTCTCATGATGAATTCATATTCATCCCCAGCAGCCATTCCAAACCTTCAAAATAGTGGCTTGGGGAGATCTGGATGAGGGTTATAGCGGCGTCGCACACGGATGCAGCAGGGGCATTCTTGGGAACAGTGACCATATACCAGCGCCTCTATCCTCTGTTCGTCGTATCGAAGCCTCTTCTTGTAGGTCAGCAGAGGCTTCTCACAGCATCCGCATGGTCGTCCACAGCAGCCCCCGCGATCTGCGCAGAATTCAGAGCTACACACCCAATAATAGGAGTGCCCGTGTCGATCAAAGTTGTAGCGGAGGATATCCAATCTCTCAAGCATAGGGGTCATCGACGGTTTTCTCCTCCCTGACTCTTGCATTTCGCACATACTTGCCCAGTATCCTTGGGTCATTTCGTGGATTTCCTCTTCGACTTGGCTGCTGAAGGAGGATTCGCATGCCTCCAGGTACCCTGGTGGGGAGTCTGGGGGCCTTTCTGCCATGCTATCTTGTTCCGCTGATTGCTCTTCACCCTGGCTATATAGCGATTGAAATCAAAGAAACGGCCGCCATCGCTTCTTCTCTTTCTCTTTCTCTTTCTCTTTCTCTTCTTCTTCCTCCTCCTCTTGCTCTTCCTCTTTCTCTTGCTCTTTCTTCTTCTTCTTCTTCTCCTCCTCCTCCTCATCCACTTTGTTGGTTAGACTCGCTGGTTGACCTTCGATCAGACGGCGTCTGCGTTGAAGACATGCGATTCCCCGCGAAAGAATCTCGTGGTAAGAGTACAACCATATCATATCCGGGGAATTCGCGTCTTCGACTAGCGGATCGTCGAGGTACTTCTCCTCCCAAGCCTTGATGGCTTTCTGGAAGACTTGTTCGCATTCATAGGTGGTAGTCTCGATGGGTTCGGTAAAGTCAATGGGATTCACTCCAAGAGCCATTTTGCGTAGTGTGTTGTAGTATGTGAAAACTGAAACTTGTCGCTCAGATAATTCTAGGTATCGGGCTTTATATATCCTCCGGAGATGACAGCATCGTGACGATATCAATGTCAGATTTACCATCCGCACGACCATGTAGACACCGACATGACCTCATCATGACTGACTGTAAGTAACCTATACTTGTGAAATAATTGCAACTGACTTGCAGAGCCTTTTATACCCCCCGTTGGTGTTTTTTAATCAAGAATTACTGTTGGGGGTTTCAGTCAGAAGCTGATCAGTGGTTTGGCGAAAAACTAACACACGGCTACAGAATGTATCGAGACACTAACCACATTATAACATCTTCAATTGCGACAAATTCTAACATTCCTTGCTCCGTCTACTCCATCTATATTATCCCTCGGCACTGTGGAGAGTGGATCCACCCCAGTGGGTCCCCCTGCAGGACACTAGAGCCCAATACGTACAAACGCCCGTCCGGACAGCTCGCCCCGCTACCTAATTTGTCTGGGAGCATTACTTTTAACTCCTACCTACTTGGGTAGGGTACCTCGACCTGTAAGCAAGTTCTAGAATCGGAATTCCTACCTGGAAATTGGAAATGATATACGATACGTGTTTGCCAGTCCGATTCACAGGTGGTAAGTGTATCTTTTATCAAATGGTGCGTATCACTGGATGACAGAATACTCAGGTTCTGCCACGCCCTTTTCATCACTCCTGTTCCCGACAACAACCTCAACTATACTACACCCCTCCACCTAGCGATTGCTGCTATCACCAATTTCCAACCGTGGCAGCTGGCAAATCCCCCTCGTTCCATGGCAGTGGCGGGTAACCTATCGCCTCTTGAGGATCAGTACCAGAAAGAGTTCTACCGCTGTCTTTTTCCTATATTGGATGGCCATGTGATAATGTCGCCCGAGTTCATCATCGACTCAGGGCCCAAGGGTGGCACGATTGACTTCCTTGTTGCTGGGAAGAAGTGAGGGTTAGAGCTTGTCCGAGAACGTGATCGGCTCGTGGAACATATGAAAAGGTTTGAAACCGGTGGTCAATATTACAGCACGATGCAAACAGGAGAAATGGAACGATATATCGTTCTCGACTTTACAAATACGGCACCAAAGAAACCTCGTCCAGGTGACACGTCCCTGACATCTCTTTTTCTCTTGACTAATATCTTCTCTAGAGTACAAGGGGAATCTCTACCACGTTGTGTTTTCTGAGAACTACCGAAAAGTCGATGTGGTTGATGCCTCGGATCTAAGCGTCGTCACGTCTTTCGCGTTGATGGAGCATGCAAATCCGATTGCCTGATATAAATTGACCGTCTATCATCTCAACCTGTGATTGCATCTAGATGAGATCCGGTATTCTGCAACACCTGGCAAGGAAAAGAGGGTTGAAAGGGGCAGCCACCTTTCAGAGTAGGTGAGATGACGAGTCGCGACCCGGTAGATGTACAATAAGGTAACATGGGCTCTCTGAAAAAAGTTTGGGGAGAAGGGAAATGGGGATCATAGGGCTTGGAGTTCTGACAGGCAGGTGATGACGATACCAACAATATGTCGTAGCACAACTGGATGCGATTCAATGTCATGGGAAACAGTCCACGTACGATATAAATTCAAGAAAAGCCGTTCATTTCTAGCTCTATCGTAAATTCCGGTAAGACTACATTTTATCATGTCAAGCAATTGGTATAAGCTCTACCCGAGGATATGCTGCTGTAACAGAATCAAATACGCAATCGAGCCAAGTCTAAGCCTTTCGGATCAGTCCGTCAGCGGGCTTAACACGCTGAGCCCATTCCCTACATATAGTGTCAGAGTTGCGTTCCCACAATCATTGGAGAGAAACTTACGTCCAGCTTCCATCGTACACCCGTCGCAGACAGGCATCGCCATACTCGGCCTCGCCCAGCGCGGTCTCGATAATCGTCGCAGTGACCCCCGTGCCGCACGAGCTGATGATCGATTTGGTCGGGTCGATCTCGCGCTTCTCAAAGATCTTGCGCAGTTCCGGACCGGACAGGTAGGTCTTGGTCTCCGGGTCTAGCAACTCCTGGAATGGCATGCTCGTGGAGCCCGGGATGTGGCCCGACGGCAGGCCGGGACGCGGCTCGGGATCCGTGCCCGCCCAGCGGCCGTAGGATCGCGCATCCAGGATCTCCACCTCCTTGGAGCCCTCCTTGCGGTGCTCCTTGGCGACCTCCTTCAGTTCCAGGTAGGGGACGACGAGTTTGGAGTCGTAGGTCGGCACGGGGTAGCTCGTCCGGTCCGGCTGGAGCGGCTCTCCCGTCTCGGTGGGGAAGCCCTCGCGGACCCAGAGACGGTAGTTATTGAGGATGTGGACCTTGGGATGACCGAATACCCTGAGGGTCCAGCCCACGCGCGGGGCGCTGAAGATGCCGAGCTCCTCGGTATCGTAGACGACAATTTCATCGTCGCGGCGGATGCCCAGCTCGCTCATCGCGTCGGCGAAGGTCTCGGCCGTCGGCAACATGTGCGGGTAGGGGGAGTCGCGGTCCTTGATGCCATCGAGATCGAAAAACCGGGCCTGGGGGATGCGATGCTTGCGGAAGACGTCCAGTCCTTTGCGACCTTCGGGGTCATTGGGCATAAACCAGGCGGCGCAGATGGGGACGACGCGGGGCGAAGTGGAGATTTTGGTGGGGGGGTTCTTCTGCAAGGCGGTATTTAACTCCTTTGGCGAAACTAGGTAGGAGGAGAACGAGACATGGCGGGTCTGGGAGGGTTGGCGCAAGTGTTGCGAGGCGGACATGGTCGGGCGCACGAAACGAGTAGTCGGTGAAGGGATGGCGGAACGAAAAGCCGCAAAAGCCATTCTGGCAAATTGGTGGATGGAGAGGAAGTCAAGGATCAGTATTTACATAACGAAGAAAAGAGAGAGAGAGAGAAAAGGGGGGGTTGTCAATAAGAAGCAAACGCGGTCATGCAGGGAAGGGGAAGATGTCAGTGGGAAGAGGGAAGAGTGGAGGAAGGAGGAGAAGAGGGAGGGGAGAAGATCAATGCGGAGTTCGGTCACCACACTTTCTTTTTGTCTGCTTTCTCCGCCATGTGAAAAACAACAACACTCGGTCCCGAGTTGGTTGCGCTCCGTCCGCTTCTCGTTGTTCCACTTGCTTCTGATTATTCTGGATTGTTATTATCGATTCTCAAGTCTCGATTATTAGTGATGATCGATTGATGATCATCGAGGAAGGAAATCCTGGTCTCCAACGACCGTTGATCTACGTCCCGATTCTATTAATCCCCGACCAACCATCCCATCCGAGATCACAATGAAGGTCACCATCAAGGAGTGGAATGCCGTCGCCACCTGGCGCTGGGATATGCCCGACGATGAAGTCTGTGGGATTTGTCGCGTCCAGTTTGACGGGACTTGTCCGACCTGCAAATTCCCGGGGGATGATTGCTCTTTACGTAGGGACCCGAGAACCATGTACGGGAATATCCTAACCTAATGTCTATCTAGTGTTGGGCAAATGTGGCCATTCCTTCCATATGGTGTGTTCCATATAACAATCCTGTCTGACGCGTGGGAGTGGAAAACTGACGGCGCAGCACTGTCTGATGACCTGGATCCAACAAGAATCCTCCAAGGGACTATGCCCGATGTGCCGACAGAGTAAGCGACCGGGCGCGATCTACCGGACCAGCTGCTAACGGGAGTAGAATTCGAATGGAAGCAGAACGAGGAGTGATCCGATGGAGGGAGAGAATATGGCGCATGGAGTATTGATAGAATCACGGACTTAATGACAATGCACAAGTCACCTGACCCGGCAACTCCACCCTGGTCAGGCAGGGAAAGACTGTTGCCTCATTCGGAAGTACTCTCACGGCTCTCTTTCTGCTACCGGGACTTTTTCAACTTCTCCGCCATCTCCCTCCGTTTCCCTTTTCTTTTCCCCCCATCCTCCCCTTCTCCTTCTTTCTCTCCTCCTTTTTATCCATCATGTAGCGCCAGCATGTCTCTTCCCAGGAACCTTCCCTCTCCTTCTTTGTCCTCTTCTCCTTCTAGGCATTCCGTTCGCCGCCTCCCCGACTCCGACGCTCCTTCCCGTCCCCAGAGCTTGATCGACCGGCCATCCCCCCCAGAACAGGCACCAGATCCCACCTCCCGCGAGGCAACTCCGCACCAGCCGGACCTGGACGAGAGAAATCAAGGGCCACCGTCGGTCCCGGAGGTTCACGACGAGGGAGAAGCCGCCGCAGACAAACCACCACAACAACAACAACCACAGTATGGACCCACCTTCCAGCCCTTCTTCACCCTTGTGGAGGACGCCCACTCCGCCGATTACTACCATCCCAATGTACACTACATCTTCTCGGATGACGACACCGATATCGTAACCGAAGCCGCCCTACGCTCCCTCGATTCTGATCAGCATGACAGTTTCCTTCACAGTCGGAAGCGGAAATCCCGCGATCTGCACCTGCAGCACCACCAGCACCAGCACCAGCCCGCTGACGACAACAGGACGACAGATCGCCCCTACGAGGAAGAGCTGCCCAGTCCCAAGAAAACGTCCCTTCTACCCGACCCCACTCCCGGCGTGCGCGATAACTACATCATCATGGACGTCAATCACGCGCCCGAGGCCGCGGCCGCCGCGGGCACCAATCCCGCCCCCGCTTTGGCCGGGTCTCCCGCCACCCAGGCCTCCGTGCCTCCGCGGCCCTCCGCGAACAACCCCTTCTCCGTGACGTCGGCCCAGAGCCTCACCCCCGCGTGGCAGGTTCTCGACACGCAGCTCGCCCCCGCCCCGACCTTCGAGAACAATTCCCCGGGGGACCAGCCCCACGATCGGGGGTTGATGCTCAAGATCCGAGGCACGGCGGGACTGCCGGTGAACGCCCTGGCGAAGGACCGGGAACGAGGCAGTCAGCAGCTGGAGGACATGATGGAACATTTCGAGAAGCGACTCAGCGAACTCCGGCGCATCATCGACGCGGGAGAGCAACCGCACGAGCCCGAAGTTCCACTGGAAGAGGCTGGGCCTCCTCCAGGAATGGACGTACCGAACGCAGTCGGCATCCCCCCCGAAGTAGAAAAACCATCTGGGTCGCAGGGTCGTCCCGAAGCCGAGGGGAAGGAAAAGGCCACGGCAAAGGTCACAGAAAAGGCCCAGGAACAGGCCAAGGAAAAGGCTCCGGAACAGCGCCAGGAGTGAGAAACAAAATCCTATGGACACGAGGAATGAAAAACTACCTTACTTAGCGGACCAGCAACATTTTGGATTGGATTGTTTTCTTTTTTTTTTTTTTTTTCTCTCTTACGATGTGAAAAAAACAAACGAACGTCCAGTAACCCACGGACTGTTTTTTTCTACTTGATCTCTTCTTATTTGATTTGATTGTTTTAGACTTCGGACTCGATGTGATTGTCACTATTACTGGTGTATGGGCTTGCATTCAGGATAATTGATCTGGGTTTCACATTTTCAATAACTGTTCTAGAGAAGAGCACCTAGTTATTAACACGTCCCCCCAAAGTGGAAATTACTCGCAATAAGTAAGACTTGCATCCTAGCAATATAGATATCTGAGCTACCTAGGTATTTAAGTAACCAACCCAGTGATCCCATCCACGCCATATCCCCTAAACAACATTGGAAAGCACAAACAGTTCCAAGAACAGATGGGAACAAACAATACAGTCAATCAATCAATCAATCAATTCCAAACCAGAACGACCTGACCCTGACCACCGAGAAAATAATAAAAATAATAATAATAATATAGGTGCAATCAATCAATCAATCAATCAATCAATCAATCAATCAATAATAAAAAAATAATAACAGTGCCAAACTCGATCTTCCTTAACGCCACTCATGCAACAATCAAAAATCAACAATCAATCAAAAAAAACAACTACAAAAACAAGTGGTATATAATCCAACGAGCAAAACAAAATTTAACTTCAATCCAATGCGACAATCCAGCTAAGGCGAAGGACGCCCTCTCAGTCGACGACCACCGGCAGCAGTAGTAGCAGCAGCAGGAGGAACATTCTCGCTCCCTTCCATCATTGTCCCAGGGACTTTTTTAGACGCCATCATCTTCTGAGGTAGCTTAGTGTCCGACGGGGACGGGTTCGAGCGGCGTTTCTTCGCCGGGGGCTGGTCGGAGTCTTCGTCGTCGGGGGTGTGGGCCAATTGGTGGTTTAGGGTTCCGAGGTCCTTCCCGATCGGGGTGGTGTCCGGGCTAGGCGCGAGTGGCCGCGCGACATTTGCGTCGACTTCCCTGAGGCCGCCTGTGGGGTTCGCTGCGGATGAATGGGCCGCTGGCTGGGCATCGACCTCGTCGCTGTAGACGAACCCTTTAGAGGGGGAGGTGGCGGGGGAGCTGCTGAGGGTGGAGAGCTGGTCTTCGCCGCTGAAGGGGAGCGCGGTGAGATCGCGCGAGGTTTTGATGCTGCAGCGGAGGGAGTCGTGGGTTTCGGTGCGTGGTAGGTCGGAGGGGTATTCGTATCGTCGCTTTTGTGGGGTCGTGCCCGTGACGATGTATTCCTTTAGTGGGCGTTCCTGGATGTGAGTCCGGAGCTCGGCGAGGGGCTTGCGGACATCGCCGGACAAGGGTTGGGTCGATTGGAGTAGGTTGTTTTGGTGCTCGGTCGCGTCGTGCTCGAGTTGGCTGATGCGGTCGCCGAATCCAGAGAATTGTCCGCGGACAGACGAGTATGATTCGTGGACGTTGGACACCATTCCGTCGAGGCTGGACATGTGAGCGTCGCAGTAGCGGCCGTTCTGAGACCGCGCCTTGGCGACGAAGTCGTCTAGAGCGCCCATCTGTTTGCTCATGTCTTCCATCTGGGCGTCCACGATGCGGACGGTCTCTTGGTGGACCGATTCCGTCGTCTTTTGGATAGACGCGTTCCGCTGGTCGAACAGCTCCCAGTCGTTCTGCATTTTCGTCTTGATGTCTTCCTTGGACGCGGTGACGTCTTTGGCGAACTGTTCCGATCGGAACACCCATTCGTCCACTTGGCGGTCATGGTGGGTTGTCGCATGCTCGAGCGACTCCCCAGACGCGGTGATGTCGGTTCGCATAGTTTCAACTCTGCCCTTCAGCCGCGAGACCTGTCGCTTCTTAGACTCGTCCATGAGGGTCTTGATTTGAGACAGTAGCTGATCGCGCTCGGCCTGTGCGTTCGCCTCTTCCTCGTCCAGGGTTTGTGAAAGCTGCGAAGATGTTTTGCGGTTTGCTTCGACGGTTCTCCGGTTGGCCGCCTGGAGCTCCAGGCGGAGTTGATGGATCTCAGCCTTTTGCCCATTGAGATGGTCGACCATGCCCTCGAACAGGAATTTGAATTCCTTGCCAAGTCCGCTATATGATTCGTGGAGCTACGCTTGTTAGTAGAGAAAACAGTGCTATGTTGGACGGTTTCGCTTACCTGGGCGTGGAACTCGGTGAACTCTCCAATGACCTCCTTGGAGATGCGCTCGGCAGCTGCAGACAAGCCATTGAGGCCTTCCCCAACTCGTTGCTTCACCTCCTCGCGCAGATCCTTGATCTCTTCCAGAACATTATTCATTTCCTCGTGAGCCGCGGAGGTTTGCGATTTGGCCTCCTTCTCTGCCTTGTCGAAGCAAGCGTCGAAATTCGACAATTCACGCTGGCTGGACTGGATGTTGCTGAGCTCGCTTGTCACATAGCCCTTGATCTTGTCGCCCATCTCCGTGACAAGTCTCGAATGAAGAGACTGGAAGGCATCTAAATTCGTATCAACTTGTTTGGTGACACCAGCCACCTGGTTGGCAGAAATCCTCCAGGCTTCCCTGTTGGTGGCTTCTAGATCGGCTTTCCGCTGGATCTTGGCATGTAAGCCATCAACATCCTCGACGGTGCTGCCCAACGTCGTCAGCAGTCCCTTTCCAATGCTGTGCAACTGGTTTTCAGTGGCCTGGTGTGCTTTGCGCAGCGCCTCCTCTTCCTCCAGCTGTGCCTTGGTATCGCTCAGTACAATCTCAGTCTTCTCTAGGACATCGTTGGTGCTATTCAACGCAGCGCGGGTGTCCTCGTGATCCTGCTTGAGACCATTGAAGTTGCTGGTCAGGGTGAATAGCTCTTGCACCTTGTTGCGCAAGCTCGTTTCCATCGACTCGATCTTGGCCCGCTGCTCTTCATTGACAATCCGTCGCGACTCGTTCTCCATGGTCAGCTCTTCGTACGCATCAACAGCCATGTAGACCCCGTTTCGATGTCTCGTTGCAATGAGCTCGGCCTTGAGCTTCTCGATCTCGAATGTAAATTCCCGAAGAAGCGTCTTCTTGGACATCGAGTTGATCTGTGGTTTGTTGCGGATATTCTTGGCGCGGAAGGCGTAGTCGAGCGTTGATATCGTCTCCTCCAAGTTGCTCCGAGAAGGCGAGACCGTCGCAATGATGCAGGTTTTGGTGCGACCGCCCAAAGAATCTTGCAACAGGCGCGTCAATTTCGATTCTCTGTAGGGAATATGCGGGCTCTTGTCGACCAACGCATTGATCACTCGGCCAAGCGTGAGCAAGCTCTTGTTGATCAAACCCGCCTCTGTCGCACGCTTGTTCTCTGCACCACTGCGCTGAATATTCTCACTCCCAGCCAAGTCCACCAAATTCAGCTTTCCTGAACTAATGTATTCCTCGCCGGATTCGGTCGTTCGCTTGGTATGTACGGTAATCGTAAACACCGTGTGACTGCGGGAACTGAGATCATTGCATTTGGTCGCGGCAACCTGTCGTTTATGACTTCCGGTCTGGAGCAGTTTGATACCGGCCGTGGCTGACTCGATGTATGTTTCCTCCATCCCTTGCACCATTGTGGTGTGACCACCCTTCTTGCCCTCGTTGTCGAAAATCTTCAATTTCTGGTTATCCTCCACAGACAGCAGGTCGCGCAGCTCTTCGTTGTACAACTCGATGAACGAGCATTTCACTGTGCTCTCGGCGGTTTCCTGGAGCTTGTGGAATAAGGAGTAGAGCACCCGAGGGATGATACCCGCGTTGTCAGACAGTATCCCTAGCGTATCGGTCATATCCCCCGACATCGTGTAGGTCTTTCCCGTCCCCGTTTGTCCGTATGCGAAAATCGTACAGTTGTAGCCGGCAAGCATCTGCGCAACGTTAGCAAGACTGTCGTGACCATGGTTCCAGCAATTCGCCCACCTCGTTCACTATCGGCAACGCAACATCTTCGTACACGATAAGCTGATCGGCAGCTGCGGAGAAAACCTTGTCAAACGTGTAGGTCTTGTTCGACACCGCATTTGGGCCCATTGACAGGTCGACGGATTTCCCCTGCACTCCTTCTGTCGACACCACCACCCCACTGTTCTCTTTAACTTCCCGGTCATTGCGTCCTCTGCATCGCACGACGACATGTATGCTGGTATCTTCGTTCACCCCACGCTCGTAATCACGCTCTTTCCTCTTCGCAGCCACACTCGCCGGTTCCGCCGGGGTCCTGAGGGTACGCGACCCCGTATTGGGTGTTTTTAAAGCTGTGGCTGGAGAGTCCGATCGTTCTGACAAAGCGCCGGTCAACCGCCGCGTCGGCTGGCGTGTGGGCTGGCGTGTGGGCTGGCGTGTCGCAGTTCGTCTGGTGGGCAAACCCGAGCTCGCCCGTTGCGGGGGGGGCATGGTGAGAAATTGGCGCCCGCAATGTAATGACAAGGACAATATCAAATCAATAGATCGCTAACGGAGTGGGAAGCAATGTGGGAGAAAAGTATAGATAGGAGTTGTGTGGATGTGGAGTTGTTGTGCTGCCATCCCAATCGGGAAAACGTAAACAAACCCTTCACCGCCCACGTGATACGTCAACAGGGGTCATGCTTATCGCTCACATGACATTATGAGCTCATCGGTGATCCGCCTGACTACTCCGGACTCCGCATATCAACAACCTCCTGCAGACCTCCTTATGACTCGATAACTTCTACAATATAGCTGTCGCTCTATCAGGACTATTACTTTGTCTTTGCTGGGTTACGCTCTTGGATGACAGCTCGGTGACGGGGAAGCAATAATCTATTCTCATACTAGGCTCGACGATGAGCATCGTCTGCAGATCATGGCTGCACCCAGACCATCAACGCAGGTCCAGATCTCCCCTGGCAAGGGGTTGGGTCTCATAAGTATATCTATTCTTTCACGCTCATCTATCACAATACTAATGTTGAATAGTTTTGGGAGCTTCTTTACACAACGTACTGGGACATGTCAAGTCTCACCCCCAAACCTACCCCGCGATCGAGATAGCCTACTCCCCATCCGACCCTCTGCGCAAGCCCGTTACCCTACAGCTGCCCGAGAACGGACTCCGTCTACGGTTTGATGGACCAGACCAGCGACTGCGTCTCATCGAAGTGCTGGACTTTTCGAAGATTTCGCTCGTCTACAAGAACCAGGAAGTGCTAAAGGGAGCCAAGCCCCATGAGCCGCCTGCATCGCAGCAGGGACCCAGCTTCCGGCATATCTACAATCGCCTGTTCGGCCCTTCATACCCAGGGGAGTATGTACCCCCATTGAACGGCTCGCCGTACGGCACGTACGTACTGTCGTATCCCGGCATCGCTTTCTCTTTCCCCCTCCAGCATTCGGCCTGGTCGGACCAATGTGACTTCGTAGCTTTACTCTCTTCGACTGCCGCAATGCCGGCCACCTCGTTGAGCGTCTTCCAGGGTCCATCGTGGCCGGAAGTCAGAGCCAATCTATTCACCCAGCAGCCGCAGTATCCGCGTTTCCCCCCGCTGGCAGGGAAGAACAAGGACTCTGTCGCTGACGAGGTGGAGGAGTTCATCATCTGGGGCGCAGGCAAAGTCCAAGCGATCCGACGATCGACGCCACCCACTCACATCACCTTATCGCGCACAACGCCGCAGGATCTGATCGCCGAGTTCGGGCCTCCCGACGCCATATACCGTAAGCATGATCGAAGGATCTCCATCCACCGCGCCGCCGGTGGTGGCGGTGGCAGTCAAGACCCTCTCGGCATGAGCCCTTCGCCAGGGAGAGGCATCGATATCACCGATACCGATCAGTCTTCCAACAACAGTGCCGCCGATGACTCAGATGATGAGGTGACCACGACCCTAGACCCTTCGTCACTACCAACTGAATGCTTTTTTAATTACTTCCATCACGGTTTTGACGCATTCATTTCCCACCCTGATACACCCGGGCCTGCTCTGCCGGGATCAGCCTTGTCGGATCCCACCCCCGTATCCCCTTCATCCCAGTTAGTCGTGACCAAGATCATCCTGCATGGTAACGTGCCCGGGTCATACCCTTTCAACCGCCACCGACGCAGTCGTTGGAGGATCAGCTTAGACTCCTCCGAAGATACCATTTCGTCAGAAACGCGCTGGGACGAAGTTTTCGGGCGACTGAAGGACGTGTGGAAGGGGTTCTATGCCAGTTCAACGGAAGAACGAGCTCTCCAGCGGCCGATGGTACTCAACCGAGGCTGGGGAGACAGTCCTGAGAGCAGCGTTGAATTCCTCGGCGGTTGGGAAGAAAGTACAGGCAAGGGACAGAGGGCCGGGAATGACGGCCACGATGCGGGTCTGGGCAATACTGAGCTATTTGGGTTTCCTGGTCTTTTGTTTGAGGTGTTGAAGAATGGGGCAGTCAGCTGTGTGACAATATATTAACTCTGGATAGGCGTTGGCTTGGTTGAACACATTACTTCGTAACTTTTGAGGAATGATTGGTGCTATTGAATTATATCTAGATCTAATGGAGTGTCACATTTCCAATCCTTATTTGCAACTCATGCGAAAATATCCCTGAATCTCAACAGGTAGGTTGCTCATATTGCGCCAACTGGTGAGTACGGTGGTCATTACAATACACCCTATCTCAGCCTCCAATTGGTCCACCCCCATAATATAACCACAATAAATTACGCCCTTTCCGACAGCTCCAGCCCAGATCGATCGGCATTCCAACTCTCCAGCCAACTCGAACTCACCACCAACACCACCCTCGCAAAGCAGGACATGCTTCAGTGGTAGTATGCCGGAATTGCCACGGTCGCTCGCTCGATCTTGGTCGTCGACGCTCAAGCTCCCCAAGTCGACGTTCCCCGCCCGCGTAACGCCCGTCGACCAGACGAAATACCTGCGACGATGCACGGACGACCTCTACGCCTGGCAGCGCCGTGAGAGACCGGCGGATGGGCAATTCGTGCTGCACGATGGGCCGCCCTACGCGAATGGCGAACTACATGTGGGGCACGCCCTCAATAAGGTCCTCAAGGATATCATCTGCCGGGTGCAGCTTGGCCGCGGGAAGCGGATACGGTATGTGCCGGGGTGGGACTGCCACGGGCTGCCGATTGAGTTGAAGGCGCTCGAGGCGCAGAGGGCGTCGGGAGAGGCGACTGGACCGGTTACTGCGGCGGTGATCCGGAAAGCTGCGCGCAAACTCGCCGGGCGGACCGTCAAGGACCAGATGAAGGCGTTTCGCGGATTCGCTGTCATGGGCGACTGGGAGAATCACTGGAAGACGATGGACAAGGGATTTGAGAAGAGACAGCTGGGGGTGTTTCGCGAGATGGTCGAGAATGGCCTGATATACCGGAGATTCAAACCCGTCTACTGGTCGCCGTCGACTGGGACGGCGCTGGCGGAAGCCGAGTTGGAATACAAGGAGGACCATGTGTCCACTGCGGCGCTGGTCAAGTTCCCTGTCGTGGATATACCGTCGCATCTCGCTTCGAACCCCTTGCTACGTGGGAAGGGGATCAGCGCGGTCATCTGGACGACCACTCCCTGGACGCTTCCTGCGAATGCTGTCATTGGCGTTCACCCGGATCTGGAATACTCTATTGTGCAATCGGACGCGCACGGCTATTTGCTTATCGCACAGTCACGGATAGAATACTTGCAAAGCATTTTGAACGAGGACCTGGGCGTGATCGTACCCTCGGTCCTTGGATCGGAATTAGCGGACCGGACTACGTATCGCTCATTATTCAAGGGATCCGACGCGGAGGCCCAGCCGATTATCACTGCGGACTTTGTCTCTGCTGACTCCGGCTCGGGCTTGGTCCACTGTGCTCCCGGCCATGGGATGGACGACTACGAGGCGTGTGTGTCTCGCGGTATTCCTGCTTTCGCTCCCGTCGACGACCACGGTAAATTCACCAGCCTTGCGATGCCGGAAGATCCCCAACGGCTCAGCGGGAAGGAGGTCTTGACGGATGGAAACGCAGCGGTCCTGGAGTATATTGAATCTGAAGGCTACTTGATTTCGAAGAACCAGTACGAGCACAAATATCCCTACGACTGGCGGTCCAAGCGCCCCATTATCATCCGGGCGACTGAGCAATGGTTCGCCGATGTGGCCGACATCCGCGGCGACGCGGTCAAGGCACTGGAGGATGTCAACTTCGTCCCGAGTTCCGGACGAGTGCGCTTGGAGAACTTTGTCAAGAACCGGAGCGAGTGGTGCATCTCGCGTCAACGCGCGTGGGGTGTTCCCATCCCCGCGCTGTACGATCGGAGCACGGGAGACGCCGTCCTCACCAAGGATAGCGTCTCTCACATCATGTCCGTGATCGAGGAGCGAGGGATCGACGCATGGTGGACGGACGACGCCAACGACACTGCTTGGATCCCAGCCTCGCTGCGGAACGCACCCGAGGCGGGCTACCGTCGCGGAACCGATACCATGGACGTCTGGTTCGACAGCGGCACCAGCTGGACGGAGATCGACACGCCTTACAACAATGGATACCCCGCTGACGTGTACCTGGAAGGGTCGGACCAACACCGCGGATGGTTCCAATCCGGGCTTCTCACCTTTACGGCGCACCAGATCGCTGCAGGCCACAGGGCCGATACCCGTGCTCCTTTCAAAAACTTGATTACTCACGGATTCACCCTGGATGAGGAGGGCCGCAAGATGAGCAAATCCATCGGCAATGTGATCGATCCCCAGACCATCATGGACGGAACTCTCCTGCCCCCGCTCAAGCCCCGGAAAGGCAAAGGCAAGAAACAGCCCGCGAACCAAGGCCCCGTCTACGATGCGCTGGGGCCTGACGCCCTGCGCATGTGGGTAGCCAGCAGCGACTACACGCGCGACGTCGTGATTGGAAAGCAGGTTCTCCAAACCGTCAACACCAGTTTGCACAAATACCGCGTGACATTCAAGCTGCTACTGGGCGCCATCTCGGATTTCAACCCGCAGAATATCCTCCCGTACGACCAGCTGCAGCAAACAGACCGGATTGCACTCATGCATCTATCCGAGATGGTGTCGGCGTCGCAAAAGGCCTGCGAGGGCTTTGAGTTCTACCGTGCCGTGAACGCCATCAACCGCTGGGCGAACATGGAGTTCTCCGCCTTCTACATGGAAGCCATCAAGGACCGGCTCTACACCTACGGAGCGGACAGCGCCAGCCGTCGCGCCGCGCAAACGACGCTGTTCCACATCTACCAGCATCTGCAGGAAATCCTGGCGCCTATAACTCCAATGCTGGTGGAAGAGACGTGGGAGCACACCCCCGAGGCCATCAAATCGCGATGCGAACACCCCCTGCAACGCATTGCCTCATTCCCGCCGGCGGAGTGGCAAGACCCCTCGCTTGGAACGCACTACCACGATATCATGGCAGTCGGGTCGGTGATCAAGGGCATGCAAGAGCAGGCGCGGGGGCAGAAACAAATGGGCTCGTCGCTGCAGTCGTGTGTGCATATCGTCCTTCCGGAAGGCGACAGCGCGGGGACCGCCCTCCAGCACAATCTGGCCGAGCTGCCTGATCTGTTTGTTGTGTCTTCGGTCACCCTTGGGTCTCACGGCGAGGCTCTCCCCAGCGCGACCACCGACGCCGAGTGGCAGTACCACGAGACGTACGAGCTCCCCAGCGGCGGAACCGGCATCGTCTATGTATCTGCTCCGCAGTCGTCTAAGTGTCCCCGTTGCTGGAGATACGTACTGGAGGAGCCCGAGCCCGTCGAAGAGACGGTGTGCGATCGGTGTGAAGAGGTGGTTCGCGAGCTGGACGCATCGGCCGCGAGCAAGGGAGACGCATGAATCAAACAATCGCCAATCAATCTGGATTATGAACATCTCACTCATGTATTATAGTGTAATAGACAAAAAAAAATAACCTGATCTGTAACTGAGTTACCTGATTAACCATCACCACCACCACATCTCCAACAATATCAGACCCAACCACGAATCACAGCTATCTGTATATTAATATCAGCGTGGCAAAAAACATAACCAGCCAGGTTACAAACATCCTAGTCATTGCAGTAGCAGGAGCGCATTTCCACGGGGTCCGCAGACGTGGGGAGAAACGAGATTGGTCGGCGCGGGAGGAGCATCGGATGTCGATGACGACAGCGTCGAGGTCAGCATGACGCGGAGTGTAACGTCTCCATCTGCTTTCCATAAATCCTTCCTTTTCTCTCTTTTCATCTTTCTTTACTATTTTCACTGAAGAAAAATAGTTGCATTCATAGTCTGGATTGATTCGGATTGTAATTACCAAGCTCTTTTGCCTATACCAACTTTATACAACTGAGTATACTCCATCCACAACAGTATACTTCACCATGATTGAAGCCATCGACACAGCAATGAAGACCAAAACTCATCCTCTGCCGCCCACGACGGCTCCAACGTCGGTGGCGCCCATTCCCACCGTGATCCCGGGCACGCCGTTCTTCCAGGAGCTCCATTCGACGGGGCATCGCACGTTGTGGTATGCACATGAAGGTTCAGTCTAACGATAGAACTGTAGCTAACCATCATGAACAGGGTGGTAACCGTCCTCATGGCCATCTCGTCTGTCGTCTTCTACGTTCTCGCTGCGCGTGTACCGCTGGTACGTCAACCCCTCCCCCAATACACTATGCCTCTAACAAGCCACAGCCCAGACGAGTCTTCCACACCATCACCTCAATCATAACAACCATCTCCTTCATCATCTACCTAGCAATGGCAACCGGTGAAGGCACAACCTTCAAGCACGACATCCTGCGGCACGCCAACAAGCACGTCCCGGACACGCACGACGACATCTTCCGGCAGGTCTTCTACCTCCGCTACATCAACTGGTTCCTGACGGAGCCGCTCCTGCTGTTCAACCTGTCTCTGGTCTCCGGTCTTCCAGGCGCGCACCTGCTCACCGCCGTGGCAGGCGACTACGTCATGCTGGCGTCGGGTCTGCTGGGCACGTTCGCGGGCCACACCGCGCGCCGCTGGGTGTGGTTCACTATCAGTGCGATTGGCTACCTGGTCACGGTTTATCAGATTGGGGTGAATGGATCACGTGCGGCTAGACGCAAGGATCCGCAGACGAAGCGCCTTTTTGGCTCGATGGCTGGGGCGACCTTGTTGGTTAGGGCGCTGTATCCTGTGTATGCTCCACTAACCCCGCCTGCCTTGATTTGAGTGAGACTTGCTAATCGTTGATAGTGCTATTGCGGGTGGCGCTCTGGCGCTGAAGCTCGGTGTCGATACAGAGAGTGTGCTCTTTGCTATCCTTGATATCTTCAATCAGGGTATTGTCGGGTATTGGTTGTTGTTGTCCCATGATAGCACTCCTGAGATGTACGCCCCCACATTATCTTTCTTTCTTTGATTGTAACTTGACTAATCGTGATAAAGTGCCACGTACATCGACGGCTTCTGGTCCAACGGGATCGGCAATGAGGGTGCAATCCGGATTACCGAGGAAGACGGAGCTTAAGCTTGACAACGTGGCTGTTGAGCAGGATGGGGTTGATCAGTGTAGGGTAGGTACCTACAGTACACTGAGGATGAATAACGAAGACAGTACAAAGGACAGAAGTAGCCAACATCAAGTTCGAAAAGTGATTCGACGGAATTCTTAAGGAACATTGTCGACGGTGGAGAGTTGAGTCAAGGCAACTGGAAAATAGGGAGTACATTCGATTAGGGACAGTATGTAATGGCATGATTCGTTTGTGTAATTAAGTAGCTAGTTGCTATATTATTCTGATATTTGATAATGATGAGAGTATCAACCTGCATTGGAGTACTGGCATTTAGAAATCAATTGTACTTTGGGTATGTGATGACCTAGTTGGGATAGACATGTTCATGGTGTGCCTCAAGATATCAAAATCTGATCCATATTAGTGAAGTACCATCACAAGATACACCGTCTGTCTCCAATACTCGTCACACCTAAATCTTCTTACTGTCAACGATGTGCCTCATCTTGGAATCATTCGCACCCCGGTCATTCTCGCCCACTCTGTACCTCTCTTCTCCACGTCCTCCCTTCCCATCACCATCCTTACCACAATCCAGTCTTCCTCCCCTATTCATACTACCACCCTTCCCAATCTCAACAACCCTAAGCTCCTGCTTCAAATCAACCCACCGTCCAACAACCAACCTCTCCTCCACCGGACGCGGGAACCTCACAACAACCTTCTTCATCGCCCGACAGAGATAGAAACCCGCGTCAACGCAATCATCCTTAAAATTCACACACTGGAGTCTCCGCGGGTCAAACCAGTGCAGGAAGGGGTCCGCGTCGACGACGAAGCCGGTTAGAACGAGCGTCTTGATAGACAGACGGTTGAGCGTGCGTCCCGTCGCCATGGCGCGGACTTTGGCTTTTTCGATGGCGAGTTTGTCAAGGTACTCGCCCCAGCCGATTTTGGGGTCGAGGGTTCCGGTGCCATTTTGGCCGCTGTACAGTTATCATTAGCTTGGGGTGGTCACAGTGGAAACGAAAGGAGGTTGATACCTGGGAGAGGGGGACGTACTAGTAGACCGGCTCACCGTAGTGCACCTTGCTCATCTGCCATCCACCCTTCATAAAAGGCCACCTATAAACGGCAGTACGACTATACCTCGGCGGCAGCGCCATGTCCAGCTCCAGCTCCTCGAGGTTCGTGTTCAGCCACGCCGCCTGCCAGATGTACTTCTGGTAGGAGTGCATCATGCCGGTGAGCTTCAGCACGCGGAGGTTGCGAAAGAGACACAGAGGGGCCAATTCCTCGATGGGCAGTTTGGTAGGCGCTCTCTGTCTTGAATCGTCGTCGACGTTATCACCATCTTCCTCATCATCTGACTCCTGGCTGAGGTCAATAGGCCAGAACACGTCCAGTCCCAAGATCCTTCTATCCTTCGGGATAGTATCCCACTGGTCTCCACCGCGGAAACTCATAAGCGGCTTGGCCGGGGTGCCTTGATCGGCTGGGATCAGCACAGGGGTAGGCGGACGAGTGATCCTCTCCGAGGACTTTTCTCTCCTTAGAAGGCTCATCCTGTGGAGGGATCTGCGCAGGAGAGAGTTCGAGCGCCGTCTTTCAATGTCTTTCTTGGGGAATATCGCGCGAGACTGGGATCGAGCGCGTCTGGGTTCGCTGAAGGCGTCTCCTTCCTTTTCCTCTTCGTCGTCGGAGGCCAAGGTGATGGAAAACGTAGGACGGCTGAAGATGGGACGGCTAGATCTAGTGAAGGGTAGTCCTAGGGCGTCGCTCATGGAGAAGCGCCGTCGGTGTGTCTTTTGAACGACGGGATGCTCGCTGTCAGTGAGGGACTCGACGACACTGGAGTTGGTGCTTGCGGCCTGGGAGCGCAGGTTCTGGTCTGAGCCGATCTTGAAGGGGAATCTGGTGTGGATTATTTGGTCATGGTCTATGCATCTTAGTGAGTGGAGGATCAGAGTAGGAAATAAGATGAGGTTTCACCGTCAATATCATTGCTGGTTCTCTGGTACTCCTCCGCGTCTTTCCAGAAGTCTTCTCCCAGCAGTGTGGCTCTCCAGTGAAGAGGGTGATCTTCAATCCTGATCATGTCGTCTTCCATTTTTAGAAGATATGGTGAGATCGCCACGGCGATGAGTGTGAGTGAGTGAGAGGAGTGGAAGACAGCGGAAGATGGGAGGAGGAAACAATCTCTCCAGACTGAGAGACATTCACTTACTATCACAGGTGTATACAGTGATAGCGTGAATAAACCACTCTTTGTTGCCTGTTGTAGACCTAAACAGTCACTCTATCCTCCTACAGTCATGCTCTTTATTCCATATATTGCATTAAGTATATCAATTTGAAACAACTTGACACAAACACATTCAATATCATTTAAGAATAACTATCGCCTCACAAACCTCAACGGTACACTCTCCTGCATAGCCAGCGTCAGCACAGTCAAGCTCTCCCCCAGCACCCTCTCAGCATCCATACGCCCCTTCACAGTATTATCCTCCAGCTCCACGCGATACCTCCCAAAAAGCACAGCCATGGCAACCACAAACTCCACCTGCGCGAATTTCTTCCCCAAACAGGCACGGAATCCATCACTGAAGGGGATATACGCGCCGCGGACGGGTTTATGGACACTGCGATATTCGAGCCCGGGGACAGAAAGGCCAGGCAGGTCCGCGTTCTGGGCTAGAAAACTGTCCTTGTTTCGCGCGTCCCATCGCTGGGGGTGGAAATCGCGTACGTCGTTGCCCCAGTACTCTTCGGAATAGTGTAGGGCGTTGGCGTCCAGTGTGACGCTCACTTTAGGGGGGAGCACGTAGGTTTTGTCACCGTGGACGAGGCGGCTTGGGGTGTTGCCTGTCCATTTGGGGATGCTCGTTACGGGTGGGTACAGGCGCATGGTTTCCAGCTGTGGACTATTAGACGGGGTCCCCATGAGAAAGATCGACAGACTTACCATAATGCAGAGCGGGGCGACCAGTTTGGGGAACATATCGGCGTAATCCCAGCTCGCTGGGTCGGAAGAAGCGTCCTGCGTGGCCTCGACAATGCCCTCATATAGCCAATCCTGGGCATCCTGGTTCAGAGCCAGTAGCACCAGGGCATATCTCAGCGTCGTTGCAACGGTCTCGTGTCCAGCAACAATGAAGATGAACGCATTGCCAACGACCTCGCTATCAGAAAAACCAACATCTTTAGACCCCCTCTCCGCCGGACCAGCCCTCCTCGCATAGTCCCTAGCAGCGAGCATCCCCTGCAACAAGTCCGACTTACTCTCCCGATCGCCCACAACTCTCGCTGCCTCGCCCCTAGCAACCAATTTGTGCAAATAAGCCCCTAAATCCCGATACGCCGCAAACTCTTGCTTGAAAAACGGCACCAGCGCCCTAGGCGTCCAAGCAGGCAAGACCATATTAGCCGCCAAAACAGCCTTCAAGTGTGTATTCATGTACGCGACGACTCCCCTAAACGTATAGTCAAACCCCGGCGCCGGCGGCACAGTATCTTTGAAGATATCGTCCGGCGCGGTGGCCGCCTCCTGCGGGACGGGCTTAAACGGCATGTGCACGCCGAACCCAGCGCTGGAGAAGATGTTCAGCGTGAACTTCAGGATGTCCTCTCTGCTGGTGCGCACTGTCACTGCGTCGATGGATGCATCCGCGGGAGATGTGCGATCGCGCCAGTGCTCAATCATCTCGGTTGTCTGCCGGATTGATTGGGTCCAGACGAGTGCGTTGTTCTTCTCATTAAATGCCGTCGCCGTGTGGCGGCGATGGCGCGCCCATTCGGTGTCTTCGCACTGGACGCTGTCAATGGTACATACATATAGATATAATAAAGGGGACATAAAAGACAGAAGCATACCGTAACGAGATTCGGCCCATACAAACCAAGAACATCTACCAGCGTCAGCATCAGCATCCACCACCAAAGATACCACAGCGCGAAACAACAACCACCCGACTACTCACCATACATCCAAGTCGGCTTCGGAAAGTCCTGTCGCGCATTGAACACATAAGCAGCGACCTCAGCATCGCCAACGCGACACATAACCCCATCGGGGTTAACAACAACATGCACCGAACCGCGACGCTTAGACTGGCGATTCTTCCCCGTCCATCGCTTATCGAACGTGTTATCGTTGACTGCGTCAGCGAGCCAGCCAGGAAGACACTGGTCCACGATATAGCGGGCCCATTTCGTGGTAAAGAGAATTGATACGATGACGCCGGTGCTTTTGAGGGGGAAGACCACGTAGGGGAGACCTGTGCGCTGGGCGATGCGCACGTTTCGGTGCAGCTTTTGGATGAAGTTGAGGGTGGACCAGGCTAGAAGGCATAAGATTGCGGTGGTCCAGATCATGGTGACGGTGGTATGTATAGGGGTTTGCCTATCCAAGCGTGCAAGTGCAAGGCTGGAGAGTTTGGCATGAGCGTGCATCGTCCATGTGGGAGGGGAATGCGCTAGTCCGCGTTTCTGGGCGGAGTGAAACGCCGGACTACCACCTTTGCAGGGTTATTGCGCGAGCGCATACAAGCTGTCGCATGTTGACCACTGATATCACGATGGGGGTCCTACATATGGGATGTAGCTTTGTGACTGGCCGTACGCATCGGGACCTTGTTGATATCAGACTTGGCGTCATTACGTCCGTATAGAGCGGAATGCGATGTCATATCACCGTCCGCATAGCTCTGGTCCCTACAACATCCAATCAAAAATCTAATCCCATCCAAGATGTAAATGGCGAAGGAGCTGTTTGATTGTCTTCACGCTAATTTTGCTTTTTTTTTGTTCCCCTACCCGTAATTACATCCATAGACACCGTAAAGTCGCGTAGTCGAGCGTGATTCGAACCAACTCCTCCCGAGCCTGTTCGGTTCTCTTGCCATAATCGAGGTGATTCCGTCAGATAGGAAAGAAACCAGTAGATCAAAAACAATCATGAAAATTTATTCCCGTAACTGCACTGCGCTGCACTACCCTAGTACTTCTTGCCCTGACGCAGGACGTCACCGAACTCCTCCAGGGGGCTCCGGATGAGCTTGGTCTCCTGCCACAGGTTGGGGGTGAGGAAGCCGTAGGAGTTGATGACGGCGACGAAGGTGGCCTTGAGGGTGTTCTCGAGGGTCTTGGTGGAACCGGACGACTGGGTGTAGGCGTCCTGGACACCGGCGAGCTGAAGCAGACGCTTGACGGCGGGGGAGGCAACGAGGCCAGTACCACGGGGGGCGGGGATCAGCTGTTCCAAAATCATGTCAGTTAGCGATTCGCGCACGGGCCTTCTCAAAAAGCCATTAGGGACAAACTCGGGAGTCGCAAACGTACACGGACGGTGACGGAACCACACTTGGCGCTCTGCTTGACGGGCAGAGAGTGAGGCTCACCCAGGTTGGAGCCCCAGTAGCCTCGGCGGACGGGCAGGACGGCGAGCTTGGCAATGGTGATGGCGGCACGGATGGCGGTCGCGACTTCCTTGGAGGTCTTGATACCGAGACCGATGTGACCCTCGGAGTCACCGATGACAACGACGGCCTTGAAACGGGTACGCTGACCGGCACGGGTCTGCTTCTGGACGGGCTTGATCTGTAGAGGGGGGAAGAAAATTGCGTTAGTCTTTGTCCCATTGATCCAATTCCATGCCAAATCGCGATTTCATGTCGTCCTCCTCTTTCCATGCGCTCTTCCCTGCGCTTCCATCCGTCGCAACTCCAATTGATAAATCCACCGCGATTGACCATATCGTATCCTCAAAAAGAAAAAGTGATCGTCCGTACCTTCATGACCTCATCCTTCAGCTTGGGCAGGAAGAAGTCCACAATCTGGTACTCCTTCACGGGCAGAGAGTGCAGGTAGATCTGCTCCATGCTGGTGATCTTGCCGGCCTTGACGAGACGGCCCAGCTTGGTCACGGGCTGCCACTCCTTCTCCTCCTTGGGGCCACCACGACGTCCACGGCGACCACGGCCACGGCCACGGTCACCACCGCGCGAGCCAAATCCTCCACGTCCACGGGGGGCAGCGTCAGCCATCTTGGATGTATTAAAGAATCCGAAGGGGGTGGTATCGGACTTGTCGTGGGAGGGGTTGTCGACGTCGAGGTTGACTTTTTTTCGGGGGTCGCACTTCACTATCCACGACTTGTTTAGGGTGAACCCACGGGAAATTTCGCTGGGGCGGGTGGGTTAAGCGAGCTGGAACCCTATACCCTAGGCGGTGGGCCGAATGGGGTAACTGGTGGTCACGTGGTAGGGCTCCACCGGATTGCCCGTTTGGGATGTCCGAGGCCAATCGTCTTGCTTTGTTGTTGGATCTTCTTATCGTGGATAACTTTGACACTCCTGGTACTCCGTAGTGACTCCATACTGCTCTGGACTCCGTATATCACTCCAATACTGAGGTGTCCCCAAATCAACTTCATCAATTCATTCCCTTGTATATACATCAATATTGTGCAAATCTTCTTCTGTAGAGATAAACATGCTACGGTGGTATGTTCCTGAACCTTGTTCCTGATACTCATACTCATTCGTCTGTTCCAGGTGGCAGGCAACACTGGCCAAGTCGCCCGTCCTCACGGCCAGTGTCAGCAGTGCTGTACGTCTCTCGGTCTGATATTTGAATTTCTCTGTTTGATACTCACCATAGTAGGTCCTCTTCGGCAGCGGCGATGTACTCGCGCAACAGGCCGTCGACCGCAAAGGATGGGAAAAGCATGACATGGCCAGAACCGGGCGCATGGCCCTCTACGGTGGAGGTACCTTTCAATCCGATCTGGTTCTTCTCGATTGAATGGTCTAGCTAATGCGACCCGACAGCGATCTTCGGTCCTGCCGCGACGACGTGGTTCAGCTTTCTGCAGCGCCATGTCGTGCTAAAGAGCAAGACGGCCACCCTTGTGGCCCGTGTGACTGCAGACCAGTGTCTCTTCACTCCCACCCATCTCACTTGCTTCCTGTCGTCCATGGCTATCATGGAGGGCAGTGACCCCGTGGAAAAGTGGCGCAACAACTTCCTCCCCAGTTACAAGGCCAACCTCGCCATCTGGCCGTTCGTTCAGGGGGTCAACTTTACCTTTGTCCCGCTGGAGTTTCGAGTGCTGGTCGTGAACGTGGTTGCCTTGGGTATGCTACTGTGACCCATTCCCTTCGAATCATACATGCTAACGGTGGATAGGCTGGAACTGCCTTTTGAGTGTGATCAACAGCGGTGATCAATGATTGTCACGTTTGATTTAGAGATACCCCTTGCTTTTACAGTTTTATACATGTCGCCATTCCATTGGATCTCGGGGGATATAGAGGTATCTTGGCTTGCTCTTTTCGGGCGCATTCAGGAATAGTTGTTCCTGCAGTGGTTCGGGAGCCATGATCATGGGATTCAGGAGCTGTATGATATTTCATTCGTACATACCATTATCACCATCAGTAGCGCCTATTCCACTTGCGATATACACACCAGTCACAAAAGATGATGGTGGAGTTGACCCATGGTCACCTATAATTAGGGCTGGAGTTCGGGCCAATCGTCCCCAGCCTATAAGATGCCCGTAAAAAACGAGGGCGGCCCAAACAGGCAAAGTTCCGTGTCCCGCCGCCAACTGCGCATCTCCAACTTCAAAACTTCATATTGCCATTATCCAGGATCGCTCGACCCTCCCCCACGTCCCCTAACCCACTCCTCCTTGTGATTCTGCCTGGAGCAGACTATTTGACTTGCGTGGATACAACGGCGCAGTCTATCGTCTATCTTGAGTTTCTCCACGGGTGGCTCTTTCCTCCGGCGACCGCCTCCAATTTCGATTCAAATTTTGCCCACCGAGACTTTTTCGTCACCAACAACGATCCCGCCTGACACCGCCTTCACCCTCACCTTGGATAATTTCCCTCTACGCTTCATTTCGTCGAACGATTAATATCCACCATCCATCATGGCCGCTGTCGAGAACCCCCCTGCCCCGGTGACCAACGAGAATACTGCTCCCGCCACCGAGCAGAATGAGAAGGCAAACGGCGACACCGTCACGGTCTTCCATGACCCCGAAAACTTCAACGTGAAGCATCCGCTCATGCACGAGTGGACGCTGTGGTTCACCAAGCCTCCCAGTGGCAAGGTATGGAGACGGATCACTCGCAATCTGACGATGGCGACTGATGACTGACGAATTTATATAGGGCGATAACTGGAACGATCTGTTAAAGGAAGTTGTCACGTTCAACTCGGTGGAGGAATTCTGGGGAATCTATGTATGCTTGGAATTTTTCTTTCTTGTCGCTGCGTCCGGCTTGCAATCATTTACTGACTGTTCGCGTGTCTGTCAGAATAACATTACGCCCACCTCCGAGCTCGGCCTCAAAGCCGACTACCACCTGTTCAAGAAGGGTATCCGACCGGAGTGGGAAGACCCCCAGAACAAGCACGGCGGCAAGTGGTCATATTCGTTCAAGGAGAAGCGCTCGGTACCGATCGATGAGCTGTGGCTGCACGCCCAGCTGGCCGCCATTGGCGAGACCCTCGAGGGTGATGAGGATAACGAAGTGATGGGTGTTGTTGTGAACGTGCGCAAGGGCTTCTACCGTGTCGGTCTGTGGACCCGGACGGTCGGCAAGAGCATCCCCGGCGACAAGACCTCCCGCACCCCCGCCCAGGGCAAGGAAATCCTCGAGAACATCGGCCGGCGGTTCAAGGAGGTCCTGCGCCTGAAGGAGGCGGATGTTGTGGAGTTCTCGGGTCACACGGACAGCGCGCACAGCGGCAGCACGCGGGCAAAGGCCAAGTACTCTGTTTAAGGTAGTGAATAATGGGACACTTTCTCAACCGTGACTGAGGCTGGACTTCCCCTGTTTTCCGGTCCGGTCATGGGAGTTGGGGTGTGGCCATAGGATCATGATGATGGAACGAGACTGCTCTTAAATTTAACGGGGCACCGAACTGGGTTGGGCACGGCCTGTGGGCATTCTGCCACGATGATATTATATCAAGTCGTCGGCACCAACGGCATGTATCTTTCCTTGACACGTATTCCTGATGAGGTTTATACCAATTTTCTTTCAGTCTTCCACCAAGCAACACAACAAAAAAAAGTTCTAAAATTCCTGTATTCCTGCATGAGGTGTGTGTTTCATGGGCGTTCTTATTTCGCGATGCTCATAGATACCGAATATTAACATTGGGATTTTGATTGATTGATTTCTACTTGCCTGGATTGATATTGCGTTTGATTTTAATTGAGGTGTGCTCTATCAAATTGACCATTCATTTGGGATGTCTATTTTTTAAAGCACATCGACTGGGGTGCCAGTTCATATGATTCTATTGTAAACAATATATGATCTTAAAAGCAGATTTCACCGAAGACTGGCGGTCTATTGCTATCCAACGCACGACATCATAGTACCCTTCGCCTTAAACGTTCGCCTCTATATCTAGGTAGTTATCTGGGCATTTGGTAGGGTTGAGTCTGGCAGAGAAATGCAACGACGCCTCTATCGTCATCTCGCCGATTAATCAGTCTCTGTAGTAATCTTGTATGATTGTCGACAAAGTAGTCGGCTGGTCTACCTGGTGCCTGATTGCGGGTTCATGTGGCGAATATCCCGTGTCTGGACTCTGCTCGTTGGATTGTCGTGATTTAAATGTCTTTTATTTGTGATACCTTGTGCTCCTAATAGTAGTATTCTTATAGTATTATTAGTATTCATTCTTTGTTTGGTACGTGTGTGGTTGACCATGGAACGGAGATATGTAGAAGAGATATATATTGAAGTGTTATGCAAGGAGGAGTATTTATTGCGCAATCACCAATGAAAAATAAATGCTACCATTTACTGACCCAGATAATTCTGTAAAATGAATTCAACAAATGTTTTTATTTTATTTATCTTCCGAACTTTTGTTATATGGCTCACTCTTACCTTGCCTCCTGCGAACACAGTATATATGTATCTAGCCGGCAGTATCTGGTCGAGAAGACGAGCTTTTCCGCTCTTTATTCCTTTCTCCTACGTATGGATATCTAGCTTTTCCTGTTGCTATTTGAGCCCGAGAGGTGCTCGACAGCTTTTCGAGTAATGAATCCAATATGTGTCGAATACAAGCGAGGACGCCGGACATTTCAGTTCAAGTAATAGCATTCGCGTAAGCTGCGAAGTCTACAGGATAGCAATGATAGAACAGCTATAGGCGAGAAGACAGGCTTTCCTTATCAAAGCTCCCCGTGCCATTTAAGTAAAGGAGTTCATTGTTAATTGTCATCCTTACTATCGATTGACCCATACAGGCGACCAGGTGATTGATCAGCTGTAGTAGAAAAACATTGAATGCACAGTATTGTCTGACATAGCACCTGACACGAACTCCTCTCGTTATTTCAAAGCTAGCATGTCTTATATTGCGCTGTTGGATTGACTGGCGTGATATACCCTCAATCAGCAGATCAGATAGATAGTAGTTATATCAAGTGCATCCTCGGCAGGCAATACTGGTAACCAACATCCATCGCCCATATCAACGAGTAAGCCGCATTCGCAAGCCTTTCCACATCTTACACCCAAAACGCCGCATAATCAGGCAGTTAATCTCCATACGAGATTGTCTGCCACGATGTCACCCCTGGCGCGTGGTGGCGCAGTGAGAGGAAGTTAGGCGGGTCAGATAATTACCTACTCTGGAGAGAAAATAATCCACTCGTTCCTTCAGGGGGTGGTCCCGGCTGCTGTGTTACTGTGGTCCTTGACATGCTTTTGTTTTATTTTATCTTGGTTTATTGATAGGGATTTTGGGAAAGGACCGGGGACTTGCGTCCTTGAGTCGATGCTCTCTTTGTGTCCACACCAGTGATTTGGATGCTTCTTGAAGTCAATATGAAGTGTTGAATAGGAGACAGGAGGTATTACTGTAAACAAGGCGTGTTTCTCTCTTCTATCACACATTCCTGGCATTTGATAGCATCACGTGAGTCACTGCTTACTTTTTACCATATTGGGGAAAAAAGCTCCATGGGTCAGATTCCCCAGATGGATACTTTCCATGGGTCAAAGCATATGTGTAGTTTCTGACGGCAATTCCTTGATTCTCACGTCTTTGGAATACTCCTTGATTCTCACGACTTTGGTATTGTAGACGACTAGTAGTAGGAATAAGATCTCTCCCACTTGGTCTAGTGTTGCAATCATATTAGTACCACCCATTGATCTACAAAAGCCAAACACATTTGCAGATCTGGTAAATCTATAAGCCGGAAAGGGGGCCAGGTAGCCACGAGGATCTCCTAGTTATGAAATCTCAAGGTGCCAGTGCCAGGGCTGTTCGCCTGGAGCTAGAAGGAGACCATTACTCTGTATGGTTAACACGCGATTTGCTCACTCTCCGAATGGCCGTTGATAGCTTAGCGCTTCGAGGTCAAGATACAATGGCACATGGTTTACCAGGATCGAGAAGATGATCATGATTGACATGATAGTCGTACATCGGCTTCAATACTCCTAAACCCTTGAGCCCCACCGTTGCTGGACCGGGGTGCGCGCATGTATCGCAACTAGTTAGGCCCCAAACAGCTCCTAAGAACGTGAAAACGGTTTCAAGACCATTATATGGGGCCATCAAAAATCCAGAGTGAGATGGGACGTTGTGGGGAGCAGCCTGGCTGATAAGGCCTCAATGCGCTATTCTCAACCTGGGTTTACCTCCGTCCAGTGACCAGTTGAGCTCCTGTATCCTCTTCGCTCTGCCTCTCTTCTCACCGTTCTTTTCTTTCTGCATCTCTTTCCAACAACTTACAGCTGACTGACCCACGTATCAACTCCAATGCAAGGAGTCCCTCGACCACTGCATAGACACGCCATGTCCCACCACACACACACACACACACACACACACAAGCACATGCTGTCCAAAATGGCGGCTGGAACCGGCAGCTCGTCCGCCGCCCCACACCTTTAAGATTCAGGCCCCCAACGCCGTAGATTAAGTCGTCTGGATCAGACGAGTCGATAAAGTTGGCCACCAGAAGATACAAGGCGGCTGGGGTCGCAATTGGCTAAGGTTGGCATGCAGGATGGATCAATGACAACTCTCCCCGCATACCGGGGTAACCTCGCCAAAAAGTTGGTGAAACCGCAGCATCAAACGCCTTCCTGACTGGGCCAAAGAACAGGGGTGAGGAGACTCAACTGTGGTTCTGAGCTCAACCTCTCAGATTGCGCGAAGCGGGCGGAATCCGTCGCCAGGGATTTCAGTTGGTCGGAAATCGACGGCACTGGATGGGTCGCCGACTGAACCCCCCCCTGGTTGGACTATCACGCGGGGAGGCCCGACATGATTGAAAAGAAGATTTCCTGATGGACGGTTGATCCTGCGAGCGGGGACAAACGACAAACGCTACTTCTGGCTTGTTTGTCGATAAGCCGACCCTAGCCACGACCTAACCCGAGCGATTTGGTTTCCAAGCGGACCGCAAATGAGAGCGGCCGTGCTTATCAACCTTGGCCAGTCCAGGGTCGAAAACCGTGCGCCGTTGCAGCTACTAAAGTGTTGATGTTACCTAAAAGAAACCTGCATATGGTTGGCCCCCCGGTGGCGACCAGAATCCTGGATGGATTGTTATGGTGTGGGTGTGTGCTTGGGACGGTCATCTTCCACGGCCCCAGCCGAGGGAAGCTACTGTGGTTCACCATTGCGATCTAAGGGACCCAGAAGCCACAATCTGTTGGCCGGTGAAGCACATCGTCAAAACCATTGGTAGTGGAATGGACCCCTTCGCTGTTAGTGGCCTGTCTGTTGATTTTTTCTTAGTGCGAAGCAGACCACGAGGGAAGGGAGATTTCAATCGCTCCACCGGTAAACACCGACGGACTGCACTTTTCCCTCATGCAGCATAATCTAATTCCATGTCTCGGCCTTCCAGAAAGGCGCCCCCCACCCAATCACCGTCATTATCGGGTGCTCCTCGGCTGATGCTTAATCCTGGCTTGTCTTTTCCTTGTCATATCGTACCTCCATCCTGGGGGTTACATCCGTGGATAGTACTAGTTCTCGCGTCTAAACCACGCCACTAAACATCGCCCTTGCCTTTTTTTATTTCTTTGGGCGGCGATGGGGACCTTAGTCCAATTTTGCCCTTCTTCCCTGTATTATATTATTTTATCTATTTTTTTGGGGGGAACTGAGTTTTCCCCTTTCGAGTCCAACCGATCGCGTGCGCCGGTTTCAGCGATAAGACTGTACCCCCCACGGACTTACCACTGCTATGCCACGATGAATATAAGGTGACAGTCTTCCCCGTCGACCTGCTGTCGCGCTTCTCTTTCAAGGACTCCTTCAGCCCTCACTTCCTTTCTCCTTGCCTATCTGGGTTGATTCCCTTGCTCCTGCAAGATGTCTGAAAAACACGAGGTCACGGCCGATGATTCTCTGTAAGTACTCTACTACACATTCTTTTGCCTTTTTGGGCTTTTCTTTCGTTCTTTTTTTTACCCTCTTTTTTTTTTTTCTTCCGCTCTTGTACATCTTGTATAAGAAATTTCCTTTTCCCTCATGTTTACTCATTCGTTTGTTTGCTTGGTTTTGATTTCCCTGCTTGGGTCTTCTGTTTTGAGTTCATAAATCGGGTTACTTTGCGTGATTGCCATACATGTACACCATGCTAATTTTACTAGTCGGCCGGTCGATGCTACCATCTCACCGGTTGTGAACGAGAAGGAGGCCGAGGCAAATGAAAGGGCCATGTCTGATACTCCCGAAGGTGACGAGCCTACAGAGGAGGAGGCTAGAACACTTCGCCATGTTGCGGAGAATCTGCCCCTTGCTGCCTGGCTGGTCGCTGGTGTCGAGTTGTGCGAGCGATTCACCTACTACGGCATGTCTGGTCTATTCCAGAACTACATCAATCTCCCTCTGGATGGCAGCAAAGGACGTGGTGCCTTGGGTATGGGTCACCAGGGCGCTACGGCCTTGTCGACTTTCTTCCAATTCTGGTGCTATGGTAAGGTTTTTGCTTCCGTGGATTTGACATCGACTGACCGTCATCACCAGTCACTCCAATCGTCGGTGCCGTGATTGCCGATCAGTACCTGGGCAAATACAAGACCATTGTCTTGTTCTGTATTGTCTACATGATCGGCTTGCTCGTCCTGGTTTGCACTTCGATCCCGACCGCCCTGGAGAATGGCGCTGGCTTGGGCGGGTTCATCGTAGCTATTCTCATCATTGGTCTGGGAACCGGTGGCATCAAGAGTAATGTTGCTCCTCTGGTAAGCAGCCCCTTTTATCAATATTCTTTTGTCTGGTGCTGATCACGTATCTAGATCGCCGAGCAGTATAAGCGGAAGAAGATGGCCGTGTCGACGACCAAGAAAGGCGAGCGGATCATCCTCGATCCGGCTCTCACTATTCAGCGGATCTACATGATCTTCTACGGCTGCATCAACATCGGATCGCTGTCTTTGCTGGCCACGCCGTACATGGAGCGCGACGTCGGATTCTGGTCGGCCTTCCTGCTCTGTCTGTGCATGTTCTTCGTCGGTACCGTCGTCGTCATCGGCGGACGCAAACTCTACGTTGTCCGTCCTCCCCAAGGATCGATCATCACCGATGCCTTCAAGGCCCTATGGATCATGATCATGAACCGGAACATGGACGCCGCCAAGCCCACCTGGCAGGCCGCCAACGGCGGACGTCGGACCAATCTGCCTTGGGACGATCATTTCATTGACGAGCTCAAGCGCGCTTTGATTGCTTGCCGTGTCTTCTGCTTCTATCCGATCTACTGGGTCGTCTACGGACAGTTCTCCAACAACTTCGTCACCCAGGCCGGCCAGATGGAAGGCCACGGGGTCCCCAACGATCTGATGCAGAACTTCGACCCCATCTCGATTCTCGTCTTCATTCCGATCCTCGAGATGGGGGTGTACCCGCTGCTGCGCCGGATGCGCATCAACTTCCGCCCGATCACCCGTATCTCGCTCGGCTTCGTGGTGGCCTCGCTCGCGATGATGTACGCCGCCATCGTGCAGCATCTCATCTACTCGGCCGGACCCTGCTACGAAAGCCCGCACTGCGAATTGTCCCTGGTCGACGGCCAGTACATGGGCAACAACATTCACATCGCCATCCAGACGCCCGCCTACGTGTTCATCGGTGTGTCCGAGATCTTCGCCTCGGTGTCCGGTCTCGAGTACGCCTACACCAAGGCGCCGCTGTCGATGAAGTCCTTCGTCCAGTCCATGTACCTGCTCACCAACGCCTTCGGCTCCGCCATCGGTATGGCGCTGTCCCCGGTTGCCTACGACCCGGCCATCATGTGGATGTTCACCGGTCTGGCCTGCGCGTCCTTTGCCACCGGCTTCATCTTCTGGGGCCTGTACCACCACCTGAACGATCAGGAAGCCGAGATGAACGCGCTGGATCTGCAAGATGAAGGTGTGCAGGCGGCGCAGGCGGAGCATGAACAAAAGCAGTAGACGGGCTATCGGGCTTTTGATTTTTCTTTTCCTTTTCTCTCTTCTCTTGATTCCCTTTTGTCTTTTTTTACTTTTCTTCTACTTGTATCGTAATATTCTTAATTCTCGCGAGGATATACTTTGTTGTCGCGCGGGTGCGCGTCGGCAAGCTGCTGAGCAGATGATATGACGAGACTGTGTATATATACACGAATTATATAAACACGGAGTATGTGTTAATGTTGACTTGTGGGGTGGTTACCACCTATTCTATGATTTGTAACAACGTAGCAATATCCTTTCTACCTAGTAATGTCATTCGTCTCGCCCGCTCTAGCCTCTAGTGGCACTAACTGGGGCCACTCAGTTGTATTATGGAGAAACCAACGAATTGCTAGAACTATGCAATTTTCATACTGAAGTTGCAGAGTGTGTCAATATGAGGTCTAACCCCAGGAATCCAATCCAACCGTCAGTCTACTATCCAGTCAGGCGACAAGTCATCCTCAACTTGCATCAACCAAGACCCCTCGAGCATAGTGGCTTGGTTTCATGACCGAATAGGTTAGCTCATAACATTCCACCACACTTGAAGATACACCCGGGTTCATTCATGTCTGACAAGCTCCGTTGACTCGGTCGGATGTTTCCGTCGGCTTCCTCGACTGATATAACATTCTGAGGAATATCCACGCGCATTTGCCCAATCCAGAAGACATGGCTGTCGCAAAGGGACGTAGATAGATATTATCAGCAGGTCAGAGCTATTGAATCAGACATAGATATCAGCACCCTACCTAATTATATAGATCTCCACCAATATCATTGTACGGGGTACAGCGATGGTGTATGTCAGTATAGATTTTAGCCTTGTAGCCTTACAGCATATCCACCGGAAGACGAGTAAGTAAGCAAGTACATGCAGGTCCACGCTCACATACATACATCCCGTCGTACCTGAGGCGGTCCGTTCCATTGTCTAAGATGATATGTCACCTACTTAGGTTTTAGATATCGAAGTTATTCTACCAATTGAATGTGTTGATAGGGTGGGTTGAGCCCACGAGATCGCCGAGATGCAGAAATGTGCCACGAGGCTGAGAAGTCTATCTACCGGGTTAGGGCTTACGGCCGTTTACACTTCGGGTCTTGATTTATTTTAATTATTTTCTTGATTGCAAAATACAAAATTAGAACTGGTATGAAAGGAAATTTTTCGAATATCACTGAGTCTACTATGTGAAGTGAACGGTGATACATCATCTTGATGTGCGAATCCCGGAGGATAATCAGCAGGATATATAGTGTATAACTATAGTGTGTATATACTGCATTTCTGTATTCCCAACCACATTGGCGAGTAATCATTTTCGAAGAGCGATACAGTGTTACTGACTGGACAGACTGCAATTGTAAACATATTATGATGTTTCAGCGGATAGACTATATGGTTGATGAGATTGAACTAGAGGTATTGATTCCAGCCGTTGAAAGCATGTATACTGTGAACGGGGCTCCTGTCCGACGAGGACCTTGATAACCCGAGAAAACCGACTAGCTTATTCATTCTGGGTACTATTCTTTGTTCTGCCTTGATTATTCTAGTTGCGTATTGTGGTAAGAATTATGATTGACTGTTGAGCTTGTTAAGGTAGCGGTCTATTATCAATCCGATACCAAGCTTTCCTGACACTCGGAACCAGTCCTTAGGACAGGATTTCCATGCAGCTGATTGTTTCAAGGGTTTTATGGAAAGTCGCCTCGTGTGGGTAGGGAGGGTGGGTAGAAGTGGAGTGGATGGGGGCTGTGCATCATCGTCCCTGAAACATAGTAACTACTGTCTATTTTGAGTCAAGAAAACCGAGAAAAATAAGGTAAAATAGAAAAAAATAAAAAATAGAAACCAAAAAGAAATCAAATGAATATGAAGATAGACTTAATCTATGTGAGGAGAGTGATATTAACAGGAGGAGGAAAGGATACTTTACGAGGCGGAAGTGGTACGAGTGGGGCGAGCGGCTGGGGGGAGATTGGAAGAGCGTCAGATTTGTTGCACGTTTGTTGAACTTCTTCAGATAGGGATAGTCTCGATGGAGTAGTCGAGATATATAGTTTGTCAGTGTATGCTGTAGGGACTAGAGAGAAATGTGTCATTGTTGACCACTGTTCAACTGGAATGGACCCTTATTATAGGGGAGTGTATAAAAGCATAATTAGATCATCAAGCACAGCTCATGACGTGCAGACCTTCAACTGTCCGGATGGCCGGATGTCATCATCCTGATAGAAGTAGGTCAGTAACTACTCCCATGATCAGGAGAGAGAATGGGAAACTGAAGGGGAAGGATCTATTTAAACTAGTCAAACCCATTGGTTTCAGTGAATCATGTATGAAAGAAAAGGGGACTCGAAGATCATCGCCGGTCTGTGCTTCAAATTGAAATAAAAATCAAACCCCTAACTAGTTGATATTCACCCCTAATTAAAGGAAAATTCTGTATCATCAAGTCAATCAATAGAGTAGAATAATAGAGAATAGGAAGAGAATAGAATCGAGAATAGGACAGAGAATAGGATAGAGTACTTCCTAGAGAGAAGATGAATAAAAAGGAATAAGATTAATCAGAATTGTGAAGGTCCAGACTGGTCGTCACACCTTTTAGCCGCCTTAGGTTTCTCTCTCTCTCTCACACTCTCTCTATCCTTTCTTCTCCTACACTTTCTTCTCTCCTACACTCTCTCGTCCTCCAACTCTCTCCCTCTTACACACTCTCCCTCTCTCTCTCTCTCTCTCTCTCTCTCTCTCTCTCCGTCCTTTCCCTTCATCTTCGTACTCTCTTTTATCCTCCCCCTTTTTTATTGCTTTCTCTTTCTTCGCCTTCTTTTCCCTTCTTCCACCCTCGCTGCCTCCCTTTATTTCTCCTCCCCCCGTCTCCTAGACCTTGCAGCGTCCCGTACCAAGCCGACTTTGCGATCGCAGTCCACTACTGTACTCTACCACCCCCAAGACGGTCGCAATCAATCCTTCACCCGTCTAATCAATTCATTACCGGGCCAATTTCATCATGAGCGTACGTTCCCCCAATTCCGACCGCGATTCCCCTGTTACCCTACCGTACCCCTCTCCGACGCCATCCATTAATGCTGGTTCCCCCCCCACTGACCTCTCCATAGTACAACGACTACGGCGCCAACCAGGGCGGCTACGGCCAGTATAACCCCTACGGTGATCAGGGCGGCTATGGCCAGAACCCCTACGGCCAGGCCAACACCATGGAACAGGGAAATGGAAGCTATGGTAAGCCCCCCTGATGATCCCGTCCCGTCGTTCCGGGCCATTCACCCTCTAATACGTGCCCGTAGAGATGAACCAGATGGGCCAACAACAGCCCGCCGACCCCACCGCCCTCTTGAACAAGTGCCGAGAGATCAACGATGGCATTGCCGACCTCCGTGCCAAGCGGGAGGGTCAACTCGCCTCCGCTCAGAATGGCCTGCTCGACGCCAACACCGCCAAGGAGGATCAGGTCGCCCATCAGGGTCTGGACCTCATCGAGGACGAGGTCAACAACGGTTTCCGCTACCTCCGCGACCTTCTCAAGAAGGTCAAGCAGACCCCCGGCTCCGGCGACTCCCGCGTCCAGACCCAGCTCGACGTCACCAGCCGCAACCTCCGCCGCGAAATTGAGCACTACCAGCGATCCCAGTCCGACTTTAAGAAGCGCCTGAGGGAGCAGGTCCGCCGCCGTTACGAGATCGCCAACCCCGAGGCTACCCCGGAGGAGTTGGACCAGGGTGTGGATAACGTCCTCATGGGCCAGGAGCAGACTTTCCAGGTGGGTGACCCGATTGGTACAGCATTCCATATACGAGATGGACCCACTAACAGATATAGGTCTACGGCGCTCGCACCGGTCAAGCCCACGATGCTCGCCAAGCCGCCTTGGAACGATCGACCGCCATTCGCAAGATCGAGCAGGATATGATGGAACTGGGTCGGTTGTACCAGGAAGTTGCGGAGCTGGTGCACCAGCAGGAGCCGGCCGTGGAGCAGATCAACCAGGACTCGGAGAACGTCGCCGGCAATGTCGCGGATGCCAACACGCAGATCACCCACGCCATCGACAGCGCGCGTCGGGCACGAAAGTGGAAGTGGTATGCGCTGCTTATCGTCAGTAAGTAAATCCTTTCTTATTTAATCTTATTTTGGGCGACTTTATGGCTGGGGATGCTAACGTCGCAGTTCTCATCATTGCCATCGTGGTCGGTGTGGCCGTTGGTGTGACGCAGGCCAACCAGAGTGCTAAGTCCAACTAAACTTGGAGAATCCGTTCTCCATTTGACCTCTCCGTCCCATTCCACTCCCGATCTTTGGCCGACATCCGTGATGGATCGCCTTCCCTCCCCTGGTTCTCCGACCGTTCGCTCTCTTGATTTCCTTGTGTACTTCTACCGTTGCTATACCACGTGCTTGCCGTTTTCCTGTGTCTCCGTCTTGAAAAAGCTGGTCCCGCGTTATCCCCCATGCGTTGTCTTCTTTTTGATTATTTTCTTCTCTTTTCTCTCCTAACTATTTATGATCCCGATCGGTCCTGTATAGCTCTTACATCTTGGCTATCGGCCGGTGACTTGATGACCTGCGTCGCTGCTCGTGGGCTCGGATGCGCATGACGCTGCTGCTCATGTATATATTAGAGTTTCTTCGTTTAACCTTTTGGCGCTAGAATTATTAATATGCTTAATCTATCATAATGCTGATTGACCCAGTATTCATGTATCAGTCGTACTTATCATACCCCTTTAATATATTCAAGATACACAGCCCAAACCAAGTAGAATAAGAAAACAGAAGAAAGAACATAATATTCTACGAAGAAGAACCCTCACGCTGCCTCTGCTTCTCCCGCTCCTCCTCCTCCGGCGTCCTCGTCTTCAGCTGCAACGCATGGATGCCCCCTTCCTGAGCCATCTCCTCCTTGAGTAATGCGTAGACGAGACGGTGTCGCGCGGGTTGCATTTTCGATTGGAAAGCGGGGGAGGTTATTGTTACACTTTGAAAAAGGCGGTTAGCTTTGTAGTAGTATGGGAGGGAGAAAGAAGGAGTAAGAGAAGAACTCACTGAAAATGCGTCTCCCTAGAGGTAACACCCCGCATAGCAGAGTGATGCGCGTGGAGGTGGGAGTCATTGCGGATGATGAGGTTCGAGGGCGTAAGTGCCGTGTTGATCTGTCATGTTATTGTAGTTAGCGAACTATCTCTTTTGAAGAAAATTTCCTCCTAGGTAAGAAGGTAGAAAGGTCAATAGGTAGGTACCTTCTCGCGCATGATATCTTCCATCGGGGTTGAGGAGGCCATTCTGGAGGGTGTTGTGGAGAAGAGGCGGGTGAGGCTGGAGCTGGGGCGTGCAGCGGAGGCGAAGCGGGAGGTGCGGAGGAGCATTTGTGAAGTCCTGACTACCTGAGTAGGATTGAGGGATGTAGGTATGAGGTTGTGTAGTCTGTACTGAGGAGGTAGTGGTTGGAGTAGTTGAGAGAAGAGAGAGAGAGAGAGAGAGTATGGGATGATTTCGGCGGAGGTGAATTGCCATATTAGGGATAGTGGGTGTTCTTCTCCGATAACAGATAACCGTCCTTACTTTACCGGTAGTAAGCTCCTTCATTCCTCGGCTCTGAGTTCAATTGCATCAGACTCGCTTGATAAGGACTATGCTATAAGCAATAAAGACAATGTACCGACGCTCTTTGTTATCAGTCCTCTCGCGAGCCTCCCTGGCCTCCCGCGCCTGTCACAAACCATACAATGGCTTCTCTCGCATAGCCTCCCGAACGCTGTCTCGAACGCTATCCACTCTACCGAACCTTCCCCTCTTTCGCGCCCTCCAGAACCACGACCAGTCGCGTCTAGCAGTCGTGCACAGCGCGTCCTCTCGCTCCTTCACATACGGTAACCTCGTCGCCGATGTACTACGGACGAAAGAGCGACTGCTGCAATGCGCTGGGCCACAGCTCTCCGGGGAGAGGATTGCCTTTCTGGTTGAGAACAGCTACGATTACGTGGGTACTGTTTTCTAGTCCCTCTGCCCGATGCTTCTCACATCTGGCTCTATAATATAATATAACACACCGGCTAATCCAAATGTAGTAACCCTCCTCGCCATCCTCGCCAACGATGCCATCGCCCTCCCGCTCTCCCCCGCCTTCCCCGTCGGCGAACTGAAGTACATTATGGATAATTCGCAGGCGAAGGTTCTTCTGGCGAGTGAGAAGTTTGAGAGCAAGGCGCGTGGTGTTGTCGACGCGGGGCTGGATCGCGCGCCTGTGGTGGAGGTTATGGGGAAGATTTTGGAGGGGGGTCCCGCGCCGAGTAACGTGCAATTGGAGGATCTGGTGGGGGGATCGAATGGGGGGATGATGCTTTATACATCGGGGACTACTAATAGACCGGTGGGTTCTTTTTTTTTTTTTGTTTTTGCTAAGGCGTACTGGCTAGGAGGACGTGACTGAACGGCTAGGATACTAACAGCATATAGAAAGGCGTGCTAATCCCCCAGTCGGCGCTCACAGCGCAAGCGTCCTCCCTGCTGGAAGCGTGGAAGTATACCCCCCACGACAGACTACTCCACCTCCTCCCCCTTCACCATATCCACGGAACGGTGAATGCCATCGTGACGCCCATCCTGGCCGGCTCGTCCATCGAGTTCATGTTCCCGTTCAACACCGACGCGGTGTGGAAGAGACTTGCCGCGCCTTTCCTGCCGGACTCAGCCGGTACAGACAAGATCACGTTCCTCACCGCCGTCCCAACAGTATACAACCGGCTCATGTCCGCGTTCTCCAGCCTCCCGGAAGAGACGCAAGAAGCAGCGAAGAAAGGCATTTCCCCAGAGAACCTCCGCTTGAATATCTCCGGCTCCGCCGCCCTGCCAACACCCACGAAAAAAGCGTGGCAGGATCTCAGCAACGGGAACGTGCTCCTCGAGCGGTTTGGAATGACCGAAGTCGGCATGGCAATCAGCTGTGGACTGGACTTTGCGGACCGCGTAGACGGCAGTGTCGGCTGGCCCTTGCCGTCCGTGGAAGCCAGACTCGTCGACGTAGACACCAACGAGGTGATCCACCCCGGGCAAGAAATCGACCAGAACGGCCGTCAGCGCGAAGGTGAAATCCAGCTCCGAGGTCCCACCATCTTCCGCGAGTACTGGGGCAACGAGAAGGCCACACGGGAAGCATTCGTTGACGGGGACGACGGCAAGGGAGCGTGGTTCAAGACCGGTGACGTAGCCACGCGTCGCGTCATCGACAGCGCTGGCAAGGGCACCAGCGGAGACTGGGCCGAGGGACCGATGTACATTATCTCTGGTCGACTCAGCGTGGACATTATCAAGACCGGCGGTGAGAAGGTCAGCGCGTTGGAAGTGGAGCGCGAGCTACTTTCACTGTACGTCCCTCACTCCTTCTCGCCAAGCTCACACTAACAAAGATAGGCCTCAAATCACCGAAGCAGCCGTCGTTGGCCTCCCGTCCGAACAGTGGGGCCAGAAAGTCGCTGCTGTCGTCGTCCTCGACGCAGAAAAAGCGGCCAGCTGGGGCCGCAATGGCAAGCCGTGGGGGGCGCTCGACATGCGACGAGCTCTTAGAGATCGTTTGGCTAGCTATAAGATGCCTCAGGAGATGAAGGTCATTGACGGGGTGATCCCGCGAAACGCAATGGGCAAAGGTAGGACCCGCATACTGGGGTGTGAGTATAAGCTGACGTCGTCGCAGTTAATAAGAAGGCGCTTGTCAAGGAAGTTTTTGGCGCTTAGGTGTAGATCAACGTCCTGTACGATATTGCTATACTCAATTCAATTCACCTTGGATAAAGTAGTCACAGTCTACTGTCAGTAATTAAACCATGCATCAGCTCAACACCAACGTAATCAACATACACCGTCCGTCAAGCTCACCCCTACCAAGACATATCTACAACTATAATGAAACACACTATGAACAAGGCACGGAAATACAGCCTAGCCACTTTCCCAAACTGACACGGCCCCCGCCACAACAAGCTAGCAGCCTCGACGATCCTCACGAAAGTTCAGCCGAACTTCACCCATTCATTTCGGAGTCCCCCACGCGGCAGATGGCCACTGCCGTGATGTTTCCAGTATATGATTGATTACTGCCTGTGTCTGTCTCTCATTGGTGTGCCTGACACGGTGCAGATCGACGACATTGATCGAGATTGCGGGATATGGATGAAACATGGAGGTGATGAGAAGACGGTCCGCCGGGCCGAGTTCCAGGTCCTGATAACTCTGGAATGTCGCAGTCCACGAATCAACTATCTACCTGGCTTGAATTTACGTCTACAAAAAAACGAAAACAAAAACATATAAAGTCGACCACGATGGCCGGAACCTCAACTCCTGTATCCCAATTGCAATTGCTATCGCAAACGGCAACAGCAAGATCATCACCATGACACGCGCACTCACCCTCACGCTGGCCCTGCTGCCGCTCATCGCCGCGCAGCAAATCGGCACATCCCCAGAGGTACACCCCAAGCTCACCACCTACAAGTGCACGACCCGCAACGGCTGCGTCCAGCAAGAAACCTCCATCGTGATCGACGCCTCCGCGCACCAGATCCACGAAAAGGGCACCGAGACCTCCTGCACAGACGCCAGCGGCGACCTCGACACAACCATCTGCCCGGACAAGGCCACCTGCGCCGAGACATGCGTCGTCGAAGGCATCGAAGACTACGCCAGCCACGGCGTCAAGACAGACGGCGACAGCCTCTTCCTGCGCCAGTACGTCCCGGACGGGGATGAGCTGTCCAAGCCCTCGCCCCGAGTCTACCTGCTCGACCCCACCGGCGACGACTACAGCATGCTGCAGCTGCTGAACCAGGAGTTCACCTTCGACGTCGACGTCTCCAAGCTCCCCTGCGGCATGAACGGCGCGCTGTACCTGTCCGAGATGGCCGCCTCGGGCGGCCGCAGCGAGCTCAACCCTGCCGGCGCGCACTACGGCACGGGGTACTGCGACGCGCAGTGCTTCACGACGGCGTGGGTGAACGGCGAGGGCAACGTCGATGAAGTCGGCTCGTGCTGCAACGAGATGGACATCTGGGAGGCGAACGCGCGGGCGACGGGGTTCACGCCTCACCCGTGCGACACGGAGGGACTGGTCGAGTGCGAGGGCGAGGAGGAGTGTGGGGACCAGGGTCTCTGCGACAAGATCGGGTGCGGGTTCAACCCCTATGCGCTGGGCGCGCCCGACTACTACGGGTATAACAAGACAGTGAACTCGAAGAAGCCGTTTACGGTGGTGACGCAGTTTGTGACGAAGGGGAACCAGACGGAGGGGGGCGAGCTGGCTGAGATCCGTCGGCAGTATGTGCAGGATGGACGGGTGATCTCGAATGCGGTGGTGAAGGTGGATGGCGGGGAGGCGGATTCGATTACGGACGGGCTGTGCCCGGATGCGGAGAGCGCGTATCAGCGGCTGGGGGGCATGAAGCAGATGGGGGGCGCGCTGGGGAGGGGCATGGTGCTTGCGATGAGTATCTGGAATGACGAGGATACGTTCATGAACTGGTTGGATAGTGGGGAGGCCGGGCCGTGCAGTGCGACGGAGGGGGATCCGGCGTTGATTGAGAAGCAGGTTCCTGATACTGCTGTGACGTTTTCGAATATCCGCTGGGGCGATATTGGGTCGACGACCAAGAAGAGCAGCCTTCGCCATCGGTATCAGGGACGGGTTCGTCATCATTACTAGGTAGTGATGGTGGCAGTGGAGTTGAGGGAGGGGATGGGGTTGAGGGGTGAAAGGAGGGATAGATATGTGTTGGGATATGTATGATACGGATACAATTACGTGTGCTGTTGTTTGTTGAATTGGATATTGATCGATGTGGAAGCTTTCAAGGTAGATAGGAGGCGTGAGCAATACGTACTACGTGTAGCTATTCAGACTTCCATCCATGAATACTCCCCTATCAAGTCAACAACACACGAAGAACGAAGACTAACAAGGTATGTGCTTGTAAAATAGCGAATACTACCAGCCAAAGTAGCTGATCTGCAGGGTTTTCGCACACAGACTGTATCTTGGTTTTTGCTGTTCTTGCAACTATTCGCAACTTTCCATGTTCCAGACCATCGACATAATCTATAGCTAGTTTCTGGAACAGGATAATCACTCGGCTACGAAGATATCGTGATACTTTCGCGCTGTGAGTGATCCTATAATCTTATATTGAACACAGTTTGGCCGTTCCCATCAAGTCTCCCACCGTATCTCCCTCTCCAACATGATCAAGATGTACAATTAAGTATATCAACATACTACTCTATTCCCAAATATAGATTAATGTATTAGACTTTATTAACAATATCGCCAATTACACTTCAATAACTTTAAATCCTTAATATACACCCAAGTAGGGCGATATTAAAACAATCTATTTAAGCGGGTACTTCGTATAGTCAACCCTAATAGTTGTGGGGTAGTGGAACTGGATATAATATAAACCAGAACCAGTCAACCACACTGGATTATATAAGTCGTGGGTTGTATGGTGTTGTACATGATACTTTATACCATGCTGTACATGAATAGTGGTCGAGAAAGTATCTCATGGATATTCGATAACTTCCAATGTACATCACTGTCGCGTTCGGAAGGCTTGGCGCATAGATATAAGCCGAGGGGAATTCGGCTCCTGGCAATTCAGACGCCGTTATTGTATCCTGATCATGGATGGAGATGTCCTATAGGATAGGCTAGGGAAGCAAGTATCTGATTAATGGTTCATCTCGAGTGCCTTGAACAATGGGAGAGCTGGAATGGATGGTCGGTTTCCCCTGCCCCCTCTGGATAGGCGTGTATATTCGACAGACATTGATGGCTTTTCAGTAGTCTGATAGCTGATTAGCCTGATAGCTAGTCCGATACCCACTGGTATATTGTATAGGGGTCCGATATCAATGCATGCCCACGAAGGAAGAGCCGGACAATGTCTAGATGAATGATGGTCATGGTAGTTTCTTTTGGCCATGCTTGAATCGGCAGTGATCATCTCATTCCACCAACCTGGCCGCTGTTTTAAAATCGCCATAAAGGAGAGATGGAATGAGATTCGATCAGAGTGGAAGATGAGCTGAAAGATCAGAGAGAGAGAGAGAGAGAGAGAATACACCGCCAAAGATCAAGCAGATCAGGCCATTCCAGTTTTCTTCCTCTTCTGGATCCATCTGCAACCATGGCTCAATCTTAGGATCATCCCTGCTGTCCCCGAAATAACAATCTTCATTGTTTGACGCCTTTCCCCGTGGATATTGCACATTGGACACTGGCAAGCAATCACAAACCACTGTGGCGTTGGAAGGACCCACTTGGACAGCCCATACGTCCTGCTAACCCCGCCTCTGCACGGCTAGCAACTCGGCTCGACGGAGTTTTGATTGATTTCTTTTTTATCTCGGCATCCTGGCGGTATCTTCGCAGATAGAGTTTATTTCCTATACGCGATACGATGTCCGATGGAGTTGTCCTCGTGGTCAAAACGTTCCGCGAATCAACATCCTGGTTGATAACCCGACGATGCTGGTGAGACCGTCTGCAACTACTTGATTCAGGGATGACTTGGCGTCGGCAATAGCGTCAAAGATAACTGCAGAAAGCGAAAGCCAAGAGGGGATGCTCCGGATATGTTGCTGGGATCGATCGATCTCTACAGGCATTCGCTGTTCCCCTGAATTAACATGCACCGCTAAGCTCATAACTTGGTCTAGCCATTGATTGATATGTAACATGTCATTTGGCCAAGATGGCTAGCATTCGACCATACTACAACCCAATCAGCCAAGCCATGGCTAGCGCAATCGTCGAATTACCGGCATCACACTGCTCCGTACTCGATGGTGGACACTCGTGGCCATGAAAGTCCACTGGATCTTCATGGTCAATATCCCCGCGCAAGATTCAACCCACGGCCGTTGTCCGCAATGCTGGAGAAAAAAAAAACCCTCAGCGGGGCATCCTCCGCATGTGAAGGCATGGTCCAGGATCAACATCATTTGGCTGGGGTTTATCCCCGAGTGCTTGTCTGCGAGACGGAAATCCCACGGGGAAGTCGTCGGGGAGCAGGATGGAATATAGCCTAAACACGTTAGTCCATGGCGATCTTTCCCCCCTCGGTTAATGCCCTCTGGCGCAAGCCGTGTGGCTCAAGCTCGTTGCCGATCCTCATTGCTCTGCTCCCCTTTCCAGTCACGCTGGCGCGCCCCTTTCTGTCAACCCCCGCATTCCCCACGACGTTGTGCGCCAGAGAGAAAGGACTTTGGTTCCAGCTCGGTTAGCTAATTTTGGCACCCAAAGTCCAATGATCGGCCCCAGGTGACTCTAATGGGAAGTAGTGTGAAATGTCAGTCTTGGATGCGCTATCGTCCACCTATTGCCCAACGACTCCGGAAGACTCGCTGCCCGAACATCCGATGTAGGCACATTCTCGATGCTGCACGCTAGAGATAGGGGAAAGGGTTTGCATAGTCTCTGGATATGCATTTGTGCCTGTCCATCTCGCTTTGTGGGCAAAATGATTGGGCACGTCCTTAGAAATCAGGATATGGGCACCGGCCTAGGGGTCTTCCGGTTGATCCCATACTATTCTGTTAGTGGATCCCGATCGTTGAGGGTGGAGTTGGTCTGAACAGCATGCGGCATTCGAAGCCCTCGTTGCTTAGAAAGGCACGCAACGGCAATTACTTGAAGCTGTCGTCATTCCCTCTCTGTACGAGCCTGTGATTCCGAGGTCTGAGGTATTCAAATCGGCATACTTTGAGCGAGGAATTTACGGCATACATACGACTGGCCAAGTGCATTCGGCTGATATACCGGCGACCAGGATTCTCCACGCACTACTGGGCCAATGAGTGGCGTGATTTGTGCAGACCGTGGACTTATCAAGCTTAGCTGACCCCACTTCCATGTAGAGTAACCTGTTCGTCTATGGGACTACTGCGTTCAGGGTACCCGGGGATGGATCCTTCTCCAGTGCCGGTGTGAGGGGTACTATCGCAATTGCGAGCACCAGGCTGGGGACCCCTTTTTGACTTGACTGTCGTCATTTCAGCATGTACATATATACCCTACCCCCCCGGTGGACCAGCGCGTGGAGGGGCTCTTTTCTGAATCATCGCGATTTACCTGCCTCTCCCTCCTCATCCTCCTCCTTCCCAACCTCGTCGGAATGACTTCAGGTCCTACCTGGCGCACAGCCGTGGGGCTGGCTGCGGCCTTCCTTGCCCCTCTGACGGCCGCTGTTGATGCGTCTGGCATTTGCGCCAAGCTGAAGGCCCAGAATATCAACATTGAAAAGCCTGCCTCCCCGGCCTACACCAAAGAATCGTACAAGTACTGGTCCGGCGCGTGCGCTGATCTGAAGCCGACATGCATCGCCAACCCGTCGAGCGCCGACGAGATGGCCACGATCATCAAGGAGCTGGAAGACGTCGACACCTTGTTCGCTGTCAAGTCGGGCGGCCACATGCCCAACGACGGCTTCGCCAGTATCCAGGATGGGCTTCTCATCACGACCCGGAAGCTCAACCAGGTCAACTACAATGAGAAGGACAAGACCGCCGTCATCGGGCCCGGTCTCGCGTGGGAGGAGGCGCAGGAGGCACTGGACAAGATCGTGGGCGGGCGCACCGTCGTCGGGGGCCGTCTCGGCGACGTCGGCATCGGTGGTTACATGCTGGGCGGCGGGTTGAGTTTCCTGAGCTCGCAGTACGGCTGGGCGGCCAACAACGTGCTCAACATGGAGGTGGTCCTTGCAAACGGCACCATCGTCAATGCCAACAAGGATGAGAATGCCGATCTGTTCATGGCCCTGAAGGGTGGCGGCAGCAACTTTGGCATTGTCACCCACTACACGCTGCAGACCCACCCCATCGGAAAGGTGTGGGGAGGAAACTACATCTTCAACTCGAAGCAGACGCCCGAGGTGCTCGAGGCCGTGCGCGACTTCACCGAGAACTACCCCGATGACAAGGCGGCTATCATCGTGACGATCGAGAAGGCTGCGATCTTGCACACCTGGATCATGTTCCTGTTCTACGACGGGCCCGAGCCTCCTCAGGGTGTGTTTGACAGGTTCAAGGCCATTGGTCCTACTGACCAGACCAAGACCTGGGACAGCTACTATGATCTGCTGAAACACAATGACCTTTTCATTCTGCGGTAGGTGAAACCCTGTCCCCTGCCTTTTGTCCTATATCTAACTTTGAATTCGCTAGGGGCCAACGCTACTCGATTGCCACGGAGACCACTCCCCTTCCCTCCAAGGACCACCCCGAAGTGTTCCAGACCTACTACGACCACTGGCTCAACGTCACCAGCGACGTGATCGATGTGCCCGGCATCATCGGCTCGCTGGCCTTCCAGCCCTTGCCGCCGGCGATCACCCAGAAGGCGAAGGACCTGGGCGGTGTACGTACTTACCCAACATGTATTATCTGACCACGCTAACGCCATGACAGGACATGTATGGTTTCCCCGCCGACGTCCCCTACATCATCATCGAGCTCGACTACTCCTGGAGCGTCTCCGCCAGCGACGGCAGAATCGACGCGGCGCTCAAGACCCTCTACAACGGCATGGACCACCACATCTCCAAGTTCCAGGAGCAGAAGGTCCTGCCCGACGTGTACCGACCGCTTTTCATGAACGACGCCCACTCCTCGCAGGACTTCTGGGGCCGGATCAAGTCGTATGACGAGGGGCTCAAGACTTCCAAGAAGTACGATCCGGAGCGGTTCTTCCAGAAGCGGACGAGCGGCGGATTCCGTCTGCACTAGTTTATATACATCATCGGTTGCTGTGGACTGTCAATGTGGATCCACTTCGTACAGAAACAATCGAGATATGAAGTCATCACAATTATCTTAATCTAAGTATCTATAAATAATACCCAATTACTTTTCATTCACGAGAGCCGACAGAGTATCTAACCGCCCACAAAAGTAAAAATAAGAGCAAAGACACCCATAAACTGAATGAGAGTACCAAGCGCGAGCTTGAAATCATGTATCAGAATCCCATCCGCCCAGGCGCCTACTGGCTGAGAGACGCCGTCCGGAAAAGCCTCGCGGGCAGCAAGCGCCAGGGCGGGTCGCCTCATTCTATTATTATTATCATCAGTATTATTCAAGTTATAGAAGAACAAAGTACCGTCTACTTTGATGAAGTCCATTTATAGCCAGACCAAACAATATCGAATGCAGCAGTATAATAGATATGGATATAGGCTCGGTTTCGATCTGGACCGCCACCTATTCAGCATCAAGAAATGAATCGATCCCGGCGCGTAGATGATCGCCAGACGCCTCGCCTCGCCTCGACCTCCTCAGCTCTAGACTGGTCTGGTCGCCGGAGTGGACGTGGTCTTTGTTATGGACAAGACGAAGTCAAAGAATTGTCTGTTTCGTTTTGAGGCAGTATACGAGTGTACGACATATTTAAGGCTTTGTCCCTGGTCTGGGTTGTTTCCTTCTTAGACAGTTTTTTTGTATTCTTTGTTGAGAGTGTCTATCTATATCGACTATACGTTGCTTTCAGTGGTGGCTGCTTTGTTTATCTCTTTGATCCATTCATTATTCGTCTATTCTTTTCGTGAGGTATTGCTCTGTCGAAGTTATAATAGGACTGTGTCCCTCTACAATTCTTTATCTCTACTACCTATATACCTACTAGGATATAGTATATACACTGCATAATCGACAACATCACCGACAACCAGCGCTCTCGCCATCAACAGAATCTACCAGCACAAATGTGGCAACAAGGCGCCCTAGGCGCAACCTACCAAGTCGCCCGTCTCTTCCAAAGCATCAGTCTGATCGCCATCATCGGGTTGACCGCGAACTTTATCTCTGAGATCGTTGCCGTCAACGGCGAGCCACCGTCTATTTTGATCGGGACGTTGACTGTGGTATGTTTCTTTTCCCTTCCTTGGCCTTAACACAACAGTTCCACAAGCCCCCAACGAGAATCCAACCCACTAATTAATATAATGACAGACATGCATAGTAGTAATCTACTGCATAATCACATTCATCCTCCTCCTCGACACAATCCTCCCCTACCTAGCCGCCGCCATCGCCGACACCCTCTGCCTCATAGCCGTCATCGTGGTGGCAGTCATCATCGGCAAACCGCTCTCCTACCTCAAATGCGAGGAGATCGGGCGGGGGGGCGACGGAGACGGAGACGACTCGAGCGCTTACGCGTTCGCCACACACCTGGACAGCTATCTGGCGCATTTGGGCAAGAAGATCGAGTATGGGAGTTTGATTGGGGCGAGTAAGGCGGTTTGTTTGGAGGCGAAGAGTATTTGGGGGTTGAGTATTGCCTTGTGGTATGTCTCTTTCTTTCTTTCTTTCTTTTTTTTTTTCTGTCTCTTTTTTGAGTGGGGGATAATTGTTGAAGGGGCTTGCTAACTGGTGACTGATGTAGTATCATGTTTTTCTTTTCGGCGGTATGTCTGGTCTGTCTTTGGAAGCAGAAGAAGGGGCCTGGTGGGAAGGAGGATGTTTGATCAATTTAGGTATGTATGTGTGAGTATTGAGTAGGAGAAGTGATGGAGTGAGAGAGTGAGAGTGAGTGAGTGGATGTAATATCTGTGTTTATGCTGGCATAATGATGGGGTGATCCTGATGGATGTAATCTGTTTGCTGATTTGGATTTCTTGTTGTCTTGTCTTGTCATTTTACCATATATATGTTTGTGTATTTGCAATATATACTGTTTCGCTGTTAGCTCTCTCCAAGGGTATGCTCCAAGGGTATGCTCCAAGGGCATGCATAATAGTAAATACCAAGGTAGAAATACTCACCTATCCAACCCCAGTCCCCTCCCCATCTCAACAACATAACAGAACCAACACCATCCCCCCTCCCCAAAAGCAAATGCAAAGAGAAGAAAGAGAGAGAGAGAGAGGGATCACCCCGAACTAACAGGCGGAATGACAGCAACCTCCTGCCCCTCCTCAATCACCACGCCACTGCCCCCCTCCCCACCTTTACCATTCCCATCAACATCCAAATCAACATACTCATCCCCCACACTGACCCCACAACTCCCCAGCACAGCATCCCTCATACCCGGATACCTCTCTTCCAGGACGTCGAAGAGGCGCGAGACGGGCAGCGGGGCGGGGAGGCGCTCGGTGGATTTGCCTGTGTAGGATGATGCGGTTGAGAAGTAGTGGATTTGGAAGGTTGCTGATTCTGTCATTTTTCTCTCTTGCCTATTGGATTTGTTTCTCTCCCTTGATGGGTGGATGGATTGGTTTATCTAGGTTCTTTGGGTTTGGTGGGTGGTTGGTTGGTTGGTTGGTGGTGGTTGTTGGGGTTGGTGGCTTGCTTGTTTTGGAGGTGGGTTGTGGGTGTTTTTCGTCCTTTGGAGATTGTTCGAGGGGGATGGATGGTTGTAGATTGCTGTGTAGTGATCTTATTATATTGTAGATTATTCTGTGATTGAACGATGATGTCCATCGGTAGATGCAAATTGAACAGAATCAAGAGGTAAGAAACCACGTGCGGGGTTTATCTAGCCAAGCTTATCTTATCTACATAACCTCTACCTATACACATGTCATAAATAACAAAAATCCAACCATATACCAACTAAGCAACCAACTCTCTGAACGCACCCACCAAATCCCCCCTCAAATCCTCCCAATCCTCCAAGCCAACACTCACGCGCAACAATCGCGTATCCACCGTCGTATCTGACATCGTCCGCCACTCGATGAGCGTCTCCACGCCGCCCAGGGACGTCGCATGCTGGAAGAACTTCAGTTTACTGGGGAGTTTGCGCGCGAAGTCTTCCTCGTGCATGGCGATCGAGAAGACCGGTCCGAAGCCGTTGGGCATCTGCTGCTGCAGCCAGGGGTCTTGGGGCTGGAGGCTGGCGTGGAAGATTTCTTTGAGGGCCTTTTGCGTGACGGCTTCGTCGCTGTTTGGTGCTGGGTTGGGGGTGCGGAGGGCCTTGTCGAGCCAGGAGACGAGGTTCGTGGTGCTGCGGCTTTGGCGCTGGACGCGGATCTCGAGGGTGCGGAGACTGCGGACGCCGAGCCAGGCTTCCATGTTGCCCATGACGCTGCCGAGGAAGATGCGGTCTTCGAAGAGCTGGCGGATCCAGTCGGAGCGCTGCGTGGCGAGAACACCGCAGAGTACGTCGCTGTGACCGCCGAAGTACTTGGAGCCGGAGTGCATGACGAGGTCGGCGCCCCATTGGAACGGATCTTGCAGGCCTGGCGGCGCGAACGTGCCGTCGACGATCAGATAGGCGCCGCGGGAGTGGGCTTTCTCAGCGTACGCGGCGATGTTGAACGCTGTGCCTTCGGGGTTCACGGGTGTCTCCAGGTGGATCACGTCGCCTGCCTCGAGCTGTTCCGCCGGACAGTCGAGGTCCAGCTTCTCCAGGCCCGTCATGCGGCTGACCATGGCGATGACGCCGTGGCAGCCGTGGTAGCCCTGGCCGATCGAGATCCGGCGGGGGTTCAGCAGGACGAGTGCGGCGTGAAAGGCCGACAGCCCTGACGAGTAGCTGATAGCTTTGCCTTTGAGTAGAGACGACAGGATGGCTTCGAAACGAGTCATGCTGGGGGCCGAAAGACGAGAGTAGACGTGCTCCGTTGGGTCATCTCCGAACTGATCCAATTAGAAACGTGGCGGTAAAGGGTCGGGAGACATACGCTGCGGTCCCGCGCCGGGACGAGATCATCTGGGTTCGCGGCGTATCGGTATGTAGTAGCCACGTGCAGCGGGGGAGCCACATCGGTGGCTACATTGAAAGCATCATCTGCGTGTAGGGAGCGTGTGGAGATGCCCACGTCGGGTCCGAGGGGTGCCATGGTGATGAATTGGGATGGGTGGTGGGAATATGGCGGGGTTGGAGGAAGGATGGAGGTCGAGTGGTTCAAGTGGAGCCAGGAGGGGTTGCCACGTGATACGACCGATTGCGCAAGATCGGATTCGGTCCGAATATCGTCATCGTCTTCTCCAGGAAGTTATGACGATTGGATCGATTATTCCAGCGGGCCACCAGGGCAATTTACCGCCGAAGAGAACTCATCCGGGATGGCTCGCGGACGGATCCTGGCGCGGCGGTCTGGAAATTGGTGCGGTCTGAATTATTAGTAGGTGATACATCAAGCGTAGGATAATCCTGCATACCTTCTTCGGAATCAAATACAATGGTAATATCGTCATGTTCGAGAGGATACTCCGGCATGTCCAAACACACGTAGTCCGCCGTCGGGTCGTCGTCCGTCCGTGGAAGGGCGAATTTGGCGTCCAGAACCCGCACGCCAAACTTGCCGGGCCGCCCGAAACTCTCCAGGGTGTCGGTGCCCTTGAGGACGAAGTTCATGCATTTTCCATGGTTGAAATCATTCAGGAACGCAATCAGCTGGATGACCTTGTCCTGTTGAACGATCTGGATACGGGCCAGGTTGGCTTCCCACTTCTTGTGGATGGGCACCACCATCCGGCGTCGCGAGATGGAGAGTGACGAAGCAACACTAGACAGTCAGTATGCGTTGATCTTTTTGTAAGACTTGAATGAAATACCTATCAAAAAGAACTTGGAAGCCCGTCACTGCGCGTTGGAATCGGTGGAGATCTAGGCAAGTTAGTAAAATCACCGCGAAAAAAAAAAAAGAAAGAAAAAGCATACCCTTCACAGTCGCAAAGTCGAACCGTCGCACCGTCGATTTGACCTGAGCCAATTGCAAGAACTCCGTCAACTTCTCAGGCATCTCCGGAGCAATCAGATTCTCAGCAACAGACACCGTCAGATCCTGCTGTGCAGGTCGGTACAGGCTAAGTCCCGTCCGGTTATTGATATCAAGGCCGAGTCTCAGCTCGCCAGGGCCTGCGCGAGTTAGCGACGTCTACCAAATGGGTACGATTGACCTACCAAGATTGATGCGGTCCGTTGCAGAACCCCACTCCGTCGCGATAAAGGCCCGCAGAGTCTCAGATAAAATCGTGGGCCCGTAGCCGTGTTCAACATACCCGTGCTCCTGGTCGATCACGGAAACGGCTCCCGCGGGGAACTGGAGATGCGTTTTGGCCGGCGAACCGGTCAGCTTGTCAGCGGGCTGTTCGATCGAGTAGGCGCGGAGGGGAATGTCCGGCGTCTTGATCTCTCCCTCTTGGGGCACCATCCCCAGCATGAGGGAGTGCAGGGCGGTCCGTTCCGGGACTTCGTGGAAAGTCATCAGCATGGTCCGCGTTCGGCCATCCTCCGTGACCTTGAGCGCAAGCGCGGGCGCTCCATCTACACCCCGGAGGAGGCCGAACACGATGGGTGCCCCCTGGCCGAACATGTGGCGCACACTGCTCAGCGTTTTGAACTTAGGGCTAGTCAGCACGGCGAGCCGGAAGCCTCGGTGGGCACTCCGCGTCCCGGTCCCTTCAGTCAGGGTCACGGTCCGCTCGAACAGCCGCAGGCGGCACCGCTCGACGGGCTCCGCCGGGAAGCCCCGTGTCGAGCCCGGGTCCATGTAACTGAACGACTTGAGGACGTTCTCGAACACCATGGTCTCCCCAGCCTCGTGGTGGTAACTCGCCTCGGTCTTCTGCGTGTACTGCACGATATTCCACAGATTCTTGAAATCCTCCTCGTCGAACACGATATCGAGTTCAAAGCCTCGAGGCAGCTTGACTCCCATCGAGTGCGACCGGACCTGCCAATCCACATCCTCCCAAGTCGGCCCTTTCTTGCGGTCGGACTGGATCATCACGTTGACCAGTTCACTCTGACTGCTAATAGCGGCACAGACGTACCAGTCGGCCCGGTCTCGGACGATGGACAACACGCACGGGATCGAGAACTGCTGCTGGCCGTCGTCTTCGTTCGAACTCACGTACACCTTCACAAACATGCTCCCGTAGGTGAAGAACCGGTTGGTGTCGCTCAACGGCATCATGTGCACCAGCGAGGGGCTCTTGCCTGACTTATCCAACAACATGGACCGCGAGGCCGCGCCCGAAAGCACCGCGGAGACGTCCGGTGCGAAAAAGGGATATCGGACCCACACTGTGGTATCGACGCGCATCCCCGCATCCCCGGCTGACATGATGGTGTCCATGATGTTGTTCCGCTTGATCGACATGGCCAGGGAGCGGAGATGGTTCAACATGGTCTGATGCAGACTTAGAAGGTCCGCCAGTTGCCGGTCACCGGTGGTGCTGACGACCGCGAGCAACGCCTCCACCCCCATCGCGCCGTACCGACTCAGCTCGCCGTGCGCGGGAACAATCGTCTCAATAATCCACAAGGCCTTGCATAGATCAACGACCGCCTGCTTCGCGTCCTCCGGCCGGCCGCCCGAGCCGGAACGTGAGGCGCGCGCATACGCCTCCAGCCTTCGCTTCCCCCGCAGAAACCACCACACGGCGGCCCTCATCCATTCCGCAAGAGACGTCTCCATCAGCGGCTTCACGCTCTCCGCGGCTTCTTGGATGAGATCCGAATAGGTTTGGACTTGGTCTTTCAGATCCGTAAAGGCAGTGTCATTGAACTGGTTGGCCACCGTCCGCAGGGAGAATTTCGGCGCCGCGTTCCGGGAACCCGTGGTGTCTCCGGTCGACGGGCGGCTCGACTCCTCCCGGACCGGACCACTGCGGACGGGCTGGTACTTGGGCGGGGACGGGTTCGGGTTGGGGAGACTTCCTCCCGGTGCGAGACCGGACGGCAGCGATTCGACCGGCGACGCCTTGGGGGAAATTCTCTCGGGCCTGTATGATTTTTCGGGACTATATGATTTCGCGGGACTGTATGGTTTCGCGGGACTGTATGCTTTCTCGGGACTCGAAGCGTCTCGAAAAGGGTTCGGAGGCGGGACCGGCTCGGTTTCGGAGAGGGGAGGCGTTTCGTAAGAGGAGCTCGGGCTGTCAGGGGCCGGCTGGCCATCGTCCTCTTGGGGGTCGTAATGGTGATGCAAGGCACGGCCTTCCTCCGCTTGCATCTTGTCTCGGACCTGCTGCGCAAACGAACTGGACTCGGGCGACGCGCGAAAAGACAGTCGGGACCCTGCCCCTGCGCCCCCTAGCGCCATGAGCAAATCCGCGTCCTGCGCACTGGTGACCTGAGGTGGTTTGCGCGCCGTGGTGTCCTGGCGCCGAAGGGGCCGATGGCTCTCGCCCGAGGTATCCACGCGAAGCGGAGGGGTCGAGCCATCGTCTTGTTTCTGGCGTGCGCGGTCGCGACACAGACACATCTCCGCCGTCGGGATCTCCGATTCATCCCCGCCCTCCCCCATCAATTCCGGCAGTTTGTCTGAAAATCGGACCTTGGTCCCTCTCCGGGGACGGGACTTGTGAGGAGGCTTTGCCATCCCCTCGGACGGGCGGAAATCCGCGGCGGGGGGCTTCGCATGTTGGGGCGACATACCAGGGGGATCCAGCGCGGGTGACCAAGACTTATTGAACTCCAAGTTCGGTAGGGTTGGCTGGTCGCGCGGGCCGTCGAGCGGGTGCGGGATGGCATGACTGTGCGATATCGACTGCGTCCGGGTTGGACCCAGGAACGCCTCGATCTGCTGGTCCGCGGCCTTGGACTCCTTTTTCTGTTTATCTTTGTTGAACAGTTTTTCTTTCCATTGGGTAGGCCGCCGGGTGGGTTTGCGCTCCGGGAGCGGCGCGCTCTGCTCAAGAAAGGCAAAAGGGTCGTTGGTGGACATGGTGGCTACTAAGAAAATGATATGCTTCCTCGGGACAGTGGCCGATCGTTCTGGATCATCGCAAGCCTGTTGCAGGGGCCAGCAATGCAGACGACTGAATCGACGGTTCTTCGTATTCTCCCGCCCGACTGTAGGTGCACTGCGTGTGTGGTGCAGAAAGTGGAGATCGACAGGGGGCTGAATCCGTCCAGACCATCAAGATCCGGCGACAACGTCGTAGGGGAACGGTGCAATGATCCCTCCAAAACTCCCAAGCACAACAGAGAAGTTGATTCAGGGTTTGAGAGCGAGTTAAGCTTCGGCCCGGGGTCGACAAAAGCGTAGGGAAAATGGAGGCGGGGGAGGGAGGAGGGGGGGCGGAGGAAGAATGGAGAAAGAGGAGGGGATCGTTGGATGATAATAAAGTCCAGCGGTGGTCGGTGTCGAAGACTATCTGGGACAGACGAATAGACGCTGGCTAAGCCTGGCGCGATTGTGGTTTCGTTGTCTGGTGGAGTCGAGAGGGGGGAGCGCGCGATCTACCAAGACCAATTAAATGACCATTCAATGACGGGAGGGGGGGCGCCTTTTTTCCTGCGCACCTTCAGGGGGAGATTTAGGTAAGGACCTAAAAATGAAGCTAACAGATGCCCAGATAAACCAGTGGCCCCAAATATCAAGAAATCGAGGGTTTGGTTGGTGGGGGCGGTGGTTGGGGAGGGATCCCAGACGGGGAGTTGCGGCGACCGATAAAATTGGATACCTGAGGGATTTGGGTATTGACAGTGCGGCGGTAAGGGAGGTTGAAGCCGGACCAGCAGCTTGGAATAGACCTGATCAAACAAGAATGGAGGTGGGGGGATGGAAAAACAGGAGAGGTAGGAAAGGGAGAGACAGGGAGGAAGAACCAGAAGAGAGAGAGAGAGAGAGAGAGAGAGAGAAGAAGTGAGAAAGAAGATGAAAGGAGAGAATGAGATGAAACCAGATCAAGGCAGCGAGGTCAACCTCAGGCCGACCGAGGACGGACATGGGTACCTCAGGCGGGCCATTCTTTTGTTTGTTTGCGGTTTTGTTTATCTCTTCATTTGTTTCCTCCTTTACTCTGTACGGTTAATCAGGGATTCTATTCCAAGGAGGTTTGATTGCCTATATTGAACTATATTGAATCATCTTGACAAACGGACATCCAATCCCCCCCCGGATGCCATGATCCTTCGGAGTAACTTCAGACCTCTGCTATCGCTGCCAAGCATCCCATCTTATCCCAATGGTTCCTTCGCTCCATATTGGTTCAACCCTTAATCGTTCCCGAGCACTGCCTCGCTGTCAGGAACACTAGATACGGCTTCACGTCATCACGATTGAGCTGATCCCAGCGCTGGGGCAAAGATCAACACGACGATGCAAGACGAAGATTTCAATCTTGGACGGTATGGAGATGACTAGCACATGTCGTCTCCCGTCTCCCGTCACCATGTGTCTTCCATAGAAAACATACGGAACCACTCTCCCTCCCGAGGCAATACGACCTCCGGAGTATACGGGGAACGCTTCCCAAATTCATACAATCCTCGGCCTCCAAGCCTCTCGCGGACTGGGCAATCATGCGGTGGCTTCCTAGGTTCCATCATGAAACGCCCCTAAACTCATTGCAGTGGGGCCTCCAGACGCCACTAAACCCGGGTGGGACAGGCGTCAGGGTGTAAAGTGGGTCCGCTGACGAGCCCAGGGCGAAACTTAAGGCCGCATTGGACTTTTTGGTGGCCGATGGTTGGACTCTTTAGCGGAGGATGGAGTAGGTCTTTTCTTTTTTCTTTTTTGGGGCCTGGTGTGACCGCCACTATTCATGTTGCACGCGGGACATGACGTTGGGTGCCTATCAGTTCTTGTTGATTTGATCTTTTGGGCTAGTTTGCGCACAGTCTGAATTAGAAAGGGGTTGGGATCATCCTGTAGAACTACTAGTACGAAATATCCAACTGCGTCAATTTCATCATCAACAAACCTAGATTGAGAGTAAAAATTCTGGTCTCTGTAGAACTGACCTGGCTCTCCTGATCATCGCAGCTTCGGAGACTATTATGAGTATCAGAATCTGGAATAAACACGGCCTGATATTCACAAGTTCATCATTGTCGACAGATATTACTTCAAAAGTGATCGCCTGCTATGATAGAGCTGTCAGGCTCTGTTCTAAACGGAAACCATCATCTACTAACATTGCGTTGATCAGTAACAAGGAGCAATGCTTACTCGAACCCCTTATTTATAAATAAAGTAGAAGAGATCCTTCGGCAGGGTTGTAAACAAAGAGTAGTATTGAATAAAGCACATGCCTAATCCTTAATAACTGACCAGCTGTTAATTTTGGGCACCCTTGTTGTAGGATGTCCCCTGATATATTTTCCCATTTGAATGGATCGAATGAGTTGTCATCGCCCCAGAGAAACTGGTAGGATAGCAGCGCCATGCTGTCTACCAATCAAGGACAACGTTTTTGGCAATAATCTCAGCATGCCTCATTAGCTTCTGAGCTAGTTTCATGATATTGAGAACATAAGACACCTCGACCACTCAACCACAAAGATATCGTGACCCTCGGGGGGCTCAGACGTTGCTATATCGCCGGTCAAGAGAAGCCCCTCTAAGTTGATAATAGGGCTAATAAAACAAGAAATAAGCAAAGAAAAAAAGGATCAGCCAATGCGTAATCGGTGGCCAAAGCTCACCCACGACATCCCTTTCATGACTCGATCGACATTACTTCCAGGAGGATTTCTCGACAGTGCCAGCAATCCCTCATATGAGGCTACCTCCCCCTGTCATCTCAAATCTTCCTGCGCATGAGCTCACGCTGATCAACCGAGCTTTCTTGTCGTTTAGAGTTTCGCAATTAGAATAATGCTAAGTGAGACTAAATTGGCGATGACTCGCACTGTCCACCCTTGGCAATTGTTCCTGACCAAGTTGATTGGCGGCTGTAGACAGCTGGTGTTGCTCCAGATCTGCAATGCTTGGTGAACATTTTCCAGCAACGAACTCAAGCTTGTTGCATGTATTAGCCTTATAGCAACCTGACTTCAATGCAGTAATGACCGAGGATGAAGTAGAGACAGTCATGTGGGATATGATATGATTGAAGGCTGGCGTGTCTGGTCACCCACGCAGATGAAAGATGGTTCGGAGCGGCCTATCGTTGGGCATATCTGATACTATGTCTTTGATGGCTTGCATTGACAGCCTCGAATTTCGGGATGTTTCCATAAGTAGATGCAGAAGCGTACGCCATGGCAAGTGAATCCTGTCGCAGAAGATGGTGGCAATGTCCGGTCTGGTGGTGGGATCTGAGGTCAGGATGCTCGGTATTTAGGAACATGATCACAAACCAGACTGATACTGATATTTGACAAGAGACATGATTCCTTTGGTTCGCCATATCAAGCATAAGCCATTTCTCAAACTTGTTTGGGGTCAGGGTTATATTCTTCCAGAGACTGAAAGTCGCTCGAGGGGTATATTAAACTTGTAGTTATATATTGGAGTTGCGGTTGAAGCGTAGAAGACCTCTGTCGGGTTCTCAGCTTGCTTTCTTTATCATTATGGGTAGACGGAGTGTCATTTGGACTCACGAGTGCCGCTAGTTTTGTCTAACAGATGAATGGATGATGTAGATTTGATCTATCCTTGAGACTCTCAACATTTCAAGGTTTGGTAGAGTGCCATATAAACTAAACGGAATCAAAATGCGTCGAAGAGGACTCTGATGTTGTAGCTGTCGATTGTAACGAGGGTAGCCGAGATTACGAGAGAGTTGAAACGGTACTTGGATATATTCCCACGATTGAATTCCATAAAGATCCGTCTATTCACATAACAATGTACTATCTTGTACTACTGAAATAGCGAAGGAAAGCTATCATGAGACTGGAAGTGGTGATGTATGTTGGTTCAGTTACTCAGCTGGGCATGGAATCCTCTTGTATATCGCATTCACTGCCATAGTTAACCTAGTATGTTTTTTGACAAGAGGCAACAGTACTAAGTGCTATACAATACAGGATGAATCGATCTTGCACTCCGACAAGCATGAAACGAAAAGATTCTTTGTTATGTGTCTCCTCACCCTCACTCTGTGTACACCAGGTCACTGCTCAATAGCCCGCAGATAATCAGCTACTTCTCTGCTCAATATATTGTCCTTGACAAGCTGTTCCGCTGACTCAATAATCCACGTCTGGCAGTTGCGCTGGCTGATTTTCCTGCCCACGCTCGTTGCAGGTACAGTCTGAGATATCCAAATTAGCATTGCATCAATGGGAGATGTACAGTGAAACAAATAGATTCCAGCTACACACTTCTCCAAGCAATCAACCCCTGGAAATCTAAATGAAGAACGACAAGAAAAACCAAGAAAAGGAGCAAACCACATCATCAACCACATTCAGCGTCTTCCCCGGTGGTTTAACTATCCACGCAGAACTCTCAAAGTGTGTGACAGGCGCATAGTGGTCACAAAAAAAGCCCGCATTCAGCATGGCCCTCTCGTCGAAGAACCTTCCCTCGACCCACTGCAGGGGGATCCTTTTTGTCGGGACAGGGGTGGTAGTGCGGAAGTCAAGGCTCCGTCTGGCTTCGCACTTGAAACCGTTGTAGACGTCCCCCGCGGCGTGGACTTGGACGCCCAGGTCGGGGCTGTCGGGGGAGTGGATCCAGTAGGCCCAGTGGTCCTTGAAGGGGGCTCCGTTGAAGATGATCAGTTCAACGAGGAAGGCGCCCGGAGGGGCTGTTGGAGATACAGTTGGGGGAGGGGGAGTCGGGGGTGCAATAGGCGCTGCCTGGGGTGGTGGAGGGGGAGGTGGTGGATCCATGGTGGTTTTTTCCCTGATTAGTTTCGTGCTGGTAGAGGTCAGAGAGAGGAGAACTGGCAAATCTCGAGCAATGCCTTTCTTGCGTCGCTGTTGTTAAATGGTGAGAATCAGGCAATCGGCTTGTCGATTGTGGAGAAGCGCTAGGTAGCAGGGCTGGTTCTAGGCGCGCGCAAGGCAGAAGTCAAGAGTCATTTCTGCTAGCGATTTGTCTGAATGATTCATCCTCAAAGGGCCCTAATCTGCATTGACTGCTAGATAATTTGATATGTCTATACTATTGTCAGGGCAGTCCTCTCGGTGTACGATGTAAAATGTCAAGATACCAAGGCAAACGGGTGTTGGTGGATGTTGACGATGGCTGCATAAGAGGTGATGGCTTAGTGAAACTGTATCTCTAACCATGCTTTATCCAAGTTGTACAAACTGATAGTACAATGCTGTTGGGCGGCAAATATCCATGGGATCAACAAAGAATAAGTAATACTTCAGGTGTTGATGATAAACAGCAATGAAAGCAATCAGTCAAACACTTGGACTGACACCTGATCAACAAACAGTCTGGACCTTTCTAAGTAGAGCCCAGTGGAAAGAGAAGAAGGAATAAGCATATATCATGCTACTGTTTGTTGCATCATAGCAGTTAAGTATAGCATAATAGATGTCATAAAAGGCAGGGGTGACTCCACACCGGTTGTTGCATTTTCTGGAGATTTGGACCCCTTTCTCAACACCACCAACTCTACTTGTTCCAACCCATCTGTTTCGACAATTTTTTCGACCCTAGTATCTCTTCGCACTTATGGAAGTATCGATAATACAGGGGTTCTTACGACTGACTGCAGCTACAGGTTTATATGAGATCAAACCGGTAGAGTACCAGGTAACCTGTATTTTTGACTATCATTCCCCCTCTCTATCTGAGTTACTCTTCTAGTGTGCCATAATGAACAGCAGAGCTGCCTAGAACAGCTGGACGGCTGAAGAAAACACACCTAACAAAACCGACTCCGGACAACCCAATAGTGGACCAGCCTCGCGCCCCCTCTTTGCTGGGCGACGATCGTCGCAAGTCTCGTGACGACATGGTGCCAACTTATTAGAGCTGTGGCGACGCACAATATGATTGGATTTCAAGCCATGACCCTTGAACACACAGTCCCTTAGCCTTGCGCACCGCCCCGTCGAGATGTGATTGAGGCAGCAATTCGAATCTGAAGAGGAGCGGTTTCTCTACAATATCGCACAGGCTTGGTTATACAAATATCAACTGTCCATTAACTCCTGGAGACCAAGCAATAGCCAGTTCCTGATTCTTGCAATAAACCCTCATTGATAAAGCCTCACCCGTCTTACTTGGAAACTGATCACCGCAGACCTTTGCCCGCCAATTCCAGCTGTGCCCTCAAGTCGCCCACCGGATGGATAACATCAACACCACAGAAGAGCGTGTTGAAACGGATTCGACTCACTTGCCAAAGCGGCGAAAAATTACTCACGATGACAGTTTGCTCACCCTGCAACACGATGAATACACGATCGCTTGGATATGCGCACTGCATATTGAGATGGCAGCGGCTCGGGCTGTGCTGGATGAGATTCATGAATGTTTGCCCGTACCAAGAAACGACAGCAACACCTACATTTTGGGCCGCATCAAGAGACACAACATCGTTATTGCTTGTCTACCAATAGACCGATATGGGATAGTCAACGCCGCAAATGTTGTAACCAATATGAAACAGACTTTCCCTGCAATCCGTGTGGGTTTGATGGTCGGTATTGGTGGCGGTGTGCCCAGTGAGACTGATATACGGCTGGGCGACATCGTCGTCGGGACGAGAGTGATGCAAGCGGATCTTGGGAAAATGACCGGAGATGGGCAGCTGGAGCAGACAGGTGTCGCTCGGTTTCCTGACCAAATTCTTGCGACAGCCGTGTCTAGCCTTCGGGCGAAACACGAGCTGGAGCCGAGTCGAGTCCCATCTATTTTGCAGCAGAAGCTGGACGGTTCCGGGTACGGTCGTCCGAGCTCACCGGATCGTCTCTTCCACGCCACGTATAAGCACGAAAATCCACAGAACAGCTGCGATAAATGTGACATTTCGAAGATAGTACCGCGGAGTATACGCCCGTTCGACGTTCCAGTTATTCACTACGGCGCAATTGCCTCGGGAAGCCAGGTCGTCAAATCCAGCGCCTTTCGGGACAAGGTGGCTAGAGAGTTGAAGATTCTATGTTTTGAAATGGAGGCTGCTGGCCTAATGGATATTCTCCCTTGTATTCCAATCCGAGGAATATGTGACTATTCCGATTCTCACAAGAGCAAGGACTGGCAAAAATATGCTGCGGCCACTGCGGCTGCGTACGCAACGGAGCTGCTCCAGGAGCTGCCTGTGACCGAAGTACACACAAGAGTTAGCTGCAGGTCTGTCCCTCGTAAGTATTATTTTTAGGTCTGAGCCTGTCCTCAGCTGACGCTTACACGCGATATAGAGCAAGTTCCATCGCAGGAGCAACGGCAACGTATGCTAGATTCCCTCAGATTCGAGCAAATTGATGCTCGTAGGACGAATATCAAGAAGGCCCACGCTAAGACTTGCCGATGGTTTCTCAGCCACCAGGATTACAAGGCATGGCTAGATCAAAGACAGCTGACCCAACATCATGGTTTTATGTGGGTCGGCGGCAAGCCCGGTGCTGGAAAGTCAACTATCATGAAATTCGCCTATTTGAATATGAAGAACAAGGCCCGTAACAAGGACGAGGTCACTGCTTCTTTCTTCTTCAATGCCCGTGGAGAATATTTAGAAAAGTCAATCCCAGGGATGTATCGATCATTGTTGCTACAGATACTTGAAGGTTATCCCGACTTGCAAAGGGTTCTGGATGATTTTGACCTTGCTCCTTCTCCGACTGAAGATACTAGCCTCTCCTTGAATACCCTCAAGGATCTACTTTGCACCGCCATTTTAGCTCTTGGCCAGCGCCCATTTACTTGTTTTGTCGATGCGCTGGACGAGTGCGACGAGCAACAAATCATCGATATGATCCAATACTTCGAAGACCTGGCAGAACAATCTACAGCCAGGGGGGTGCAATTTAGAATATGCTTCTCCAGTCGACATTACCCCTACTTATCCACTCGGTGGGGTCTTCGGTTTACACTGGAGCATCAAGCAGGACACACGGAAGACTTAGAAACTTACGTTGAAAGCCGCCTCCAAATCAGAGACCCTAGGCTTATCGAAAAGCTGCGACCTGAAATTCTCAGGAAAGCAGCTGGTGTTTTCATGTGGGTCGTCTTGGTTGTCGATATACTGAATAAAGAGTATCGACGTGGTGCGATGTTTATGGAGAAGAAACTCGAAAGTTTACCAAGTGGCTTGAGCGACCTGTTCAAGGACATTTTACAGCGCGACAAAGAAAACATGGCGGAGCTCAAACTTTGTATTATTTGGATTCTTTGCGCGAAAAGGCCCCTGCAACCGAGAGAATTCTATCATGCCCTCTGGTCTGGCTTATCATTCGAGGATCCGGACGAGAGCGAAATGCCAGATGCTTCAGGCCGGGAGATAGGGGAAGATGATCTACCTAGGTTCTACAGATATGTTATAAGCTCCTCAAAGGGACTTGCTGAAGTCACAAACTCTACGAACCAATCAGTTCAGTTCATTCACGAGTCTGTCCGAGATTTCCTCATCAAGGATAAGGGTTTGTATGAGCTGTGGCCTGAACTTGGGGCTGACTGGAAGAGCCCCAGCCATGAGTTACTCAAGCAGTGTTGCAGCTTCTACATGACTCACAGAGCGGTGCACGATTCTATCAGTATACTGTCGGAGGAGAACAAATCAGAACACCAGGCGATTGATTTAGACAAGTACCCGTTCCTGGGGTACGCCAAGGAATTCGTCTTCTACCATGCCAACGCTGCGGCAAAAGTGGTCCCTCAGGACGAGTTTCTCTCGTCATTCCAGATTGTCAACTGGATCAAAATCAACAATCTGCTCTCAAAGTACAGGTCTCGTGAATACAGTCCCGATGCAAGTCTTTATTATATTCTTGCAGAAAGAACATCACCCGAACTCATTCGTACACGATTCAAAAAGGACCCAAATGTCCATGTGGCTGGCGAGCGATACAGATACCCGCTGTTTGCAGCCCTGGCCAAGGGGGAAAAGAGTAATGTTGCAGCTTTGTTGAACTCGCCATTGAGCATTCAAGATGGGGTCGACCTCACAGATGGCCTAAAACTCACGCGGGACTTGCAGGGGTATAAAGGTCGAACACCATTGACTTGGGCCGCTGAAAATGGGCGGCTAGAAATTATCAAGCTACTCCTTCAGACAGGAATAGATGTCAATGACCTCGACACGAGCGGACAAACACCACTTTCACGGGCTTCAAGCAATGGTCAAGAGATGATCATGAGGTTTCTTCTTGACCACAATGCAGAAGTTAACACCTGTAATCACATAAAAGAGACACCATTGTCACAGGCTTCAGAAAATGGTCATGAGATAATTATCAGAATTCTTCTTGATCAAGGAGCAGAAGTTAATACCTGTGACTACCTTAAAATAACGCCACTTTTCAAAGCCTCTTGTAACGGCTATGAGTTAGTCACCAGAATCCTTCTTGATCATAAAGCAGAAGTTAATACCTATGATGATCTCGGACGAACACCACTTT